CATTTTTGGAGACTAAAAAACTGCATTATTATTGAGTTCATCCTCCTTGGTCATAAATTTTTAACGATGTTTGGAGACTATAATAATATACTTCTCGATTTCACCGAGGCCAATGAATCCTTTAGCCGGGACGCTCCTTTTTCTTTCGTTTTTAATCGATACTATCTAGCCCATCGGAGAAATGGTCTGTTCTAATAATTCCGTCGCTCAGTAAAATTGAATTAAATAGTCGAATGTTTTATGCATTCGGTTTCCGGTACGAACGAACCGCCAATTAAAATAACTAAAGCAAGGTACTGCAAGTCTTTCGACTAAATACACCCACACCCTTTCGAAAACAATTGGATGATGACCGGAAACGGTCCAAATTAAAACCCATGAAAGTTACTATAAAACTTAATAACAATTATTTGAGTAATTTGTTTTAATACCTTCCCTGCATTTTTCCATGCATCAGACGCCAGAATAATCAGTCGGGCTCATGAGCGTAACCGAAACGAAGACATTGGAAGGGACAATACTCACGAATTGTTCATTCCAAACGACTATCTCTCAAATAATTTTTATATAATCGCAGTGGAAAATGTTAGTAAATCTTTGAAAATCTTATACTGGAAATGATTAATACAATTAGCGATTTTTTGGGAATTTTTGAAATAATTTTTTTGTGTATAAAATTTGTGGAACCGCCAATGCCGCCTTAATTATTGCGTATCAAAAAATTTCCCGTATTTCGAAGGGTCTCTCACAAATTCGGTTTATTTCACGGTCCACGGTATTATTTATTATGGTCCATTGTCATGACTTGTTTCTTTTTTTTTCCGACTTTTTCGGGGAGCAATTTGAGCGGAGGTTTCGGTAAATTACGTCCGAATAAGAATGAATTCTGTACTAATCGTGAAACGGAATCGCCCGGTTTCTTTTGCATGTCTAAGCGACCGGACGTTGATACAGTCAAATACCCCGCGATTCCGAGTAATTTTACCCGTTCTGAAAAATCGTATTAGGGTCATGGAATCGACCGAATCAAAGCGGGTACGTTAATGAGCACAGGTGAAAACGCCGAATAATTATTTTCCATCAACGACATTTTTGTTCGAGCAGTGTACATTCGCTTTTACACTTGTCTTTTAAACGTCGACATGATTATAAAAGAGACAACTTCCTCTATTAGTTAGCAATTGCACCGGTAACGTCGAATGCGACCGGACTATCAAAACGATTGTTTTATTTTCGAAACAATAAGAATCCTTTATTTTTTTACTGTAAACGTCGAGTAATTCGAGTAATTATCGGTGTAGTTCGAATGTGGGATAATACGTTTGTGGATTTTTAATTTTATGCTAATTGCTCTACCCAATTTTGGCCACAATGGTTGATAACCGGTCATTACAGTACGTTTGTTAATAGATTACCTAGGTATATGCTAAAGTGGTTAGTTGAAAATTGTACTTGGCATTTCAAAATTATTCAAATGCTGCTGCATGAATTTAACACCAATCAAAATCATGACGAAACGAATAATATAGGATTTTAATAAACGGTGGCAATCGAGCTTTAAATTGTCATCTTCGACCCAAATCGATTGGGTGAAAATATTGTTTATTATTCGTTTGATTGATTAGTGTTCATCTATATTTTACGGTCCAATTCTTTTACTAAATTTCACTCTTCTCTGCCTTTTTATGCACAATCGACTTTAATAGCACAAAAACAACCGATTCAATATAATAACTTTTAAAACTTTTTTTACTCTCAAGAAAATTTGGTGGTACAACTCGGCGATCCCGACCCAAATAATATGGAATTATTTTAGATAGGTAACATCTAATCGATTTCCCGGACGTAAAAACCCCATATAATGGGAAACTGCAAGTTTATCGACTGCCGAAAACATGTGATCGGCGGTTTCTTTTTGAATGAACGTTTTCTATAAGAGCAGCTGATCAGCAGGTGGGATCTTCCGGAATTCACATGATGTACCTGCCGGTTATGTCGCCTGCCCACTTTGAATTATTCATCAATGGCGTAACAATTCATACATGAGAGATCAACAGATACAAACGGAACGTTAAAAAAAACGAATTAATAACTATTTGTCGGCATAGGTAACAGTAATGCAGTAGGGTAATTTAATGTGGAATTATAATATGTAGAGATGCAAGTTGATGATGATGGTGAATAGGTGTTATGGACGCCGCTGTGAGGCATGCGACGAATCGAAAAAAATTGCAAAGTGCTAATTTCTCCGAATTTACTTTAATTTACTTCCTCTCCGTCATGGTAGTTATTGAACATATGGCCGACATTTATGTAAAGTACATTCCCAACGGTATCCACTCGGAAGAAACGCGAGCAAATGGATAAATGCGAAATTTCAACTGTAATGATACGCTTCCATTTTCGGCACATAATCATTATCATTATTTCTTTTTTTTGTATCGCTTATTACGGAGCTCTCTCTAGCTCTAACGAACGTTGGAAAATTTAATGAAAATTTCAACGTATATTATTCTCATAATCAAATGAGTGTAGCATATATCGAGTAGTTTTTCTTAGCTTGTTATAATTTCCCCATAACATTTCCCTCGTCGCGACGCCTTTTTCTCCCGACGCTCGGCGAACGGATCTACTCGACGCAAATTTATTCCGATGTATTAAACTCTTTAATTACTACGCCCAACTTTACCTCTCTCCTTTCGACTGCGAAAACACGGTGTGTAATTTTCCCTTTCGATTATTCGGAAAACTTTTTCTCGACTAATCGGGAACGGGGCGAAAGGGAGCTTTTCCCAGTTTCCTCGTCTGTTTTCGAAGTCGCCCGCGCGCTAAACACCCCGTAAACGGAGCAAGAGGAGTTTCGGCTTTCCTTTCATAGTCCAGTCAAGGTAATTAATTTTATTTTATTGCTTTTAAATTTCCATTATTACAACCTAAAGGTTGTAATTGTTAGCAGTTATGTCATTCAGTCAAGCCAATCACAATACTCGATTTTTACTTAGTATTATTTTTCGACCAATAAGAGCTATCGATGAGTAGTGACGTGATTGACATTTGGTAAATGAAGCTTTCGGGTAAAATGGGTATAATAAGGATTTAGAAGATATTTCCTGGGTTATATATAGCTGTTTGCAAATGCAAAGGCGTGTCGCTTGATTAAAATGCGCAAAACCAGCATTATTTCAGTAAAATCCCGTATTAACGAAGGAACACGTCTTTATCAGTCGAAGAGGAAGTCGAGAGAAATCCGCTTCTATAGAAATTTAAATTCGGTTCGGCGTTATCTCCTAATCAAATTGCATTCAGCGGGCCCGAATCAAAAGGCCCACGACCGGCAAGGGGTAAATTATGTATAGGCAGGAGCCCGCCCGGTCGACCCGCGGGCCAAGGGATCTCGTAAATCAGTAATTAGGGACACCGGATTTCTTCTTGTAAAATTCAGGGGGCTCTTCTTTATACTTACACGAACACGATTCCGCTAATGAACTTTCCAAGATAAATCTCGCCCTTTCCCAGGCAACGACGAGATTTCCAACAGATTTCAACTCCAACGCACTACAACCCTTATTATTTCAACCATTTTAATTTATCTTTTCTAATTTAAATCACTTTACCTATGCCTACTAAAAAAATCAGTAGTTTTAAGTTTGACTTTTGTAAATGCCAAATGTCACTTGTCAATTTTGTTGTATTTCTTAATTTAATGCAAAAATAAAAGTGTAAAAATGGTCGTCGTGCGGCGTATAAACGAGACGAGCAAAACAACAACGCGAAATAATTAGCAATTACCGCGCAACATTTATAACCCAATTTTCCGGTCGAGATGCTTATTGATCAAAATTGTGGCCGCCGTTAATTGTTTTACGTTCCGACGACGCAAAAATACATCTCGACAGGAGCTGACAGGTGCCCGTTCGGCGGTGAAAGGGGGCCGCAGAGGGACGGCGGACGGCGGGGCACGTGGCAGGCCGGCCTGCTTCGAGCTAATGCCTGATTAGCATACCAATTAATGGACCGGCTGGGGATCTTCTTCCTTATTTCCACGCGAATCGCGGTCACGTGGCCGGCGATTTTATGCGATAATTTTATTCCAGCTTAGTTCTGTAAGTTTATGAATTAAAAGTATGAAATTTGGGGGATTTGGTGTAGAATTGAAGAAACAGTGTAAAAGGATGTGTTTGAAATGAAATTCAAGAAAATTCAGATTGATGATAAAGTTTGCCGATTGTCATGTTGTAGAAATTATCGTGATGGTGTTAAGAGTGTTGCATAAGTATCAGGAAAAAATGAATTCTTTATTGCAATAGTTGAAATTATTATGCAATCTACATAGATGACGCCACTTTCATTAAATTTTTTTAAACAATTTACAACTAATTAATTCAATAATTTTATCACACGTTATGTGTTAGATAAAGTCAGAACAAGTCTAATGGTTTCGTTTTTTGACAGTTTTGATATATTTTGACATATTGACATATTTGATTTTTTAAAGTAATTGTTTTGCGGAATTTTTGCGGAGAGCGATTTTTTTGGGAGTGATATTATGTGTGCAATTTTCTCGCTCTAACCATTGTTATTTTAACTAATCTCTCTTCAACTAATAGAATTGATCATATTTCAAACAATTTTGCTTTTACCCATATACCTATGTATTGATAGGTACCATTTAATCTAGATACCTACTCCAACAGTAGTTAAATTTTATTGTTTAAATAGTATCTACCTAACAATTTGGAAAAACTTATTTAACTGCGTAATGGGTTATACAACAAAAATTCAACGTAATTTCTCACGATGCATAGTGCAAAAAAGTTTCCAGAACGCATTGTGCACACATTTAAGTAATTAATATTTCATTAGCGATTTGTTCAAATGAGCGCCCTGGTAAATTGCTGTAATGAACACTTACGAAAACTTGAAAATATCAATTACCCTTTATAAATAATACATATATACCGGTATTTATGCAGATGCAAAATCTTATTTCGGCTCATATTGCAAAATGCAACTGCCCAGCGTAATTTTGTGCGTTCTTATAGTTGTTACAATAGCCCTAGCTCAGGTAAATAAATTAATTAATTTAAATGAATTATTTTCGCCAGCATTATTTTCCCCGATTAGGTTCCGCAGGACTTCGGCCAGCTTCTTCGAGCCCACACGCAATGCCAATCCACAGCGAGAATATCCCCAACAGCGATAAACATCAACGAACTCTCTTCGGGCAATTTCCCCAACGATCCGGCCTTCAAAAGACACTTGCTTTGCATCAATAAAGCGCTGGGCATCCAGGATACTAACGGTAATTTGCAAATAAACGCCATTACTCGATTGGCTACAGCTATGGCACCGCCTGGAACAAACAGGAATACTATCCAGGAAGTTGTTAATAGATGTGCAGTACAAAGAAGAGATGAAGAAGAAACAGCTTATCAAACAGATAGCTGTTTGTTGCAAGCTAGAAGATTATATTCTGGTAAATAAAATAGTAAAAATAGTAGGATAGGTTTGTTTTTTGAATAAAATCGTTCGTTATTTAATTAAGTTTTATTACACCTAATAGTAGATAGATAATAAATCACAAATTCGTTAGTCATCGAGGGTTGCATTTCGTCTAATTCTTGTCCATCTCGTGGGCCAGGCATTGGGCTATGGTGAAGGCGACTTCTTCGTCATCGCCGCCGTTCGCAGAGACGCATTTTTGGATCAATTCGGCCGCGGTGTCGGGATAGTGCTCTTCCAGCATCTTCTTCATCTTGTCCAAGCTGGGCTTTCCATCGCTGTCGGTCAAGCCGATTTTGCTGCCGTAGCAGAGAGCGTGCTGTTTGGCTTTGTCGTCGGGGGCGCCGCCCATCAGGGCCTTGTGGAAGGCTTCTCCGTCGAGGCCCGTTTCCTTCTTGCACTCCTCGTGGGCCTCCTTGTGTCCTACAAAGAGGTCTTCGGCCTGTAAAGGAGTTGTGTTTATGTAGGGGTGAAATTTTTGTAGTCGTCTAATTTCGATTTAATTGCAGGAAAAATTAATTTTCTTGCATTAATTTATCGACTAGGTGGATTATTTTTTAATTAAAATTTAGCAATGTTTTAGGGTGAATTGTACCAACTTGGTTTGAACCAAGTTTGGAGTCCAGACTTTTATAGATTAATTTGGACTAAAAAACATGAAATTGACGAGAGAAAAAAATCGTTATTTTTAATTTTAGAAAAGAAAAGTCTTAATGCTTGTCAAAAAATAAGTTCGTAGTATTAACCTCTGGAATCTGCTGTACTATCTGATCTACACCATTTTTGTAAACAACGACTTTATTTCTTCATAAAATCAAAAATAACGATTATTTTCTCTCATCAACCCCATCCAGAGACACCTTGTATAGTAAAAAAAATTACTAACCTCTTTAGCACTGCAAATAACTGCAGCAACTGCGATCAAAGCGAACAATGCGAATTTGAACATTTTGCTATCTGAATATCGGGATTCACACTGCAACAAAGTCAACTGCTTGTCCTTTTATATATGAAAAAGATCCTTGCGTTTTTTCGTGATAATTTAGCTGTCAATTATTAATCTCATTAAAAAAATTCAACGCTGGCTCGTTTGTTTGTTCTGGTTTGATGAGAAAAGTAATGGACGGCCAATTTGTTATTTTTTTTGCATATAGAGGATGTGTCAACTAATTAAATATTACCTAATAACCGTGTGTACTTGAATTGGAGATATTAAAAATTACTAATTTTAGAATCCTTGGTGCTTACATTGTAAAAATTATTCTTTTTTACTTAAAACAGAGGAGTTATTTAGAAATCACGGAATCATCATTAGTACATAAAGTAATGTCTAAAAATGCATTAATTATGTGTTATAAAATGCATCAGATATATTAAAATAAAAAAATTAATTTATGACAACTAACTATTGCATTGGAAGTTTGTTATCTCTAAATAATTGGCATTTTTTTAATTCCACTAAAGCTTTGGCTAATTTTCTCAACTTGATCTAAATATCTTACCTATCGGTACATAAAAATAATATTCTTGGGTAATCCTGTATATGAATAAAGAGAATAAGAGGCAACATGATGAATCAATTAACTCGCATTTACATATAATTACTTCGATTATATAACGTATATAAGTTTTACTCGGACGCAAATAAGATAAATTTTTTATTAATTTTCTAAATATAGGCGAATTTTCGAAGGCCGACGCTTTTAAGACGGTTGCATTACTTTGTAAATCAAAAAATCGATCATTCGATTCGAACCACCTTTGAAGCAATATAAAAATCCTGTAGGTTTGATATCAGCATGACGGAGCTCTCTGAATGTTCGATTTTGAATAATTTTTAATTGGGTACATATACTAGTCATTTTGATTTTCGTTACTCAATTATATTTCCAATCAATTTCCGTGACATAATTGAAATTTCATTAATAACCATCAATAATTAATAGTAACGCAAGTTCAAGTTCAAATAATGACATGCTATTTTATTATGATAAAAAAATACAGTGCAATCTATTTGTATAGTATAGGTGTCACCTAGTTAAAAACTTAATAAAAGCGCCGATGTATTTTTTAATTACACTCTTATTCAACGCTCAAATTAAATTCTCTGTTAAATTCAATCATTTATTGTCAACACAAAACGCGAGTTAAGAACGCCTGCGCCTCTTCTTCGCGGAGCTCATCTCCTTTATCTTGGTGATGAAGCACTTGAACGTGTAATAAACCGTGTTTAGAGGATCGTACAAAGTATTATCGCAATCGTCCCGGATCTCCTTCGCCGCTCGCTTGTCTTTCAGGATTTTCGCGGTCATTTTTTCGATCCTGCAAAATTGAAAAAAATAAATAGAAAATATAAAAGAACGTAGGAAATAAATTTGCGGTGCTCACACATCGTTGTTCATGCTGTTGTCCAAGTTCACCATGCCGGCTTCCCGGGCGAAGCAGAACAAATACTCTTTGAATTCGAGCGAGGGTTGGAATTTACCGTCGAATGTGAGTTTTACGAATTCTTCATCGGCGTCGCTCGCTTTTATGCAAGTTTTGATCACCCTCTGCAGGTCGTTCTCTTGCTTCTACAAGAAATATCATCATCCGATTACAGCAAACACTCGTTAATGTACTTTTATGTAATCTAGTACTTTTTTTTTATTATGTCCAGCGCTTTATTTTTTAAACCGGTATTGTTTATTGGCTGATTCGATTAGCGAATCGATTATCATATTAATAAACTATTCTGTAACCTACAACAATTATATAAAAAAAACAGTATAATTACCTATTAAACAATCATAGCAACATCCTTGGACTTGGTAAAAACCGCGGTGTAGAATATAGTGATTAATTTACAACAATTATAAAATTTAAAGTATATCGTAATGATTATAGTTATAAGGACTCCCATGAAAAACCGCTTTTAAAGGTTCTATTCATAGTGCATATTCCAAGAAAAATGGCAATAATATAATAAATATAAATAAAGAATGCATAAGGTAAATTTACTATAAATTACACCCTTTATAGCAGGATAATTCATAATGTGTTTATGAAATATTGACTATAATCAGTTAATTTTTTTATTTTTTTTGTCATTAAGCTTGAGCTGTATAAATCTTTCGGTAAATTACTATTGTTACCTCTAATGGAGGTTCGCATGAGGTACCAAAGAGCATATATGTATTATTTAGATAAAGTAATGTCTAAATTAGGTAATGTCTAATTAAACGAACTTCAAATTAAATTTAAATTGGAAGTCGCAATAAAAAAAACTAATCGTTAAACGTCAATATTTACTAATTATAATTGCAATAACTAAATAATACTCCTATTTAATTACTCATATTACTAAGCGAATTTATGATTTATGGACTTTTAACTATACCTTTATGTTATATTACATAACCATTTATACATATGACATACAGAGAAAAATGTTAATTTCTATCTCATTTTGAATCGAAAATTGGATAATAAGTGTTGATAAAATTTTTTGGAAACTCACCGCCCGGGCCTCAACATGCCAAACAACCACGCTGAAAACTAGCAAAAAAATTAATTTTATTCGATTCATATTTCATGTGAATTTCATGCGAAATTAATTTTCGGAAAAATATACGTAGGTAATTTATACATTTATCGGATTATTGTCAGGTATCGAATAAAATTGTGTTCATTAAATAATAATTAAAAAAGTAGCGCATAAAATTTATCGAACAGTAAACAAATATGGACCGTATCCAATTAAATTACAAGTACCCAAAGGAAGTTTTATCGATTTTTTTAACTTTTAGAAACAGTAAAATACTCAAGTTTTCTATAATTTCAATCTTTTAATTTCTATATAAATTACTTTATTGTTTGAAGGTATTTCCTCTTAGCTAATGTTTGTTGTTAATTTAGTTGCATCTTGTATAATATCAAGCAACAATAGAGAATTGTTCATTTTATTAAAAATTACCTTATATTGAAAACTTTAAGCACCTTTTTTTAAACCTACGCTCGCCACTAACACAATTAAATCAAATCACAGCATTTTTTAATTGAGTGACACAATGCAACAGTTTTGCCACTCATTTAAACTACCTATTTTCGAATTATATTATCCTACATCAACATTAAACTCCTGCCTTAAGAAGTAGGTACCTACACGTCATCCAATTAATCTATTGAAGGAAAACTTTTGATGATGAAGAAGTAGTAGAATCATAGGGTAATTTATTTCGTGTTGTGGCTCTGGCAACAGCATTTCAACCTTGAACTTCGATCAAAGAAGACAAATACGGTTGAACACCATGCTAATTCTCGCGAATCGAGTAAAGACAATGCTAAATGGAAACCAACACATTTCGTTGAAGGTTACTCCTTTCAGGTTTAGCGATTAAAAGCGACCTGATCGAGTAGCGTTAGCGACAAAACCTAAAGTTTCCATTACGAATGTATTCCTGCCGAATGTGTTTCGACAAACTTTAACTCCTAAATTGCTCCAGGTCAACGCTTTGGAGAATAACACGTTAATAAACAAAACATCTAGCGGATATGGAAGTTTTAACACCGCTTAAATGCAACGGAATTGCGAGAGCGTCCCGCCTGCACCGACGTTTCGAAGGGTAAACGGCGAGAATTGCAGAATTTTCCAAAACGAATCCGAACTAATAGAAAAATAAGAATAACGATGCGTAATTTTTATGTTTACCGAGAAATGTATCACTTATATTAAGTGTTAAATTGCTAACGATGCTAGGTACCCATGGTTGGAGCTATACATTTTTTTTTATTTTACAGAAAATATTTATTTACTTTATTTTATTCATCCTTCTTAATAGTTCCTTTCTCTTGTATTGCATTAGTATGAAGTACAATTTTAGTTCGTCTTTCTAATCCTTTCTGTTTGTTACCTTTTATTCAATAACTGTGCAAATTAGTCGAGGAGTAATTCTACATTCAAACGAATTAATTTATAAATACCAATTAGGTGCATATATTAATGCATTATTTTATTTACCAAGCGATGCGCCTCTGGACTGGACGCTACAAAATCCGAGTACCAAAAGGTATATAAAGTGTAAACCTCGAATGTCAGCTCGTATTCCTGCTATCCTTCGCCTACAAGTGCTAATTGAATAACAACAATGAAGTATTTAGTCGTGTTAGTTGTTGTCTGCGTTTGTTACGTACAGGTCAGTATATTCCATTCTCTCATTCATGTTTTAAATGAATCATTCTGGTCCAAAATCAATCTCTTTTTTATTTTTATCTACAAATCTTTGCTAAGAAGCTTTGGATATAGCTAAGTTAGAGAACAGTTAAGTAACTCCTGTCTTAATCTTTTTGGGGCATCCTGTATATACTCTATTAATTGTCTGTTCCCTACAGAATTTTTTAACGATATTTTTTGGGGGGTTTTTCAGTCGGAGTTTACTCCGGAGCAGGTCGCTAAGATCAAGCAGCACCACGCCGAGTGCAGCAAGGAGTCGGGCGTGAACCAGGAGCTGGTGGCGAGGGCCAGGAAGGGCGACTTCGTCGAGGACGCGAAGCTGAAGCGCCACATGTTCTGCGTGTCGAAGAAGATCGGCTTCCAGAACCAGGAGGGCATGGTGCAGGAGGAGGTGCTCAAGGCCAAAGTGGGCGCCATCCTGGGCGATCAGAAATTGGCGGATTCGCTGATCGGCGTGTGCGCCAAGAACCTAGCCAACGGCGAAGAGACGGCCTTCGCGGCCGTGAAATGCTACTACGAGAAGACCCCCACGCATATTAGTATTGTTTAGTTCGACCGAAGCGATGTAATAGATGTAGTTAATATATGATCAAGCATAATGATTCGTTGCAATTATACCTGAATCAAAGTCGATTCGTTTCAATTTTATTGTAATTGATTAATTAAATTTTTTTGTTTACTATTTTTAAAAATCCAAATAAATATAACAAATCGTTGACAACTGTCATCTGTCTCAACTTTCAATAAACGTCAACTGTCAATTTCGCCTCTTCCAATTTTCTTTCTCTATCAAATTACACATATAAAACAAGGACAACCAATAAATTTCACTATCCAAACATCCGTATTACAAAAAAAGAACGCATTATCAATTATAACCTAAAAATTTTGTACGTTGTAAGTTTTTTTTCTTCATTGCTACATTCTTTGTGCTCTAATTTTTTTAAATCTATTATTAATTAGCGTTCTTAATACGTTTTATGTTTCATTTCAATTAAAGGAACGATTTACCCGTTATATTAAGACTCAAAAAGTTTATATCATGGCCGGCCAAGGAGCCCTATTAAAAACCCTCACTTTAACAAATAACTGGTTATTATCAAACATGTGGTGAGTACAAATACATAAAAGAAGCTCGGTTGATACGAATGCGTTACACAGTTGTAGGTTTAACATGGTTTCCATACAACCCCAGCTCGCCTCGATAAGAACCCTGAAACTAGAAACGAAGCAGAAATTAAAAGATTTGAAAATCCCCGAGAAACCAAAGAAGCCGCTAACGCCTTACCTGCAATTCGTGACGGAGAAGAGGAAAGATCTGGTCAAAGACAACCCGAATCTCAAAGCTACCGAAGTAATTAAAAAACTATCAACCGAATGGAAAAGCGTCAACGAAGCGCAGAAAGATAAATACAAGGAGAAGTATTTGCGCGAAGTAGAGAAATACGACAATGCTATACTCCAATACAACTCCAATTTAAGCCAAGAGCAAGTACGAGTCCTCGAAGAAGCCAATGCGGAAAAGAAGAAACAGAAGCAGAAGAGAAAAACTACTAAAGTAACGAAATTAAGCAATCGATAAACACTTTTATATTCACTCGTTTAATTCCAGCTTAACAAGGAAACTGGCAAACCCAAACGACCCCTCGGTCCTTATCTATTATACCTCAAAGAACAAGGTAAAATAAGGAACATTTCCCACAACGAACTACTAGTAGCGTTGAAAGGAGAATGGGGGCTGCTCTCCGAGACAGCCAAGAAAAAGTACAGGGACGAATTCGAGAAGGAAATGGTGAAATACGAAGAGGAACTCCTCAATTGGGAGAAGAAAATGTTCCAGGAGGGCCACAAGAATGTCATTCGAGTGAAAACTTTAGAGTCCCTTGAGCATCCTCCATCGAGGGTGAGTAAAACTGTGCGAAATATTAATGTACAATTAAAAAAAATCAATTTTTTTTTTAAGATTGCTAGCTCCAAGTCCTCCAAACAATAGGGATTCGAGTGTCTTCACTCGGATAGACCCGCCGCAGCGGTTGAAGACACTTTGTTTCACATTGAAACACAAGCAAAAACTGGAAATTTCAATAAGATTAATAAGAAAGTTGAGGTGGATGATAAATGTGTTTCAGCTAGGATCGAAGAGGCTTCGGAAAATTCAACGACCGGTAACCAACGGGTTGATGCTGATGCGGAAAAAAGCGATACGTTGGTCGGTAAAGTTTGGAATTTTTTTAAGAAGTCTTAATTTTTATTGATTTTGAGTAAGTTTCTTTAAACATTTGGATATAAATAGGCGTTTTAGATTTGCGTAATGTACTTTTAGTTTTAAATTTTGTGTCTTTGTTTTGCAGTGTTCAAAGGCAATTTATATTTTATAAAATTAATAAACAACAAAATGTTACTGGAAGGAATGAATATACTAATCATTATTAATTTTATAACAGGACATACTTAAAATACAGATAAATAAAAGAAGACTGGTTTTTAAACAGATATGTATATTACAGTGTACATTTGATGCCCTGTAATTACCTATTAACATTAATTCATATACAATTATTACATTATCGATTACAACTATTGGAAAGTCTTTGATCAATAGTTTCCATGGGGAACTTGTTGAAATACTGGTTTAGGATAACGATAAATTTACCAATAATATTAATGATGTAATGAAATTTGTCCGATTTTATTACTTCATTAAAAATTTGCAGAACTTCAGTGCTTACAGAATGAAAGCTAGGCCTAAACGTTTGAATTATTCCTGCGAATAATCAAGAAATATAAGTACATATTTGATATTTCAGGTACACAAAAATTAACACATAAAAGCTTCATTGCTTACTTCAAACAGTACATAATTATCGAAATCGTCTAAACAAAGGTTTTCTCCTAAATTCTATGGTCAATTCCTTAAGGTACGCAGTAAAATATTAAAAACGGAGAATCTTACAGGAAAACATTTAGAATACGCCTCGATTTATTTGCAGCTTTTATAAATATTCCAGTCGCACAATGAGATACAATACATACAATGGTCTTTAGGCCTTCTTCATTTCGATCTTCAATGTTTAATGTTTATACTATCTGCACTGCTAATGCTCTTTCGTAATTGTTCCAGCACAAGCCGACTTTATTATTGTATACATACCCGCCTGGTCAAGTAAAAGAATATCTTTTCCATACAATCATCCAAAAATATTTCCATAACGGAGACAAGTAAAGTTACTGTAAAATATCCTAAGTACAGGCTATTTTTCTGTGCAATCTATACATTTATTTAAGAATTACTTCTCTTTTAATTTGTGAATTAGTACGTTAAGAGCAATAACTCTTAAGCTAATTACCCTCGACTTAATCATTGGTTTTTGGCGATTTTTTTTGTTTTTTTCATTAAAAAAATATATTTTTCAGTAAGTAAGTAAGTAAGTAAATTAATCAAAATGAACAATTCGAGATATTAACACAAATATTGACTAGAAAAATCTATCACCACCATTCATTTTTTTTTATTTTTTTGCATGTTTTGTACCTGAAACATGGCACATTTAAGACTAATTTGAATGAAATATAAACAGGAACAGTCTTAAATAACATTAATATCTTCCACGAATTTGTTAATATTATTAACAATAAGCAAAATCCGTTCCTGTTAAGGGTGTATACTTATATTTTAAAAATATATACTACGGCCTCCAGCCCATAATAACCTTCCTGAACGGCACGAATATACCATGATAAGGTTCGCTGAAAAAATCAAACATTTTAAACAACTATTATACACCCAAAACTCAACTCACCATTGAAAATATTTCCTATTGTTGAAGGTACCATCGCAATACCCGTCAGGGCTGCCCAATTGCACGCCCACGAAATGCTCCGTTTGCGACGTCACAGGCCCCACGTACCTCACCCTGCCGCCCTTCACTCTACCCTCAGAAGTGATAACTTTCACCCAATTATCCAGCTTCAAATCCCGCGAAACCCTAGGCAGAAACGGCACCCAACCAGGAGGCGGTACGTTATCCCCCGAAGGTTCCGGAGCAGAAGCCCTCCGAACGCCAGTTTTAGTTTTCCCCTCGCTAAACATATATACAAATTACAAATTGTTTATAGTACATGGGATTAGTGCATACCAATAAGAAGCGAACGTGTCCCTTCCCGTGACGATACAATCGATGGACCTCCTCAAATAATTCTCGGCTTCCTCCACCAAGCTATCGGTGGAGTCCCCGCTGTCCAACGTGCTCCAATCGCCTCTCAACTCGGGCAGAGACCCGTTGGCGAATCGCACTTTCGAAGGCGCCTGCTTCGAGACGGCCCGCCGCGACGGCGACACCGGCGCCGAGCACCGTCTCGACGCCGCGTTCAGCGGGCACAAGCTGCCGTACTGCGACTGCGATTGGCTCGCCTCGCTCGGCGACGCCGTCGCGGCGCTCCACGTGAACTTCTGCGACTGAAAAACCGCCGACTGAACGATTCTATAACGAGTTTGTGTAAGATATTTACCACGTATCCTCCGGGGGAGTACAAGTCGGTGGTCTTGAGGAATTGCCCGTAGGTGGGCGTCACTCCGGTGGGTTTTAAAACGGCTGGAAAGAGGTGGTCGGCTGATCGGGACAGCTCGGGCACCATGCTGGTGAAGCCGATGTCTGAAAGTAGGACTCTTCGAGCTTCTACGGTTTTTTCTGATAAGCGCAAACGGGAGCCCGGCAGCGGTAATTTCGATGGTAGCGTTGTGAAGTTATCGCCCAATCTCGACTAAAACAAGTTACAATTCATAAACAGTTACACAATTAAAAGTTCACTGTAGTACCTTATTAGCTAGGCTACTCTCAGACCTCCATTGAGATCCTGGTATCGCTGATATATCAGTTTGAGCGCCAGAATCCTTCCTAACAGCATTCGATTGAGTCAATATAGGTCTAGATCTTCTTCCACTCTTCGACAAAGCCTCCCTGCAATCAATCCTTATTAACACACATCTACTTTTATAATCGTATGTTCCTACCTATGTAATAGCGGCCTGTACTGCAAAGGATTAGGGCAAGTATTCCTCCTTCCTACCACGTATTCAACGTCGTGTATACCGCACTTGGAAATATCCGTTTCGATGATGCGAATCCTCTCTTCGAACCGATCGAAACTCTCGTCCTTGTCGATCGACCGGTTCTCGAAGCTCGAATCCTGCAACGAGTAGTAGCTCTTCGCGCTCTTCTCCTGATTGATGGAAACGTCCGACTTGGAGTCGCAGATTTGGGAGTTGTCCCGCCGGAAGTGGCTGTTGTCCTGGTGCTCGTTGTCGTTGAACACGTCGTCGTCCAGCTCCTTGTCCGACAGGTCCGTCTCGCCGAGGGGCAGCCGTAGGAGATCGGGCCCCCGGGCGCCGCCCTCGGCCGGGTCGATGGAGACCAGCTGCTCCTTGAAGTCGGACTCTTTGGTTTCGTCGGTGGTGAATATCAGCTCGATGTCGTCCACCTCCTCGGTCTGGTCGAGGTCGTTTTGGTTGGGTTCGGTGGAATTGCTCGATTGGTCCTTGTCAGTCATCTCATTTACGTTTCGGTTGAACTTTCGATCGATGCGGCTGGATGAGCGCGAGAAATTGAATGTTTTCGTTAACGTGAACGATTGCAATGGCGATTTTAGTATTGTCAGGCTTTCGAGCGATTGAGTTGCTGTTGTGGGGCTTGTAGACTCTCTTTTTATGGAAATTCTGGCTTCGATGTTTCCTGTGCTTCGTTTCGGTGACGCGATTGTTACTTTTTTACCTGTCGATTCTTCTGGAATTATTTTTGTTTGTATCAAAATGTATTGCTTATTTTTGTTTAATAATTTATTACCTTTTCCCAGTTCATTTTGTGCTTCGGATGCTTGATCTTCTGGTGGCTCTTTAAGTAGGCGATTCTCTAGAGTAACAGCCTCCTTGGGATTGCTGGAGCTATTTTTTAATTTTAATATTTCCGATTTGCTTTCTTCAAGGGCAGCTCTAAGGGCGACTACTGTTTGATGTAGGGCCCTCACAGTTTCCAGACTCGGCTCCCTTCGACACTCGCCACCATGTTCCATTTTATTTTTTCCTTATCCATGCTGCTATCACTCGATTTTTTTTTGTATAAATCACATTTTCAAGGAAACAACCACCCTGGAATATTTCGTGCCTTGTAGAGAAAATCTAATTACTGACAAAACACTACTCACGAGTCCTTAGGTTCTAGTGCATGGCAACGTAATAAACAAGACACATTGCCGCTGATAAACCACTTAATTTCCTCACAGGTGCCCTAAAATTTCTATTTCAAAACATTAGAATCAATAAATGTAATTTGTACTACCCCGGGAATTACTAGGCAATCACCGACGTGCGGATAAATTTCGTACGTAGTACGTCGCAGCTTACTTCGTTTACTGAAACGTAAAAAGTGTTGCCTAACTCAGAAATATTTTTTTGTTTAAAATAGATATATTATTCAAATTAATTTATGTTATGGTATTTGAATCGCTTAATTTATTAATTATTTTTAGTCGATTAAAAATAAAATTATCCATTTTTTAATTATTAGCTGGAATCTCAAAAAAGTGCTGTAAAAATAATTATGAACAGTCAATTGTCATATCGCCATTACATTTAATATCAAAAATACGAAAAAATAATTTATTTAGAACAAATTTACGAAAATTACAAAACTAAAAAATATAAAAAATTACTCTGATAGAAAATTGACACAACATGAATACAAAGAAATAAATCATAACATCTTGAATAAATACCACACAATAACTTATGATCTTGTTCATTCGCCTTAAATATCGCCTATTAGATAATACGATAATAGATGATATAAAACTATTCGTAAAATCGATGTTAGAAGACAAAAATATAAATTCGTAAATCTTGTATCCTATAAGAGGTAAGAATATTTTATTTAGATTCATGAAGTCTTTCTGTATGTTCAATAAATCGAAAAGGATGAATACCAAGTTCGTTAACAAGGGAAGGATTATTATATACAAACGTTGAAAGTTCTTTTTCACTGCTATAGGTGGTACTTGAGATATAGAATCATCATCGCTGAAAACCCTGGGATTCTGAAATATTGTTTCTAAATGTTTCTCGGTCGATTGAGATTCCAGTAATCCTCCCAAATCATTGCCTTCAATGTTAGAAGAGTGTTCTGCCGTCAAAGACCTCTCCCTTGCCTCGGTGAAAGATTTGCCTAACAAAAGCAAATTTATTGATAGTAAATTCAATTAACAGTTCACTCACCATCAAGTTCGGACGTTGTAGTTCTGCATTCCACGCTAGTTATTTTCTTTAATCTACTTTCGGAATTTTCGAGGATCTTTCGTCGTCTGGCTTCTCTCCTTGCAGCTAAATCATCCATAGTTAAAATTTACAAATTTATATTCAAGTCACTGAAAGCTGAAGTCACCATAAAAGTTAGGTTAGTTTATGATATGTCAAATTCTTCTTTCAAATTTTTTTTAATGTTATAGTGTAATATAAGATATCCAGCCAACTATAAGTAATTTGGTAACACTGCATGAAAAAAAATGACAATTGACATTTGTTAATTTTTTTGAGGTTATTTTCTTTTCCTTGCGCTTGTGTTTTCCACGTGTTGAGGATAGTTTTGTTGTTTGATTGTTGATGGAGTCTTAAACGTTATACAATGGTATTTATACTATTTTGTGCTTCTAATTGCTGTGTAACATTAATATTCCTTTGCAGGCCAAGTTATATGTTTTGTTTGAACATGCTGCCGGCTATGGGGTCTTCAAAGTGGAAGAATTCGAAGAAGTGGGAATGCTTCTTCCACAACTAGAGGCTGCTGTGACCGATGTAAGTCGATTTAACAGCATTGTGAAGCTGGTGGGATTTTCTCCGTTTAAATCTGCCTTGACTGCTTTGGAAAATATCAATGCTATATCTGAAGGTAATTTGGGTTATTTGGTGTTTATCCATATGTATTAACTCTTTTCGTTTTATAGGTATCCTACCCGAGGAATTACAGCATTATCTCGACATTACGATTCCTAAAGGTGGCAAGAAAGATAAAGTTACTTTGGGTGTGAGTGATCCGAAGCTTTCCGCTGCTATAACCGAAGGTTTAGGCATTACCTGTAGCCATGTGGGTGCTGTACCGGAAATTATCAGAGGTAATATAACTCTAAACGTTATACAAATATAAAGTTGGCTGTTTATCCTGCAGGAATCAGACATCATTTCCACCATTTAGTGAAAGGTTTTACGTTGAAGAGTTCGGGAGTCGCCCAGTTGGGTTTGGGGCATTCGTATTCTCGTGCTAAAATAAAGTTCAATGTACATAGAGTGGATAACATGATCATTCAATCTATAGCTTTATTGGATCAATTGGACAAAGATATTAACACATTTTCTATGAGGATTCGGTAAGTGTTTTGTTTTGCATCGTAAAAATTTGTTTAATAATTAATTTTCCTGTAGCGAATGGTATTCTTACCATTTCCCAGAATTGGTCAAAATAGTGCCAGAAAATTACACCTACGCAAGAGTGGCTAAATTCATCAAAAACAGGAAGGAATTATCCGAAGGATCTTTGGAAGGCTTGGAGGAAATAACTATGGATTCGGGCAAGGCTCAGGCTATTTTGGACGCTTCTAAATCCAGCATGGGCATGGACATAAGCGATATAGATTTGTTGAACATTGAAATGTTCGCCACGAGAGTAATATCTCTGGCCGATTACAGGAAACAATTGGCCGAATACCTGACTAGTAAAATGTCAGATGTAGCACCGAACCTCGCTAAATTAATCGGCGATCAAGTGGGCGCTAGGTTAATTGCCCATGCGGGATCGTTAACAAATCTAGCTAAATATCCTGCTTCTACTGTTCAAATTTTAGGAGCCGAAAAGGCTTTGTTCAGAGCATTAAAAACTAGAGGTAAATCTAATTCTATACACTTACATTCACTTACTAATTAATATGTGTAATTTCAGGCAATACTCCTAAATATGGCTTAATCTTCCACTCTACTTTCATCGGTCGAGCTGGGCCCAAGAACAAGGGACGCATCTCGAGATACCTGGCTAATAAATGTTCGATAGCCTCGAGAATCGATTGTTTCGCTGATTCTCCTTCTTACGTGTTCGGGGAAAAACTGAGGCAACAGGTGGAAGACAGGTTGAAGTTCTACGAAAACGGAGATATTCCCAAGAAAAACATCGATGTTATGAAGGAGGCCTTGGAGGAGTACCAGCAGCAGGTCGTTGAAGCTCAGGTAAATCCTAAACGTGTTCCCAAAACTATTTAAAATTAACTCTTGGAAATTTTTGTAGTCTGAAAAGAAGAAGAAGAAAAAGAGGAAGTCGCAAGGTTTGGATAATTCTTCGGTAGGCGAAGAGAACGGTTTGAACGGGTCCGAGGAGTCGCCGAAGAAGAAAAAGAAAAAGAAGTCGATAATGGAAGAAAGCCAGGAGGGAAGTTTAAACGGTACTTTGGATGAAAGTACGGATGTCCCGAAGAAGAAAAAGAAGAAGAAGAAGCAGTCGTTGGAAGCGGCCGAATAATTTCGTTTTACAGCGGCAAATACCGTTTTATTCTATGTAGTTTATAAAAATCAAGTAAATTGTATCTTCTTTAGTCGTAAGTTGTCAGGTTCTATCCAAGTTAATTTTGTAATACTATTTCTCTAAAGTTTAAATGTTTTTTAACTGTTTACCTACTTCTGTAAAAGGCCTTACTTTGAACAAAATTAGAAGTTTGAACAGTGACACATCTGTCAATTGAAAACTAGGTACGTCACTTTTATTTATATTTTTGAATGGGACATACGAATTTTAAATTTAATATCATGTCGAATAGCGATATTTTGTTAGAACATGCGATAGAAGCGGCTAAAAAGGCCGTACAATTCGACCAACAAGGAGAATCCGGTATATCGACGTATTATTACGAGGCTGCTTCTCGACTTCTTAGGCAAGTGGTTACATTAATTGAAGACCCAGAAAGATTGGAGTCCCTCAACGAAAAGGCTAGTCAGTACGAAAATAGAGCCGACGAATTGAGGAACGTTGCCCCGACCGAGCACAAAATTGTAGGTGAAAATGAAAATACTTGCAAACTCAAACAGTGCTATTTTCTATTAAATCAAGCCATAGAAGAAGATGAAGCCGGTGACAAGGAAGACGCGATTAAATTATACACGAAAGCTATCGAATACGTAACGCAATGCCCCGATTTAATGCAAGGCGAATTGAAATCGTTAGTTTTACAAGCGTTAGATCGAGCCGAAGAATTGAAAGGTTTGGTTCGTTATTAATTAAAATCATGGTAGTTATAGAGCGCCTTTTTAGGTATAAAAAAGTCAGTAACTTCATCCGTTATACCCGGAATTTCTCCCACGAAATCAGTTCAACAAGCATCCCAATCAAATTCGCACGTTGCACCGCGTAGAATCCAACAAGTATCTTCTTCTTCATCGGACGGATATACCGAAGAGGAAAAACGGGTTCTTCTTTACACTTCCAAAATCAACGGACGAGACTACGTTCCGTTCATGTCCATAGATTTATCCGAACGGTTCCAGTACTCTATACCTTTCACAGACAAGGACGGCCATTTGATGTTATCGGCCAAACAAAGAAGGGACTTCTACAAGTTCGTTCGACCCGAAGAGTTGTGTCACGAACCGTGCATAGTCTACGGTTCCTTCCCCAATTACTTGAGCATCAAGCAAACTGTGATAACGGATTGTTCTTTCGTAGCTAGTCTAGCCGTTAGTGCTTCATACGAAAGCAGGTACATCGAGCTGTATAGCTCATTATAAGCCTCGTTAATACTTTTTGGATTATTCCAGGTTCGGAAGGAAATTAGTAACCGCCATAATTTATCCACAAACTAAAGATAAACAACCGCTGTATAACCCGTTTGGTAAATACATGATTAAATTGCACATAAACGGCGTCTCTCGAAAAATTATAATCGACGACAGTTTCCCGATAGATAGGTACGGGAGATTACTATGTTCTTATTCGGCTAACAAAAATGAATTTTGGATTTCGCTTCTAGAAAAGGCTTACATGAAAGTTATGGGCGGGTACGATTTTCCGGGTAGTAATAGTGTAAGCAAAAACTACACTCAATTCTACTACGTTATATATTTACTAATAATTATTTCAGAATATCGATCTACATGCACTTACCGGTTGGATTCCCGAAAGGGCTTCTATTAGAAACAATCCGGAATTCAATAAAGACGGTTTATACGAGAAAATCGAGGATCGCCTAGCCAAAGGCGACGTCTTAGTAACCGTAGCAACGGGAGAAATGTCCGACATGGAAACAGAACGTAGCGGTTTAGTCTCTACTCACGCTTACGCTGTGATGGACGTACAAACAGTCGATGGCGTGAGTAATTTAACTCTCTTCTACACAATCATCTAATCTGTTTTATTAGGTGAGATTGTTCAAATTGAAAAATCCTTGGTCGCACCTGAGGTGGCGCGGAAGATACTCCGAATTGGATACCAGAAGGTGGACGCCGGAGCTCCAAAGGCGACTCAATTTCGATCCTAACAGCGCCGCTCAATTCGATAACGGCGTGTTTTGGATCGATTACGATAGCTTGTTGAATTTCTTCGACGTGTTTTACATGAATTGGAATCCCGAGTTGTTTCAGTATACTTATAGCATACACCAGTAGGTAGAAGTGGCTTGTAGTTTGCGGAAACTTACAGTTTGTTTGGTGTTATTTCAGATCTTGGAATGCTGGAACAGGTCCTGTGAAAGATCTGTATACCATAGCTGCAAATCCTCAATTTAGTCTCAATATACCTGGTGATGGTGGTGGAGCTGTTTGGTTGTTGTTATCGAGGCATATTACAGATATAGACGATTTTAGGGATAATAAAGAATATATTACTTTATTTGTGTACAACGGAGGTCAAAAAGTTTATTACCCTTGTGAGTTGTACATTTTTTTTAAAGCATTCTTCATATGATTATTGTTATTTTTAGTCGATCCAGCTCCGTACATTGACGGTGTTAAAATTAACAGCCCGCATTATTTGTGTAAAATTATTTTAAAACCAGGCTCAAGCAGAAAATACACTATCGTCGTGTCACAGTACGAAAAATCTACCACGATTTACTACACGCTCAGAGCGTACGCTACGCTACCATTCACTCTATCAAAAATAATAGACCCTTACAAATTTGAACAGCAGGTATTTGGAATTACTGTTTTTGAAAATTTTGTACTATAAAATTGAATCGTTTTAGCTAACTAGCGAATGGAGAGGCCCTACTGCTGGTGGATGTCCCAACCATCCTGCTACATATTCGAATAATCCTAAATTTATCATCGATTTCGAGTCGGATTCCAAATTGTTGGTCGAATTGAAGGGACCCAAGCAGTATCAGATTGGCGTCGAAGTTGTTATACAGCAAGTAAAAGATGAATCGGTTACGGCGCCATTCAGGTCTACTTCTTCAGGGTCTTATCGGTAATGATAGTAATATTTTAGTACTTTTTGGTTTTTTAATAGCAATTTATTTTAGATCTGGATACGTTGTTATGGACCTTCCGGCTCTCCCGGCTGGTCTTGTAAAAATCATTCCTTCGACGTTCTTGCCTCACCAAGAGGGACCATTTATTTTGAATATTAAATCGACCTCAACGTTTAAGTTTTATAGAGTTTAAGATTTTTATCGCATTTAGCTTTTGCTGTTAACATATTTTTACAATGCCTACGTGCGTTATTGTTGAATTTTGCTTATTTAACATTATACAATCTATATATCTATTACAGTTTAAAAAAATATAATTCTTGTGGAGTTTTTTGATAAAAGTAACTGCATGCTCGTAGAGAAGACGCCAATATTAAACTAAAGCGAAGAATTTTTAAAACTGGCAACGCTGCTCCCGACTGACTTTTGTTATGTTGATCTGTCATCTGTCAGCTATCGTTTAATTTGCCGTAAGTCGAAAGATGAACGAGAATTTTTAATTTTTACATAAAATAATTCAATTTATTTATTATTAGAGTGAAATTCATTTTATTTCAGTAAAGTGAATAACTTAATCTCCGAGATTACACTTATAAACTAGGTAAGTTAACAGATTCAGTAAAATATTGAAAGTACATTTATATTATACTCCTGTATTATCTGAAGTTTACGGTGTAATTCCACCTGAATTTCGTGCCTTTATACTCATTTTTCCAACTTCTCTACATATTTATCTATGAATAAGAATAAATATGGAAATTACTTATTTGTACATTTACGGAGATTGATTTGTAAGTAAAGGTAAGAGAGTCGACCATTTTGTGTTGTGTTATGTGGCGCTAAATTTAAAATTACAATCTCACATGTAGGTAATTTTAACGACTGTAATTACGGTAAGTCCAACTAGAAACTCGAAAATCTCCTTCTACAGTTAACTCGTTTTTCATTACCCAATTATTTTTACAGAACTCTAATATATTGAAAAAAGTGAAGTATCGAATCGTTGAAGCAGTGTGACCCAGTGGTGTTTTTATAATGGAACCGTGTGCTCCAGGCACCGAGGATGATCCTCCAATCATGTATTCTACACTTAACAAACAGGTAATTACTTATTTGTTTAAATTACATTAAATTCCAATATTTTTGTTTTAGTATTATATGTAGGTAAGTAATGTAATTTTATCGTATAATTTTTAAAAAACACAAACAATTTGAGTAAATTAACTGTTAGTTAATTTATCTATCGTCTGTGACAATTAGTTTAATTTTTGTGTAAATTTTAAAAACCGCTAACAAACCAGTAAGTAGATACATAAAACATGTTTACAAAGTTATTGTTAATTCCGACGAAAAATAATTAAACATTCTATTTCCATTAAATTAATTCTGAGGTTTTATTCCTAGGAATCTGTGAATTCTAATCTTCCTGCAAAACTTTGAGGAATAGGAGATTTTATTTTGTAAATTAATTTATAGTACTTTCATTATTCACTAATAATTATACAGGTACAAGAGTTTTATTGAAACAAATCAATGCCGGGTAAAATGGCTTTAAAGTTCTATCAGTAGATTCTTTTTTAAGTTGTGTCGTTTTCTTCACAACTTATCTAGTGCAACAAGTGCGTGTAAGCGGATGATAATGCAATCAATGCATTATCTACAGATAAATTTTGAAAATTCAATTCAATAGCTGTGCCGCGATTCCGAGCTCAAATTCGATCGGAGCGCCTTTAAACAACTTCTCTATACAATAGGGCATTAAAGTGATCCAGTGGTTCAACCCATTCGAATTAACCATACAGCTAAATAACTATGAAGGAGTAGGAGTTTATTAATAAATTCGAATACACTCGTTAGATACTTTTTCGCAGAACGATACGCCGCCGTAATTACAGCTATTAAAGTACGGATGTATTGCAGGAGAACGAGCAGGAGCGTTTGCTCAGCCAGAAGGCGTTCCTGCGCAACGGCAAGTACGACAACGTCTTCGAATTGTCCTATCAAAATGGCGCCGCGAAATGGTATTGTAAAGCGTGCGAATGTCCCGTCATGGGCAGAGTATTTCAACACGAATCGGGCCGTCGCCATACGATCAATCTCTCCAAGCACAACATGGAGAAATTCCAAAAGGCTCCCAGTCCCGAAGAGCCGGTGCAGGTGGAAGTGGCGCCCGGCGAGCCTCTCCCGCCTGGATTCGAGGATATCGGTAGAGTCTCTCAAATTCAGGTAATTTTTTTTAGAAGTATTAAGAGGAGATGTTTTATTGCGTTGTATTTAATAGGAGCGTTTGGATGGATTCAAAGTGGGGCCTTTAGTCGCTTTGGAATACCTGCTCGAATTGCAAGACGATGATAGTTCGAAGGAACCGTTTTATTTGTGCATACTGTGCGATAAAAAGGGCGACCCGAGGACTGTTTTAACGCACCTCGCCAGTTACAATCACATTTCGCAGGTAAACTACAAATCGTACATCTTGATACATTACATACTTAAATACTTTGTTTTGTAGTATTTGCAGAAGCATTTTCCGACTTGCTGGCGCGCTTTGGCTCCGTACAACACCAAGCAATACAGGAGGAACTGGCAGACGACGTTGCAAAAAATCGCCGAAGGCATCGAAAAGAAATTCGGCCGCTTGAAGCCGTACCCGATCGATAAGGATAAATTCGAAAAAGATCGAATGCACTTTCTGCAAATCGTCGGCAAAGGGAGGCACTTCACCGAAACCACCGGCTACACGTTCGAGGAATTGGTCGTGCACGAGGAACTGACCAAATCGCACGAAGGTGAACCCGACGCGCTCTTATCAATAAATTCATTTAAACAAAATCGTTTGTTTTAGAGGAAAAATCGTACGAATCCACGTCGGCTAATAACTGGGGCCACGTATCGACCATTCAGAAACCGTTCAAAAAACGAAGTCCTTCGCCTCCAGTGGTCGGTATTCCGAAGAAAAACAAAGGGAACGCCTTGACTAATCCCAGGAAAGCGCAAGAACCGGCTTACACCGTACCAGCCAAGCAACAACTAGGTCTGAATAATCCTCCGATGCGTCCACAACAAACCATCGGAGGCGACAGCTCGTCTTCTGGTTTACAACAAGCGGGGCAATCGGTTGTAAAGGCGAGTCCGCCGAGGCAACAATCCAGAAGAAGATCCCTATCGAGCGTATCGAGTCTATCGGATAACAGCGATTGTAGCGACGACGATAGAGATAAGAGATCTAGAGACAGGTTTCCTTATAACAGAAGCCGGCCGCATTACGATAGAGGCAAGCCCTTGCCTTACGGAAGGTACTAAATACCTTTTTAAACATTCGCATATGTATTAATTATGTTTTTTGTAGGCGTAGGTCACCATCGCCTAGACACAGATCGCCGTACAGGCGTCGATCGCCGTCGTTGAAGCGACGCTTCTCGCCCAAATACCGCTCGAAATCGCCCGTATCGCGTCGATCGGTATCGCCCGGCACCGAAAAGGAACGGGAAAAAACCCAAAAACTGGACGAGTTTAAGAAACTGGCGCGCGCCATCGAAACCGACATGCAGAAAACGCTGAAACAGCACGAGAAGAATCCCGAAAAGCATCCGCAATACAACGACGAATGGAAGAAGTTTTGGAACAGACGGTACCGATTTAAATACGATATACTATCAACGAAATTCTAATTGTTAATCGTTGTAGATACAAAGAATTGAAGAGCGAGGGCGTCGACGTGCAAAAGCACGACTTCAAGCCGGAGTGGATACAATTTTGGAACAAGCGAATGGTCGAATTGCACAACGAGGAATTGAAGACGAAGAAGGAGGCGTTGAAGAAACGGCTCGGCCTGTCGGACGAAATCGCACCGATTCGTTTCCGGATCGGCGGGCCGCCTCTGTCGTTGCCCGATAAAATCGGCCTCGCCAAAAATCCCGTCAAACCCGTACCGATGGCGGCGCAACCGGATCAAGACAACGAGGTGATCATTATCGACGATAAAGACGAGGACGGCGCGAAGAATTGGAAGGACAAGAGCAAAGGTAATGCGACGATTCCGATGGTGCTTTGAAGTCTATTTGAGTAATTTTATTTTGTTATTAAAGGTGGTTTATCGCGCACGAAGTCGAGCAATCGTTCGGTCAGTCCGAATAGAGACAGGAGTCCTCCGGGAAGATCCAGAGCTAAGCAGTATTCGAGGTCGCAAAAACGATCTATATCCAGGGACCTTTCACCTTTCAGTGACAGTTTCAAAATGTCCAGGTATATAATCTCGAAAACTCATAAAACAGTCGTTTATATCCTCCAGTGTATTCCAGATTATCCAAGCGCTCGACGTCCAGAGACAGATTACCTAGCAGAAGATCCAGATCTCGATCGAAATCTCCCGAAAAGACTTCCACCAAGCGCTCTCTATCCGGCGACAGAAATCTATCGAGATTGAAGAACCCTTCGCCGATTACCGCAAATTCCAGCGCGTCGAGGTACATACATTCTTATATTAGAAACATAAATCGAGTACATTAAAATTGTTTGTAGGTTTAAGGGTCGCCATAGAGACTCCAGGGACAGATCGTTGTCGAGAAACCGATCGCGTTCGAGGAGTCGAGGAGCCTCTCCGTACACTAGAAGATCGAAGGATCGAAGGTCACCTTCGAGAGAAAGGAGCTGGGAGAAGAGGGACGCCGATAAGAAATTCATCAGAGAAAGTTCGTTCGAAAGGGACTTGAGGGCCAAAGAAAGGATCAGAACGGTGGCCGATTTGCCGTGGGAAAGTAGAGAGATGTTGCCGGGTAGAGGTAAATTTGATAGCGATAACTCGCGTTATCTTATTAAATTTCGTTGTGTAGTTTACAGAAATCCGTACTTACCGCCGCCTATTATGCGAGACGTGACCAGAAAACCCGTCGATTTAGTCGGGGGTTCTAAATTACCTTTAGAAAACGACGAAGACGATAGCGAAGTAAACGTAGTGGACGTCCTGCGATTGCTGACCGCCCTAGAAGAACGCCTGGGTTCTCTAGGCCCCAAAGTAATCGATCTTCTCGCCCAAGCTTTGGCGTTGGAGAAGAACGAAGCGAACAGCTCCGAAAGTCTGCTCGACAACGACATCAATTGCGTGCTGTTCGAGACCGTCAAAGAGAAACTGAAAGGTCAGATGTTCGCCGGGCTGGTGGACGTCGTGCAAGAGAGGGCGTTCAAACGGGCGATCAAAAAGATCGCCAGTTTGCTGCACATGGCCGGCCAGCGGAAGAAGCAGCGGAGCAAAGTAATACCCAAGGCGACGCCCGTCACGGTGCCCGGGCTGGGCAAAGTCGACAAGGCCGCCATCGCCAGGCAGATAGCCAACGCGCTGGTGGCGCAAGGCAAGACGGACGTGTCGCAGAGCGATTTGGAGACGCTCATCAACGCCGTGGTGGGCATGGCGGAGGTGTCGAAAACCTCCAACAAACCCATAACGACCGCCAATTTTCTCCAACAGCTCGGCGCCGATAAGGACAAACCGGCGGCGGCGGCGACGGCGAGGAAATCGGATCTGATCGATTTGGAGAAACTGACGGAGCCGCTGACGCCGAGTCCCGGCAAAAATTCGATCAACAACATGGAGAACCTGTCGGATTCCGATTTGCAGATGTTGCTGCAGAACTTCAAGGACCTGTCGACCGAAGAGCAGCAGAATTTGATCAATTACTTGAAGAAGCTGGAGTACCAGGAGCCCGAGCGCGTCGAGAAATTGAGGAAGTTCGTCAACTTGGAGACCGGTTTTAAGGAGAACGACGACGAGGATGTGGACAAGAAAATCGAACAGAAGAAAGGTAGAGAAAGCCCGTTTTCGAATCGATCGGGCGCTCTGAATCCGGATAACGATTTGATCGATATAGACTCGGACGAGGAAATCGAAAAGGACGAACCGAACGATGCGAAAGACGACGACAAAGATAAAAGCGACAAGAGAGTTCACGTCGACTCCGAGGACGAGTACACCTTCGAAGACGTCGTCAAAACCGTATCGAAGAACGTGAAGGACAAGGAAATGGAGCACAACAAGAAAGTGCTGGAGGAAACGTTGAAATACGACAAGGCCTCGTCGTCGTCGGACATCAATTTGACCAACGCTAAAGACCTCATCTCGAATTTAATGGCGAACATCAACAAAACCAACTCGAACCATTCGAGCAACGTCGATCTGCTGGGATTGGGACCGACGGCGCGGAACCCTAACCCGAACCTTCCCGCCAACGTCGCCGACGTCGATTTGACGAAGCTCAGCGACATCAACATGTCGAATCTGGCGAGCATCGTGAACAATTTCAAAAACATGCCGGCCAATCCGACGACCGAATCGAACAAACTCGACTTCCAACCGCCTTCGACGGTTAAAAGCGCGAACAAACTGAACATCGATCTCGCGTTGCTCAAACCCGCACCGCTCGAAGAGGTTAAACCGATGAGACAGCAACCGTTCGACAGAGGTATGATGAGGTTCGATCCACCGGACGGTCCTAGGAGGTCTATGGAGAATCAAAGATTCGATAGGTTTAACGCGGATAGGTTCGCTCCCGATAGATTCGCGCCCGGTGATATGATGGATAGGTTCTCGGGCGGTTACCCTCAGGGGAACCCGGACAGGTTCGGCGGGGGGCCGCCTTTGAACGTGGACAAGTTCGGCAATTTCGGTGGGCCCGAGAGGAATATGGCGGGGCGCATGGACAAGGCGCCGCCGCCGATGAATAGATTTCCCCCGTCGGGTGGGCCGAGGATGATGCAGAACGTCGGGATGGGCGGGAAATTCAGGGGCGGTGCAGGGCCGAATATGGACAGTAGAGGGATTCGGCAGGGCGGGCCGCAATTTCCTAACGATATGTTACCGAGGAATCCTCGAGGATTCCTCGGGTAAATGTGCATGTACGTAAATGTTAAGATATACACGATTAAGAAAAAGATTAAAATTATTATATTAATTTTTAAATTTATTTCAATTCAATCGATTTTAATAATTTCCATGTTTTCTTCGTGTTTTTAGAAGGTCTTCAGCCCTTCTAAGCTATGAGGCTGCCTCAATTTCATTCCTCGTTGATTTTGTTGTCGCCTTTGGAATTAAAGAATGTAAATAAAATTTAATTCGTATGTCTATTTTTTTATTGTAGGTTTGATCAGTGGCTAATTAACCAATTCAATCAAAGTCTATGGGGATCACGAAGAATTTGACGTGCTCGAACATTTATGACGATTAATGCGCGTATTTTGAAAAAGTAAGGTTACGTTAATTTTAGGTTAAATTTTCTTACTATTTATTTAATAATTCATTATTTATATTTATTAGAATGATTATTTAATGGTAAAGTGTTTGAAATGTTCCTCAGAAGTCTCGCGAAGTATGGTTCGTTTTTCTGTAAATCACAATACTCTATCGAAAGAAACTTCATTAGGCACGTTCAAGTTTCTCAGAGAAAATTCAATGATAAAAGTGAGAAAGCGATTGTACGTAAAGATTCTTTTGATTCCGTTAGTGACAAGAATCGTCAAACGTATTTAGATACTATAAAAATGTTTATTAACCAAGACCACATATACAGAAGGGGTCACGTAGAGTTTATTTACTCTGCGTTAAAGAATATGGAAGAGTTCGGCGTTAGTAAAGATTTAGAAGTTTACAAGGCCTTAATCGACATACTGCCAAAAGGTGAGCTTCGAGTATTTCCTTAATATATTTTTACTAACGACCTATTTTACAGGAAAATTTCTTCCGCAAAATATGATTCAAGCCGAATTCATGCACTATCCCAAACAACAACAATGCATCATCGATTTATTAGAACAAATGGAAGAAAATGGTGTAATGCCCGACATAGAAATGGAGCCGCAGTTATTGAATATATTCGGCAAAAGAGGTTACCCTCTACGAAGGTACTGGAGAATGATGTATTGGATGCCGAAGTTCAAAAATTTGTCTCCCTGGCCAGTGCCCGATCCTTTCCCTACGGATACATTCGATTTGGCAAAATACGCCATCGAGAGGATAACCAGTGTCGACGTGAATTCCGTAGTGACTGTTTACCAAAGTTCCGATATACCCGAATCCATTGACGATACGTGGATAGTTAGTGCTCAAAGTAAAACACAACAGACACTTCTCAGTGAACACGAACTAGACAAACCCATATACGTGGAAGGTCCGTTTACGGTGTGGATAAGAGGCAATCCCATAAATTATTTTGTTCTGCGAGGCGAGCCGAAGCCTTTGATAGAAGGAGACAGCGATCCTGACGACGTGAGCAAGTTGAGACCGTCATTGTTTGGCCTTCGACCTCCCGTTACAAAGTTTCTTAAAGTGATTCCTTCAGTACATGAGCAAGAAGATGCAGTTATATTTTCGGTTTGCGCGACGGGAACTTCTAGTAAGGACAGTTTGTTATCGTGGATTCGACACCTCGAAAAGGACGGGTATCCAAACTTAGGTAAAATTCCTGTTGTATTCAAATTGAGATCCGGTACTAAGGAAGTAATTAATCCTGATGAAGGGAAGGATCCTAAGGATCAGCTGGATGATAAATGATAGGTAATATAATTGATTATATTTCTAATTGTTTAAATGATTGATTGATAGAAATAAAAAAATGGTTATAAACGATCTATACTTAAACACATATCACAATACAATTTTTTACATACTCTTAAGATTAAAATAAATTTTAATTTCTTATGTTCAAATAATAAATATAAAAGCTTATAATCTGTTACAAGCTAAATGAAATAAAAAAAATGAATCATTTAAAAATGGCACAATTATATGTACAAGTGTTGCATATGAATTGAGAAATAATGGAAATATCAAATTTTGTAAAATGAGCTGCGAGGATTCCTATTTGGAGTTGAAGTCTAACCACCCTCTCCTATGAAAAATAGTAGTACAATTTGCCATAAAACTGACATAAATTAATTACAGGGCTTCAGCTGTAAAAATATGTACAAACTAAAAAAAATCTGCTATAAAGAAACAAAAGACTCCTGCTAAATCCTACCAAAATTTTACTATCAGAAAAATATATGGCCGCGAAAAATAAATAACTGTATACAAAATAATCACAGTCTATTTACAACCTAACATTAATTTTCTTTTTCAGTTATAAAAGTGAAAAATTAAAAATAAATATTCTTTTACTTATAAAAAAGTGCATCACAGAAATGATAACTTCTGTTGTAAATACTAAATATTAGTGTCTCAAACTGGTCAATTTTACAATCCCCAGAAGTTATCACTTCAATAATAAACAGCGATAGAACTTATCTGTAATTTAAGTTTTTTTTAAATGGAAATTAAACAGTAGCCATGTGTATCAAGGAAGCTTGTTAATTAATTGGACTATGTAGTTCCAAATAGATTTCAGTCGATTAACAAGCATACTTGCAGATATCATGCACAATTTATGCATTCCCAATTTATGCATTCCCAATTTTCCAAGTTGTAATTACGACTTTCAATTTCCTTCACTGGTAAACATAATCACATTCGAGACCGGCCGATGCGAGTTCCTTATATTACAGTCTCGCTCCCAGATCTCAAATGGTGCACTCTCGGCTTCCTGTGCGGATGCGGCCTCAACGAATGCTTCGACGCGGTGGTACTCAAACTGGTAGACAAAGTCTGCGCCGGCATGTACCTCATCACCTGTGGCATCGTTTGCACCTTCAAAGGCGCCTGTTTGCGCGGCCCCAAACGCCTCAGCACCGCTCTCCAAGCCGTCACGCTCTTCATCGACCTACAACAAACCCAAAATTACAATTTACAGAACGACAATTGCGATGGTAGCGTACTCACCAAATCCAAAACACGCTGCTGACTCCTATAAACAAGCTCATGAAGTACTTCAACAGGAACGCCCACAGGGCGGGTTTCCTCTCGCCCGACAGCCACATGTCCCTGTTGTTGTACTCGTAATAAACGCTCGCCAGCACGCAGAACGTCGGTATGGCGTACAGCGTGCAAATGGCGCCCAGAAAATCGCTCTCTTTGCGCGGCGCGGCGTTCGTCAGCGGCGCCGCCGCCAGCGAACGCGGTTTCCTCATCACGTAGCTGCAGCCCAGGAACAACAACGCCGAACCGCACAGGAAGTACAGGCAATACGGTATCAACACCAACGATAGGAGTGTGGTGGAGTTTCTGTTGCCGATATAGCAAGTTCCTATAACACAAGAAACATTTTTTATTATCATCCAACCGGGAAGTTTAGTATCGAAGGAAGCTTAGCATCAATTAAAAGAATATTTATATAGGTAAAGAGCAAAGAAGAAACGTGGTATATCAACTGAGAACTGATAAGTGAACCGAGCATCAAAGCCTTATCTCCAATTAAAAAAAATCCATTTCCCAAAGGTGAAGAGCCATTAATCCGTTCGAGTGTAAATGACTCGCAAGTTATATTTACATACACCCTTCATCTGAACACTTCACTTGAAGAAGCGTACTAGATAGCGATCAAAACAGGCCCGGCGAATTTTTAAAGCTGCTCTTTTTATTTTCTTCTTCAAACCAACAGCATGTCGTCTGAGACAAAGCCTACCAGATTTCGCTCGTTTGCATATACGGTTCGAGTTTCTGGTCCCCGATATCGCGAATCTAATCGGTTTGTTAAACGACAACCCGGTCGACAGGAGCGACACGTTTATGTAAAACGCGCTACCCGAGCGACTTTTTTTTTTATTTCAAAATAAACCTCGCTTCGAAAAATCGCTATAATTAAGTCGATTTGAGTTAATTAAAATTTTTAGAACAAAAAACCCCATCTCGTTGCATGCTAATCAAAACAGATCGCTTATCGTGTTTGTTTTAACTGCACCAAAAAAAATCCACGACCGAGTCGAAAACTACGGTTTGTGAACGGTTTAATCACTATGCCGGACCGAAAAAAAAAAAACGTTTAAGTATTTGTTTTAAGAGCGCATTCGATGCTTAAGGACGAAAAATAAAAAGCACCAACAAGGTACGTATAATCAGGCCGTAATAATCGAGACGTTCCGTAATCACGAGCTGAAATATTCCCCTATAATTATCGGTCATCGATATCCAATTTTACGAAAGTCCATCTAGAAAAACGAAACCGGTACGTCGCGATGTATAGTAAGTACCTTTACCGAGGATCAGGCCACACACGTACCAGGACCGAACTTAAATCAACATAAAAAAAAATAATCTCTCGATGTACCAAACGTTTGCATGAATTTATCTCGATGCCCGTCTACGAGAAACTACCAGCAAATGATAAAACAATCTACAAATAACACTGCAATAATAGTTACTGATCTAATAATTGGAATCGAGAGAGTCAATAGAATGTTCAGACATTGTCTTAATGAGTCAATATATTGACTATTCACTGTCATAACGAGTCGAGAGCATCCATCATTGTCTTAATGTGAATAGCATGTCTGGACATTGACTTATCGAGTCAAATATTGTCTAATCACTGTCTTAACGAGTCAATAGAATGTCTCGACATTGTTTTAACGAGTCAATAAATTGAGCAACGAGCCAATAGAATGTCCAGTCAATTTTAGCGAGTTTTAATCTGCGAGAAAGCGAAAACTCGTTAACGAACAATCACTCTTTAAAATCCCGAGGAATCCCATCAACGTCCGAACAAATTGACATACTTAAACGATAGAATCTAAATCGCACGATAACTCGTTTCGCGTGTATTATCCCTCGAATTGCACAAATAATAAAAAAAACCGGTCGCAGAGAGCGGACTCCACGACCGCGATCGGGTCTCGCTCTTAAAACAGATAAAGCCATTAAAGAGCCGGTATACGGAAAATCGCGTGGAATTTTAAACGCGTCGTTTCGACGCGTGTTTAGAGCCATTCTACTTGACGGTCGATCCGTTAAGACGTTCTCTTTTAATTTTATTTGACACATCTTGCAATTAACCTGCCGCGGCCCGTTAACTACGACATCAACAATTTTTCGTCCGTACATACATCTATTATATCCGTTGCACCTTCGAAGAAGCGAAGAAGTTCTTAATGGGATCTTGATTGGATGAATAAAATGGTCTTGTCTACAATAGCAACACAGTTCATAGTAGAATAGATATGGTAAATAAATGAGGCACTCTAAAGTTGATTGAATGATATTAAATTTGAATAGATCTCCAAGGTAAGCTCAGGTAAACAAGAATGCTACTAAATTTCAGTAAAAATATCTAATAAACGGTATATTTTTAATGTATTTTACCTGTCAATTCGTCGGTATCAACGTCTCTTCTAACTAGAGCAGCGACAGTTTGAGTGGCAGGTAGAGCCCAAGCGCACACGTGGAGTATGGAGCTCAAACTTCTCATCTTTTCGGGGGGCCAGGAGAGACCCACCCTGGCTAACCACCAGGCGCACAGGGCGACCCACCTGTAATTGAAAAAAATCTGTAAACAAACACCCTTCCACGTCTAGTGGATTCTTTTTGAACAATCAATTAGCCGTTACGAGGCACTTTTTCGCTCATAAATAAACATGAAAGTCGATCAGAGCGTCGGAAACGATTTTACTTATCTTATTGAACGTTAATTGACCCCCTGTAAGCTTTTTACTTTGTTATCGTTCCTCATTCGCCCGAAATAGAAAGTCATCCCATCGAACCCCTAACATTCATTTCTACCTTTTTTTTTTATTTGACAACGAATTTTTTTCACTAAACACGTTTCCTACACCTTCATCGCGTCTCCGAAGTTTAAATACACCGTGTTCGATGCAACTACACGGCTGTGAAAATAAATATTTACCGAATAAAAAAAAACAAATTAATCATGCAGCGAGTTAGCTCTGTCCCAAGCAAACGCAGGACCGTACTGTTTAGATACTAACTCTCTTTAGAAATTATTAATAAATGTATCCTTTAAATAAATTATTACTTAATCTGTTGAATGATGGTTGTAAATTTGTATGAATTAAGAGTTGATAATATAAATTCTATTATCTTTTAAAGCCCTCCCTGTGCTAGTAAAAGCGAGTTGTGAGATAATGCAAGGTAGAGAGGAACAGGCTGAGAAAACAAGCGGGGCCCGGTTGATCGGATTGTAAGTTATGCTAGTTAACATCTAGTTAGAATATGCTATGAGGCCTGTAAGAGGCCAGGTAAGACCGTGGGCGTGGTTCGACTGCACCGCGTTTGTTTTAGGATTATAATCAATTTAAGGTCCGTTGACAGTGATTGCACGTTCGGGGGATGGCGCGAGACGAAACATCTCGCTCTCGGCCGCTCCCGGATTGTTTATTTTTCCCCGACGAATCTTTTTCGTGATTCGGTCGTTTATTTTCCGAACGACGAGCCGCGAGTTTCTCGGAAACCGCATTTAAATTGACCGAAGATTTACGATGCGGTCGGCCGGTATATGCAAAATCGCAGAACAAAACGGTCTTGTTGGAATTTAATGAGATGCCCTATTGTTCCTCTGCGCGTATCTGTTCCATAAGGGAACGCGACGATTGCACCAAACAAATCGCTCCGGTTCTATATCGAAATCCTAACTACAATAGACCATTGTTTTATATACTTTAATAACTCAAGTTTTAGTAGGCAGGCAATTTTGCAAAAGGAGAATATACAACCTACTATAATACAATACAATAGGTATCCATAAGCTTATTATCCAACACGCCTACGTCTATAGAAACTAGCTCGGAAAGAATTTCGAGACTCAAATCGTATCTTTATCGTTTCCAAACGTAAATACAGTCCGATTTTTCTATTTTTTTTCTTGTCGTAACATGAACATTGTCGTAAAATCAGTTTAACCGTTGGCGTTTCAAAGACTGTAAACACCAAGAGCGCGGTTTTATTATACACACGAATGCACGTTGCTTAATTAAAATCCGTACGAAATAGGCGTCTGGATAGCGTTAAAACCGCCTGGTAATATTTTTCCTCCAAACGCGTAATCGCTAACTAAATAAAAATAACAAATTGTACAATCAAACGACGAGATTCTAGATTCTAGTCCAGTTCAAATGTAGTAGCGAAACGAGGATCGGAAAAATATTGATTTTGACGGATTTCGCGCGATTGTTTGTTCCCGAAAAAAAAACCGTCAGATTAAATATTTGTTATGCCGGCTTACGGTTTTATTTATTGTTTGAATTATCTGCGAGCATCTTATCGAGCTCGGCTCGGCGATATCAAAAACGCCGCGAGTCGCGCGGGCCGTTTATTAATCCATTAAAGCGGCGATAAGGACACCTCCTGCATAATTACGTTCCGTTTAACGTTTTTTAGCGGTACCCGTGTGAAAGTACCTACGCGGATATTTGATGGAAATTAAAATTTATTTGGCTTTCACCGTGTCGCAACTCGGCCTGTGCAGGGGGCTCGTGTCGTAAACTTCTATCTCTCGAATAAATATACCTTAATTATGACGATAAATTAATGTGGTTAGAGCGAAGTTGAATATTAACTCGACTCGTTCGAGGTTTGAAATAAAAAAAAAAAGGTCCATCCGGCTCCGACTGTTTGTATTATATTAATTTTATAAACGAATGCAGATGTGTTTTTGGGAGGCTGACCTGTCATTTTCTTGAAATACGACCGTCTAACATTTACGTTGGGGTGGTTTCGAATCATTTTCTATACCTACCTACTAGCTAGGAACCTTCGAACAGTCCCCGAATTGATTTAGAAATTAATTTTTATTGCCCGCCCGTAAATCAACCGAGTCGATGGGTTTTCGGGTAATTTTTATTGGGGTTGTGAAATTTATTGCGCTATCCCCATCGTTTCGAAATAGATAAAAATGGAAATCAAGTCAAAAGTGGAGTTAAACGATTGTAAATCAACTGTAGAAAGCGACATTTTACGTGCATTTATATAGAAAGTGCATATTTCTATTTATGTAAAGTTTTATGCACTCATACCGGTTCAATTTCAATTCTACACGGTTTCGATTTTCACAAAGACAATCGAGTTAAAATTAGACTTTATTGTTGTTGCACGCTAAATAAAAGTAGGGAGAATATACGAATTGGAGAGTGTCGAGTCGAGTCGAGTTCTCGGTAAAGTATCCGATTCTGGTAAATAATGGACATGGGAAGCGAGATCAAATATTTGACGAAATAGGTGTGCACAGTAGCCGTCTTGTTACCAGTTACTCGTATTTATCCAGTACTTAACGTATTTCCATGTCGAGTGTCTCCAAATACAAATCGTCGATTAACGCGACTTACTTGTTCAAACAAAGGCATGTTTTATTTAACACTCGACCGGTTTTATACTGTTTTTTGGTCGATTAATTATTCAATATTTCGACGATATGAAAGAGGAAGTAAACAACGCGTTAGATTCTATTTACATTGCACCGTTCTTCCATCAAACACGCATCATTACGACCAGCTCGTCTCACGAGACCGTGACCCGTTAAACAACATTATATCGGATCCTCTCCTATGCAACGCGACCTGTCCAAACGAAACGAACGTCGTGATTCAACATTATAACAAGTGTAAAATATTCGTATTAAATTTTTTTTTACTCTCGTCGCCCCGCTCCGGCCGTTAACGAGGCGTTAAGCGGTCGAACGTTACGATATCCACGGGGTCGTTCACGGCATCCGATGATTTGTAGTCCAACAATCCGAGTCTATACAAAGTTCGATTGCATCTCTCTTGCTCGCTCGCTCGGTTTTTAGTCCGGTCCGAAAAGACACCAAAAAACACCTAATCAATGTACAGGAAGCCTAATCAGTAATTACTCGAAGCATTATTCAACTAATAAAAAGTGAGCCTAAGCAGTAACTAGTGGAAACCTACTCTAACTACTTGTGAATATTGAAGCAATTTTCCTTTCACTACATTTTTTTTTAGTTACTAATTTGATATTCTCTTAATTTCTGACGACTTATTGTTGGCAAATGTGCGAAGGGGAAGCGTTTAAAATGGCGAAAAATCGACCGGCCTATTAGCGTGAATCTTCCGAGGCATCGTTGCGGTGCACACGACCTCGGGCCCCGAGAGTCTCTTCTTATTTAAAACGAGAAGATGGAAAAAAAGGAATTCTCTCTTTCGACTCGAATATGCTTCGGCAACACATGGTTTTCAGCCGGTCGTGTCTCCGCGTCTCTCTCGGTGTAGGTAGAGGATATCTCGTCCTTTTTTTTTGCTCCAACTTTTTAAAATGTCTTTCGCCTTTCGGTTCGTCTGCTGATGATGGCGATTCTACGACTCAATCAAAACTGGACGTGGAAATGATCCCTTCAACACACAACACCTACGATTCTAAACTATACAGCCGACTGATTAACCTACTTGTGGAATTCAAATTGCATACCAACTAATTGGAACCAGAAAATAACCAGGTGGGTGTGTGTGTGTGTGGAAGGGAATGCGCGACACCCCTGAATCCATAAGCTGCTTAAGGTTAATCCCCAGCGTTTCTTTGCGTTCGAAAAGAAAGTGTTGGAAAGACCAGATAAAGCAGGTAAAATCCGTTTCTGCTACAAAAACATCGATGACAATGGGCGAAAAGACGCGCGGGTCGTCTGGTGCCAATGTCGAGATATGATCTTACAATAAGGAAGTTGACATAGTAGTTTCGAAATGGCCAGCGATGTTATAATGTGAAAAATAGGATTGTTTTTCTATTAAGCGTTTGGAATTATATACTTATTGCATCCAACAATCGTTTTTAGTAAAGCCTATAATGTTCTTATCAAACAAGATAAGTAAATCAATTCACTCTAAAACAATTATTATAGACGCAGCACTTAAATAAATTATGTACGATAAACAACCATCGAAAATTCCCCAAAACAAATTGATAGATAAATACGAGTTCGTTACGCCTATTCGAGACTTAATAATTCGTCGTTGTGCGGGAATCCTCATTCACGCTGCATTTGCAAGTTAATGTGTTTATTCCTCTTGACCAGCGCGCCGGACAACCACTGGCCCGCGGTTCGTTTCTCTCTCTTCCACTCTCTTACACCATCCATCACGGCGACTGAAACATCCCAAAAACTGTCGAAGAGACGCAAGGGGTCCGGCATACCTGGCCTTCCATTGTGACAGGTCCGCTTTTCTCGTTTAATTTATATCCCCGGCCGGGGCGCACCGACCGTAGAGGCTCGTTATACCCACGAAAAGACGAAGGAAAAAAAACAACAACAACTACAACGAAACGACCAGCGAACGAGAGGGAAAGAAATATTAATAATTCTCGATAATTTATACCTCGGCGTGCCTGCGTGTTTATTTACACAACGCAGCCTAATTGCCTGTTACACAAAATTAAATATTTAATTTTATGTTTCGAGGTTTATTCGACGTTCAGAGGATGTTATTTACAGTACCGGAGTTTCTTAGGTATTTCAGAAGGGCCGAAGTTCTCCTGGCCTGGTACCGATCTCAAGAAAGATTGATAGAAAACAACATATTTGTTGATAGTATTTAGAAGCTGCTTCAACTCATTAATTCGAGATATGTAAATGTAACTCGGTCCTGATATTTTGATGGAATTATTCAATTATTTGCTCTCGTGCGTAGGTTGGTAGAAAATTTAAAAAGCGATCGTTATCGACGTTTTTAATGTTACCCGTCCAGTATATCCAGATAAGTCGTTAGCGCTGGATAAATGACACAGTCGATATTATCTGATGATTTTTAATACGCAAGTACCGGACGATTCGGCATTACCAACAGGTTTAAAAATATCGAAATTAAAAAAAATAAACAAAAATTAACAGATATTTTATACACACACATACAAACCCGTCTGCTATGGCTTGAAACATGTAATAAGTTTTAATTGCTACATATACGAACATGTCGCTTAGGATTTCATCGGTGTTAATAAATGTGCGGTTCATGTTTGTCCGTAAATCACGGAAAACGTCGCTATAAAATGATAGTAAAGACTTTTTAATGATACGTTTTAAAATACGTTCAGTCGATATACAAAGACAGTTTCAAATGCGACATTAACAAGAAATTTACGATCCGGACTAGAAGAGAAGTCACTGCTGCAAGTCGAGTTTTACGGCCGTTTACGGCCCATACAGGGTCGTAATATAATGCGTTTTTAAACCAGAAAAAAACTAATTGGATTTGAATAAAAAAAATGTATGTTACTAAGGGTAGAAAATTGTAAATTCCTTATATTGAATAATGCATGGGTAAACTACAAATTATCGTTTTTTTTTAAATTATTTGTATATCATAATTGAGCAGCCGATAAACACCTTTTTTAGGCCATTAAAAAACCACCTGCGACTACTTATCATTCCAGTATCAGGACGACTTTTATAACCCGTTGGAAACGCATTAGCGAGCTCGAAAGATACAAATCGATCCCAACCCTCTTTCAATTAGTTTTTATCGATCCGAATATAAAAACAAGAATTTAAAAGAAAACTCGTATAGAGGTACTTACCAAGCGTTGGCCGCCATTCCGAAGTAGTACAACAGCAGGAACACGAAGGCGCAATTAATATTCGACAAACCGTCTTCGGGCAATTTGGGACAAGACGTCGACATCCTGCCCGCGAACATCCTCAAAGTCCAGCCGGCGCTCATCATCACGTAGCACAAAGCCAGGCTCAGCAGCGGACGGGCCTTCACCCGGCCGCCTCCGACGGTGAGAGTTAGAGCCGCCCCCAAGCTGATTATGAGGCATATGAAGGCCCAAACCGTCGCCCAAACCTAAAGCAAAAGATGCAGAATCTGCTTAAACCATCTAAAGTTAGGCTGAAATTCTATATATTCATATTTTGATGCTAAAAAAATCGCTTCACATACGCCATTTTTTTAATTTTACAGGTGATATTGACAGGTCGACCTGTCAATTACATTCTTAAGGCGAACACGCATAATTTTCCCAAGAGTATTATTGAAATCAGGTCGTCTGTCTGAGAATAACTTTCAAGAGTAATAAAAATTGTTAATTATCGCTTGTTGTTGTTTGATTCGTCCGGTAAAAACCATAAATCAATTTGACGGGCGTTTTAACTTCGAATTCTTCGTCTTCTTTTTTTGTTAATGAACTCGCTCCGAACCAAATGGAACAAGCGATCAGGAACGTTTCCATGTGTTTTCTATAATTCGCGAGGGCATTTCATTTGAAATAACACAAATAGAGCAAAAGAAAATAAACGTTCTGTACAGAGGAAGCAGTATGTTTATCAAACATCAGGATTCGTTGTCGCTCGATCTCGTACAGATTGAACAAACAAATCCATTCAAGCTGTCAAAATATTATGCAGTGTTGAATAAACAAACGTATATGACATACAAAAAAACGTACCTAAGTTGACAATAGATTTGTCATTTTGAATTTTTGAAAAATTACGGATTTAAAATTGACGAGGTGAGATTTGTAATAATCGAATCGTATTATTTAATCTACTAACGACTTCTCGGATGAAATAATCGAGCTACCTTTGCGATCGTTGTCAATGTCAACTCTTATCATGACCGCCCCCGATGTAATAAAACAAACAAAACAAATAACAAAACTTACCTCGGCGAATTTTTTCTCGGATTCGTCGAAAACGACGTTGTTATTGCAGCCGGGCGAGCAGCCCTCTCCGTCCTTTCGAATTTCGCAATCGAATTTCCGAACGGCCGGATCGACCGGCGCCCTAACATCAATCTCGTCCTTGGGCCCTTCGATGCACATGTGCTCGTGATTGTTGACTTCGGGAAACCGCGAGCAGTTCAACGCGTCCGGCCAGGGGAACCCGAAGCCCTGCAGGACGGGGTAGCAGCGCGACCTGACGCCCTCGCAGAGCCCTCGGCACGGCCCGATGGGATTGGATACCTTCTCGGTGCACATGGGCACGTACACGGAGCACAGGAACAGCTTCAGGTTCTGGCTGCAGCCGTACTGGATCAGCGGCGAGAACGATTGCAGCTGCAGATCGGCCTCCTGTTGGATGTCGTTGCCGCCGAGGTTCGGCATGCTCGTCGAATTGTACCACATGACGCACATGTCGACGCGAATCGGCTCGCAGTTCCTCATCAACGGCTCCGATATCGAAACGCCCCAAAAGAAACCGAACAACAACAACAGGAACATTGTTTTTTAAGGTTATGTCTTCGCCAGTACGCGTACCAACCGACCGCCACAGCACTCTCCGACCGAATGAATTTTACTTCGCTTTCGCTCGAACTCGAACTCGAATCATCACAACACAGAAAACACCTACTCGGTACTTCAACCGACTAGGCTTGAGAACTGCAACGTTGCCAAACTTTACATTTACTAAAATTACTCACTAAAGTAATATAAACTTATCCTTATCATAACCACAAATCGAGTAAAATTGTTACGTTAACAAATCCACATCTTGCACACGCTAGTAGACTATTATACTACAACACGAACAATCTTGAATTTACACGAAATAAATATAACATTTAAGAATGTTTATTGCACTAGAATGATTTTGTGGGAATCCGGCAACGTCGCCGAAGAAAATGCATTGTGGAATGTTGTTATGCCGGAGTTGTCCGAAAGCTGTCGAACCAGCGCGATTATTCAAATTAAGCTTTACAAGCTCTGTAGGATTGTTGAAAAAAACCAAACAAGCTATTTTAGGCAGGTTAGTTAGTTAGCGAGCGGACCGTGTTTATCGGGAGGGGGGGAAAGGTGGCAACGATGCGTTTGTCAATATGATTAATTGTTTGAGAAAATTGCTTCGCTTGACAGAATACAATTAAATTTGATTGACGAACGGTAAATGGTATATAGCCATTAGGCTACCTGTTGAGTTGGGGAATTTTCGAGATTTTCCGATTAATGGATCATTTGATTTACAAAAGAAATGTCAAACACCTGTCAAATGTAATGAATTATTGCATCTATCTCTTTTTTACGCATTCGATCTGATATTGACAGAACAATGTGATATGTCACATGTCAAAACTGTCAAATTGAAATTTTATTGAAATCGTCCGTTCAAATTGTCGGTACTCCATTTCATTATTACAATTTACTGTAATTTGGGTGCATCGTTGTAAATGAAACACGAAATCGAACAGCGTTCCCAACATATTCGTCGGGGCCTCGGCAGGAGTGCACGGACCCGCAGCACTGCATATACAAATAAATAAGGAGATAACATGAAAACTCGTTACGTTCGCCGTTATTATTCTTTGTTGACATACAAATTATACGTTACAGGGTCCGGACACTCCCATCGTAGCCCGAGGTCGCGTCTTCTCGCCGAGGTAACCAGCACGAACGGCAAGACCACACACTCATTTTTATCGTCCCTAATAAGCCCAGCAAGACGATCGACGAAAAAAATAAATAAGAACGAGAAGATTGGATGAGTAATGGAGAGGAATTAGTGTAGGTCGCGCATTGGCGATCCTTAAACAATTAGGTAAATAATAATTGCAAATTCAATTACCTTCCAGACACACACCGGCATTAACATAAGATTGTATATGGTACTCGGTTTATTTTTAAGTTGGTAGTGTTAGGAGTGGTCCGATAATTCCCGTGGAGCCGGTCCTGGTAAATGAGTCACAATAGAAATCAGGGCGGTATTATTTGAAGATGTAGCCTCTATAAATCGTTCGGTGCTTTTTGATTTTGGCTTTGATTTAAACAAGAAGCGATGCGGCGGCTCGGGGAAAGGCCAAAGAGTGTTTGTTTTGCCCCGAGTTCGTGCTTTACCTATTGGGAAATTTTTATTAAGCTCCGGATTAAATTTTATATTTACATTGTACGATTAAAAAACCGTGTATTATATACGCTCAAATTAAGCAGCACAGAAGATGAAATAGAAACCGACTCGAAACGAAAATTTGAACAAACAGACGCAAAAAAATAGAAAAATGAACCATATTTTTATTATGCATTGTACCAGAAATAACATTTGAGTGGTTTCAACAACACTCATTTATTTTGTTGCGGTTATATTTCGCTCATTTTCAATTACATACTGTCTATTAGTCAAATGACTCAAATAAGCTTTTCGAGCCAACATAAATAAATCAAACGACTCGCAGAGGCTGAAACAAAGCGAAAACAACCGGCAGTAAAATTAATTAAAATTAGAATTACCGCACGATAGTCGTTAGGTATTAATTTTACGAAATCCAATGAATATTAATGCGTTCTCGTAGCGATTTCAATTTGGTATAATTAGCTTCTAATTATAGCGTACGCGATTCGTTTAATGAATTGCTGAGATCTCGTTAAGATTTTTCGAATTAAACAAGCGATGGCGATTCGTGCAAACGAATAAAAATTCTATTACTCGAGCACGTAACAATAAAATCGACTTTATTATGCTCTGCAATTGTTGGGGAAAATTGAGGATTGGAGATAATTAATTTATTTCTAACACGCGACTCACGCCAGTATACAGAAGTTTCGTATAATCAAATGGTTTTGTAATCAATCCTTTTGTGCATTTGAGTTTGCAATATGGTCATTTCTATGAGTTGAACAAAGTTAAAATAAAAGTTGTGTTATTGAATCTTTTTAACATATTACCGTCTGATTAAATTTGATGTAGATAACCAACCGGTCATATTACAATAACTTCTGAATACAGACATCAGTCTAAAGTACCTACAATGATTTTGCTATGGTTAAAACGGCCTTAGTACGACCCTGCAATTAGATACACCTACCCGTTTAGGCGACACAATGGGCCTCCAACCACTAACAAGTACTTACCATAACAATATTATCTGATATTTTTTTTCGCGAAACTTATAGCATGGTATTGTGCGGTTGTCTAAGACAATGCGGCCGAATATCTGGCGTGTTGTTGGCGTGGAGATTTCGATCTTTGATAAATGCGGTGGCTGAAAGCGCGCAGGAAAGTATCCAGATAGGAATTACGCGAATAGATAATTAATTGAATAGATGGTAATTAGGTAGGTACGTAGAATAGATCGTCGAGGAAGTTACTTACAATAATTTCAATAGGGAGTTGGTACTTTTTTGTGTGAAACAATGGAAACCGCTTCTTAAAAAACGCCGCTATCGCATTTATTTCGGCGTATCAATTCCCCAATATTTACCCGGCAAGACAACAAAGCCGGTGCCTCTACGTAAAATACGAGCTCGCCTTGTGTGCGCTTAGATTCCGTTTTTTTTATTTACGCCTTATTTTTATTGCACCTCGGATGATTACACTTTTGTAGGAGCTACCGATTCAAATAGGAAATTTAATACTCTGTTGGTGAAATGTCGCTTTGTCGGCCTGGCAGATCAAACAATCCGGATTTCGTCAGGTGGAATCAAAGAAACCGATTCTTGAATGAATCTTTTGTGGAGTTTAAATGCGCCCTTTTGAGAAATTGTAATTAGCTGAATTTGTTATGCAATTTTCAAAATTACGTTCCTACAAGAAACTACTATGGGACTAAGGGTGATTCAACTAAAAAATACATTTTTAAACAAGCAATGCAGGTTTGATTTTTTTATGAAAAATTTTGAGTAATATCAATGCGTTTGACACATTTGACATTTTACACAAGGATCTAGTTATCAAAGTGTTAAAATGGTTGCATAATTTTTCGAAAAATCTACTTTAGATCTACCTGATCCAATTTTCTTTCAACTTTTAAATTAAAGAAACATTTTTAAACAAATTATGATACAATATGCATTGAAATAACGAAATATTTGTTGAAAAAAATCCGAACACTCGCAAAGTCAAAGGCCACTTCTCGCCAATATATGACAGTTCACAAATAACCTCAATAAGTTATGTGTCCTACTTCAATATTTTCAATAGATAACCTTGATAAGAAACAACTATGAATTGGAGTGTAAACAATTCGCTTATTCGCATAAAATAAATGAATTTATCCACGTAGCTTATTTCTACCTGCGTCGGCGGACACGTATTCAATTAGTGGTACGATTCTTCAGTAAAATGTCGAACGGTGATAAGAAAAACGTCGCTCTAATAACCGGAATCACGGGCCAAGATGGTTCCTATTTAGCCGAATTTCTGCTGAATAAAGGCTACGAAGTGCACGGCGTCATCCGGAGAGCGAGCAGCTTCAATACAGGTAGAATAGATCACTTGCATTCCAATCCGCACGCCCACTGCGGAGTAAAGTTTTTCCTGCACTACGGCGATATGACCGATTCCAGTTGTTTAGTGAAGATAATCAACAGAATCAAACCCACGGAAGTTTACAATTTAGCCGCCCAAAGTCACGTTAAAGTCTCCTTCGATTTGAGCGAATACACGGCCGAAGTCGATGCCGTTGGGACTCTCCGAATGTTAGACGCCATCAGAACTTGCGGCCTGGAAAAGTTCACCAAATTCTACCAAGCCTCCACGTCCGAACTGTACGGTAAAGTGGCTGAAGTACCCCAGACCGAGAAGACCCCTTTCTACCCGAGATCCCCGTACGCGGCAGCCAAACTGTACGCTTACTGGATAGTCATAAACTACAGGGAGGCGTACGGAATGTTTGCCTGCAACGGCATACTGTTCAACCACGAAAGCCCGCGGAGAGGAGAGAACTTCGTGACGAGGAAAATCACCAGGGAAGTGGCGAAAATCCATCTGGGCATATTGGAGTGCTTGGAATTGGGAAACTTGGACTCGAAGAGGGACTGGGGCCACGCCAAAGACTACGTGGAAGCCATGTGGCTGATGCTGCAACAGGAGAAGGCCGATGACTTTGTTATAGCTTCGGGGGAGACGCACAGCGTGAGGGAATTCGTCGAAGCGGCCTTCAAGCACGTGGGGAAAGAAATCGTATGGGAAGGTAAAGGTTTGAACGAAGTGGGTAAAGAGAAAGATACTGGTATTGTTAGGGTAAAAGTGAATTCGAAGTATTTTCGACCGACTGAGGTTGATTTATTGCTCGGAGATGCTTCTAAAGCTAAAGCAGCTTTCAATTGGTCTCCTAAAGTTAAATTTAACGAATTAATTACCGATATGATGGAGGCTGATATTGCTTTGATGAGGAAAAATCCTTTAGCGTAATTAAGATTAAGTGTAGGTATATATAATTTTTATTCCAACGAAAGCAAACGTTTTGTTTTAAATATTTTTAGTTTATCAAGTCAATTTTATATTTTGTGACAAATTAAGTAATAATGTGATAAATATATTGTATATGTTTTTATTATTAATATCGTTTCAATAAAATCACAAATTATATAATACAAGAGAGAATACTTTTTACAAACTAACAACATGCAATATTTGAGTCACTCCGACAAACACAAAATTCACAGTCCAGCTTCATCTTCTAAAAACAAAACACCATATTAAACGAATACATTTTTATATTGTAAACTTACCAATCTGTTCGTGTTGATTCCAAGGCTGGATACTACCCGAACCGAAAATAATAAACACCATACCAGTCAACGCTTTGAATCCCATCGCTATGAAATACACCGTTTTCCACTGATTAATATCAGTCTAAAAATCACAAATCGTTTTAATTAACTCCAAACAAAGGTAAATTAACATTCACCCACCTCGTCAGTAACCAAGAAATGCACCGTGAGCGGCGCCAGTGCCGCGAAAGGCTGCGAAAATTGATTGCCGATTCCCAACAGGGGCCCGGAGTGATTAGGAGCCAAATCGATGTAATTCACCGATAACCCGTTCATATTCACGCCGTAATCCACACCTATACCGACTACCAGAAGTACCACAGCCATAGTAGAATCTTCCGGTTCGCAATAACCAACTAAAATGAACGCTAAACCGGGCACCACGAACCCTGAAAACAGTATTATTATAACAAAAATAGAAGCGATATATTTTTGTGTTTTTTACCTAATACAAGTAATAGTTTTCTAGTTCCACCTATGCTGCACACACCGTTCGCTATAATGTTATCAGATACAAGGCCGAAGAAATAAGTTAATACTCCAGCGCAAATGTACGGTAAAGCGCTTATAGTACCGTTCTGGAATGGTGTTAAATTGAATATAATGGGGTGTTTATAGTGTTATATTACTTACAGATAACATGTCCATTTTTAGTACACTTTTCAAGAAACTGGAAGTTTCCGTTGAGAGCAGGTACTGCGGGTACATTTGACCGCATTGGGCGAGTACGAGGGCCCAGAAGCAGACCGATGAAAAGATTCTCTTCCAGGGAACCACTCGGGACTGAAGCGGAATTTTAAAATGAGAATAATAATAATTTGTTTGAAGAACTTACATTATTAACATTAACTGGATTAGCAGCGCTTTTTCTTATTAGCTCTTTTTCCTGTGTGCTAATTGTAGGATGATCGTCTGGACTGGCATGCCCGAAAATCCCGAAGACAATACACCAAATAAAACCGAATGAACCGTACAACAGAGTCGTCAAAGGCCAACCGAATTCGCTGGCCGATATTTCTCCAATAAAAAACATAGAACAAATAATTCCCAAAGTACCACCTGCAACAATTATACATTCAAAAAAAGCCAACTATTATAATTTTAGTATAATACCGATAAAAACAAATCCAACGGACCGATTTCTCTCGTTAATCGGTATCCAATTCCCGTAGAAAGAGTACATGGCGCTACCGGTGAATCCCGCAGAGCATCCTTGCAGGAACCTGCAAATCAAGACGCCCGTGGAGCCCAAGTGAACGGCTGCAGTCGGTATCAGGAAACTGATGAACGAGCAGCTGCCTATAGCTGCGATGTAAATCCACTTGGGCCCCAAATAGGTGGTGGTTAACCAACCGGCGAACAGCTGGGGTATCCAGTAGCCGCAGTAAAACGATGATAGTAGCAGATTTTTGTTCGTCCAGTTGTATGTCTGGGAAAATTGAGGTTTTTGGTGCGAATTTATGGGATTCAAGTGGTGAGCTTACCGGTATATCGGGATTACTGCTGGCCGAAGGATCCGTCATGGCTACTATTGTAATGGATAGGAACGATTTAACGGATGCTACCAGGAACCAACCCCATGCCAGCAGTATTAATTGGACGTGTCTTTTACCAAACCATGTGCCTAATATAGATAAATACTCATCCTTGATACAACTCTGTATTTATTAAAATTATATATTGGGATTCCCCCAATTTGGGAATATTAACTTACATCTTTCTACCGGTACGTTTTCCCCACATTCTTCGCCGACTTGCTCAAATCTCGATGGGGATGGAATCGAATCATAATTTCTATTGGGAAGATTAAAATAATTTGGGTGACCTATAGGAAATAAATTCTCAATAATTAATTTATCACGAATCCGGTGAATTATTAAAGTAAATTACAATAACCATTTTTTTTCCAAGCACGTGTATTGAAATTTTGATCTTACTGCATCTATTTAATAGCAAATATTGTAATAGAATTACTTACTCAATGCAATTCTTTTTGATGTCGTATTAAACAAAAAGTTTGTGCACATTTTTAAAAATAATGTGCGTTGTTTCAATAAAATTCTTTTAATCGACACAAAATGGGGAACTGCTTATCTATTTCTGGTAAATTCAAAAAGAAGCAAAAAGTTGTTTCAAATTTTAATTGGTTTATCAAATAAACAGTTTCTTTTTCACCATAGACGTGCCTGTGAGAATTTTCCAAAAGGGAATGTATCGCATAATATATCGTTTATTTTAATACAGAAATTTGTTATTGGCTTTAAATACTTTTAATTTCTTCATATAATTGTTCAAAAAAATTAATAAACGTATGTGAATACCAGCAAACATAAGCACTTTGCAGCGTATAACTTATTAGTAAAAGGCAACTTACAAATTAATTTGTAGCCTTCACCTGTTCTGTTATTCAGTTTTCTTCTTTTTAAAATTTCATAAATGACAGTTGACAGTTATGTGACAAGTACTGACGCTCATCAGACGCTCGCTTTACCCGCAAATAATTATTTAAAACAATTTAAACTTTAGGTATGTTCGGTGTTTGTGTCGCTTGCGATTAATACTGGTAATAGGTACTCAGTATGCACATCAAACAGGTAAGACCGATACCTTTCGACGCCACAACGAATTAACGAGCCTTCGATTCCAGGTCATTATACAGGGCTTCAAAAGCTACAGGGATCAAACTGTCGTTGAGCCGTTCGATAAACGTCACAATGTCGTAGTAGGCCGAAACGGCTCGGGAAAAAGTAATTTTTTCTACGGTAAATCCTACAATCAAGTAGCCTGTACGGGAAAATTTAACGCTTGTAATTTTAGCTATACAGTTCGTACTGAGCGATGAATATGCCCACCTTCGTCCGGAACAAAGGCAAGCCCTTCTGCACGAAGGTACAGGCCCCAGGAGCATTAACGCTTACGTGGAAATCATATTCGATAATGCAGATTCGAGAGTCCCTGTACGTTTATTATTAGTATGTATGTAATCACTTGTATTTTACTTAACATTCTTGTAGATTGAGCACGAAGAAATATTCTTGAGGCGAGTCATCGGAGCGAAGAAAGATCAGTACTTCTTGAACAAGAAAGTAGTCCCGAGATCGGAGGTTATGAATTTACTTGAATCGGCCGGTTTCTCCAATTCAAACCCCTACTACATCGTTAAACAAGGAAAAGTAATCTAACGATTCCGATAAATTTTCCGCAATTATTTCATTCGAAAAATCTGTTCTAGATCAACCAAATGGCCACCGCGCCGGATGCGCATCGGTTGAAATTGCTCAGAGAAGTGGCCGGGACGCGGGTGTACGATGAGAGAAGGGACGAATCGATGGGGATATTGCGAGAAACCGAAGTTAAGTGCCAGAAAATCGAGGAATTCCTGCGCACCATCGAAGAGCGCTTGAGCACATTGGAAGAAGAAAAAGAAGAATTGAAACAATACCAACATTACGACAAAATCCGCAGGGCTTTAGAATATATAATCCACGAAGTCGAACTGAACGAAAACAAAAAGAAACTCGCAGAAGTACTTATTAATCTTCAATCATTATTCCCTATTTAATATGTTTATTTTAGCTGGAAAAACAAAGAAACGAGTCCGGTACGGAACAAGAAAAGCTCGCCGGTAACTTGAAAAAAGCCCAGGATAACATAAAAACGCTAACCAAAAAAACTAAAGAAACTAAGAAGGAATTAACAGCCCTAAAAGAAGAACGCGATATATTAAACAACGATAATCAGCATCTCATCAAAGAAAAAGCAAAATTAGATTTGACCATAAAGGATCTATCCGAAGAAGTTCTGGGCGATAACAAATCGAAAGAAAGAGCAGAAAACGAACTAGCCCGTCTCAATCTCTCCATCAAAGAAAAAGAAGCCGAATTAGAAAAAGTAATTGAAACACTACAAAATCCCAATGTAATACTAATTCGAATCTATTGCAGGTCAAGCCTCAGTACGATACAATGAAAAAACGCGAGGAAGAATGCACCAGAGAGCTGGCTTTGAAAGAACAAAAACGCAAGGAGCTGTACGCCAAGCAAGGCAGAGGCAGCCAGTTCACCTCGAAAGACGACAGAGACCGATGGATCGAAAGCGAACTGAGATCCCTAAACAAACAGCTAAAAGACAAAAAGGACCATCGCGATAAATTGGAGGCCGATTTGAAACGAGACGCCCAAAAAACCGTCGAACTCACCAAGAAAATCGAAGACCAATCGCAGGAGTTGGAGCGACAGAAGAACTTCATCGACGAGCACAACAAGCAATGTTACGAGTTGAAGAAGAACAAAGATCAGTATCAGGCTACTAGAAAGTTAGTATTTTATTACAATTAATTCCGTGTTTGTAATGATAAATGCACATTCTAGCGAGTTGTGGAGGAAGGAAAACAACGTACAGCAAAACTTATCGTCGCTGAAAGACGAGCTGGCCAAGGCCGATCAGAAGCTTCGTTCCATGGTGGGCAAACCGATCCTGAATGGACGAGACAGCGTCCGCAAGGTGCTCGACACGTTCATTTCCAGGGCAGGCAGGGAAGCCGATGTGGCCAAGCACTATCACGGACCAGTCATCGAGAACTTCGAATGCGAAAAAAGCATTTATACAGCCGTAGAAGTCACAGCTGGTAACAGGCTATTCCATCACGTGGTCGATACGGACATGATAGGCACGCAGCTTTTGAAAGAAATGAACAGACAGTCGTTGCCCGGTGAGGTGAATTTTATGCCTTTGAACAGGCTGAACGTTAGAGACCAAGATTATCCGAACGATTCGGTGAGTACGAAACTTACACGCCATCGAATCATATTGAATAATTCCATTTTAGGACGCCATTCCGATGGTATCGAAGCTTCATTACGATCAGAAATACGACAAGGCGATGAGGTACTTATTCGGCAAAACCCTGATTTGTCGTAACATGGAAGTGGCCACCAAATTGGCCCGAACCACTGGCCTCGACTGCGTTACGCTCGACGGCGACCAAGTATCTTCGAGGGGTTCTTTAACCGGTGGTTACTTCAACGCTTCGAACAGCAGATTGGAGACGCAAAAGACCCGCAGCGAGACCATCGATCAGATCAAGCAGTGCGAGCAAGAACTGAAATCGCTGAGGACGGAACTGGGCAAGATCGAAACGTCCATCAACGGCATCGTGTCGGAGATGCAGAAGACCGAAACGAAGAACAGCAAAGCCAAAGGTATATACGATAAGGTGAAGGGCGAGCTGCGGTTGATGCGCGAAGAGCTGTCGAACATCGAGCGATTCAGGGGCCCGAAGGAGCGCTCGCTGGCGCAGTGCAAGTCGAATTTGGAGGCCATGCAGACGACCAAAGAGGGTTTGGAATCGGAGCTGCACCAGGAGTTGCTGGCACAGCTGTCGGTACACGATCAAGCCCAGGTGGACTCGCTCAACGATGATATACAGCGCTTGCAGAAGGAGAACAAGGAGGCTTTCAGTACTCGTATGAAATTGGAAGCGGAGAAGAATAAATTGGAGAATTTACTCACTAATAATTTAATAAGGTTAGTGGATTACACAGGGTTTATTAGTGTGTATCCATATAAAATATCCATCCATTTTATAGGTGTTGCATAGCTGAAACCTCTCATTTATCCTAGTAACAAGTCATTTCCCTCGATCTGTCCGTTTTCCCAGGTAAAAACCAATAGCCAATCATTTCCTAATATCAATCGCGAATGATTTATTTTCCTTTTTTTTGTATTTAGGCGAAGGGATGAAGTTTTGCACGCCCTCCAAGAAATATCGCTGGAAGATCGCAAGAGGCAATTGACGAATTCGAAGTCCGAATTGGAGGAGATCGACAAGAAAATCGATAAAGTCAATAGGGAATTGACGATAGTTGAAAACAAAGTCAAAGAAATATCGAAAAAGGTAAGGTGAATATTCTGAAGAATTTGTATCGAATAAAATTGGGGTGTGTTTTAGTTGAAAAGCGAACAAGGGGAATTGGAGAATTGGAAAAAGAAAGAAAAAGATGCCCAAGATAGGATCGACGAGGACGCTAAGCATTTAGAAAAATTCGCGACCAAGCAGAATCTTTTAGAGCAAAAAATCGCCGAGTCCGTAGAGAAGATAAATCAATTAGGGGCTCTGCCTGCCCAAGATATGTATTCGAGCTACGTTAAAATGTCCTCCAGAGCCGTGAGTTCATGAATTAATATAATAAATATTTCGTTCTTACAAAATTATATTTTAGTTATTCAAAGAGTTGGAAAAGGCGAATAACAAGTTGAAGCAATTCAGCCACGTTAACAAGAAAGCTCTCGATCAATTCATGAGTTTCTCCGATCAGAAGGAAAAGTTAGTAAAAAGAAAGGAAGAATTAGACAGGGGGTAAGATTCAAATCGCTATTTACCAAATACGTTACAGAATTTAATGAAAACCTCGTTTTCAGCGATGAGAAAATCAAAGAACTAATATCCATGTTGGAGCAGAGGAAAATGGAGGCGATTCAGTTCACGTTCAAGCAAATATCGAAGTTTTTCACGGAGGTATTCAAGAAATTGGTGCCGGTAGGTCGGGCGAAGTTAGTACTGAAAACCGCCGATCACGAAGAGGGCCACGAAATCGGACCGGAGGACAGCAACGCCGACAATTTCACCGGCATCGGCATCAAGATCTCGTTCACGGACGCCGACGTCGAAATGAAGGAGATGAACCAATTGTCCGGCGGACAGAAATCGCTGGTGGCCCTCGCTTTGATATTCGCCATACAAAAGTGCGATCCGGCACCCTTCTATCTATTCGACGAAATCGACCAAGCTTTAGATCCGTCCTACAGGTACTGTTGCGATTCTGGAATTTATTTCGTTCATCACGTTTGTTTGATTTAGGCGAGCGGTGGCTAATATGATACACGAATTGTCCGGCGAGGCACAATTCATAACGACTACCTTCAGGCCGGAGTTGCTCGAGCACGCGAATAAGTTCTACGGTGTGAAGTTCAGGAATAAAGTGAGTCACATCGAGTGCGTCAGCAGGGAAGTGGCTAGAGATTTCGTCGAAGACGATCAAACGCACAATTGAAATGTTCGTACAGGTTCTTTTGTAAAGAGGGGCTCGTTTCGTAAGTCTTCATTATTAAGAAATTCGTTTTAATTTAGATAGGATTATTAAGAGAACTTTTTTTAATAAATTGAATTTACATTTAAAATATTTTATTATACAAAATAAATGTTTTTTTAACGAAAACGTATCAAAACTCTAATTTTAAGGCACACATATAAACGTTTCAAAACGTGCTTAAAGTGTTCAATTATCCTACATCGATACTTTGCAGTGCTTCAATTAAATAATTTAAAATAATACGTTTGTTTGCAAATTGCCGAACATGACATATATACCCTATAAAATTGTCCTAGAAAAAATTACATAAATACAATTACAATCTCAAATATATCACGACAATCAGAATGAGCAGAAATTTACATTTGAATATGTACAAAACAATAAATCGCTTTGTGCATTTGTTTGCAGTTTTACAACCGCCATTAATATTTATACCAAATTATACTAAATTAGATTCAACTACAACATTTATAAGTCCCACAAGAATACACCAAAATCGGCTATACTTACGCGTTAAACTACATCAAAATCTGTAACATCTAGTAGTTGCGCGTAGGGCGAATTCCAATCGCGTTCGAAAACCCCCTGCAATTGACTACGAATGGTCGTGTGACTGGTATTCCTATCGAACACGGGATCGTGCAAAACGAACGCCACTCCGGCCGTATCCGTGAAATAATCCCCGGACCAATTCGACGTTCCGATGTAAGCCGTATTATCCGTAACCATGTACTTGTTATGGTTGACGCGAGCGAACGGTATCTTCCGCTGATCCTTGTTAGCTGGCACGACGAATCGACGCTTAAATTAACAAAGTATCGTTAGAATTAGAACGGATTCGATTACAGTATGAACACACTCACGATTTCGATGCTGACTCCTCGGTAGGCGTCGTTGATCTCGGCCAGCGAGCGCAGGAAATTGTCCTCCGATTGCCTGGAATGGTTCCACCAGCTGATCAGCAGCTTCACTTCGACCTTGTTCTCGATGGCGGCCGCTTTGAGGGCATCGTCGATCACCGGCCAGTATTTCGCCTTCGGCGTGTAGATCATGAGAGGGAAGTAGTCCATCACCGATATGTAGATGAACTTTTCGGCGTGGTGAATCACGGTTTTGATGGCGTCGATGTCGTTCGTCCGGCCGGCCGGATTGAACGGTAAAGGAGAACTCTGTAGAAAAAATTTTACTCTAAAAATGTAGTGCTGATAAAGAAGAATGAGGGTCGTTACGACCCGGTCGTACCGATAGGTATATTTGAAAGGTTTCGTTGTTGTACGTCAACGCCATCGGCGTATCAGAGTTGTATTGAGTCGATAAATTGGATGACCATGATGGAGGTATCTTAGCACCGTCGATTCCTAGAGCCCAATACACCTAAAAATATATTACACTGTATTATAAATTAATTTTTGTATAACATGAAACGTACTTCGAATATTTTTTGGATATCCTTAGCCAAACACGAACAATTCCTGATTGCTATACCCAGTTCTTTCACCTAAAAAAAAAACAACTACATAATATGTTTGCGTGCATTTAACTGAAATTTTTATCGATTGTACATTGTAGTGCAGTAATAAATAACCTATTACGGCGCATTAAACATTTCCCCAAAAATTTAACATCGTGAATAAATAGTTGAATAATAAATAAAGCGAATTAAATCCAATCAACCGTCTATTTTCGGTTATTAATAGGCGGGTTTGTATCGGCAAATAACCCTGAGTCATGAAAACTCTATAAAATCGTCCCGCCTTCGCTACTCGTCTCAGGCCTGGGTGTAATTAGTCATGGAAAAAGTAGAAAGTACATCGGGGTTTACAAACACCCCTGTAATCAAGGTAAGTTTTAAAACCCCTCAGACCTTGACCTAAAATGTAAATCGATATTTTCGTCGTCGGAAAAGATCAAGCGAAAACGTATTAAGAAATATATCCGTTAAAATTAAATTAGTAAAATCGTTTTCAGTTAGCCGATGAATAATAAACAAGTTATACATTTTTTGTACAAAAATCAACCAAAAATAGACAGTAACCCGCTCTAATGACTACTATTAAGTGGCGATTGGTGGAAAAAATCGTAAAACCTCCAAGGAGACGATTTCAATTACAACTATCCGAGATATTTACGCTGAAAATATCGAATGAAAAATTAATTTTCACCTGCGTCAAAGCCCTCCAATCCATGTTGGCGCTACCCAAATAAACATGTTTACCATCGATTATCCACAATTTCGTGTGCAACACGCCGGAGCCCAGTAACTTGGCGAAATTGAGGCTTCGTACTTTGGCCGCTTTCCGTTTGACCAACAGCTCGGTATCGATGTTGGGGTAGTTCTGCGACGGTGCGTTTTGTGCTATTCTTATTTTAACTCCTCTACCGACGCCCGCTCGTAGAAGCGATTGAAATATTTTTTCACCCTAATAGAAACATAACATATATTTATACACAATTTTTTTTGGTTTGGGTTTGTAGGTTACCTGTTCAGAAGAGGGATCTGGATAGACTTCGTGACGACGTAGCGTCCAATACAATGAAGCTATGTCTATGGTTTTGTTAGCCGAGCTTATCAAATCTAGCCAAGTATCAAATGTGGAAGGGTATATGATTGAATCATTCGGATAAACTAAACCTTCTGGTATGCTCTCGATCAAAGAAAACCTACAAACAAATCATTCGTTAAATAATTAACTATTTCAAATCGTTTAATCGATATGTAATGTTTGATTTTGCAGGGGTTACTGTAATTATCAAACACTCGTGTGATCGTGATTAAATATTAACGATTTTCCGACAATTAACTTACTCGCAAGTGTTATTGCATGCTTCCGTCGAAAATCCATTTAATTCTTCTAAAGCTTTTTCCGTCGTGTGATCTAATAGGGGTAACAATACTACGAGGAAGATCAAAATGCAAATTATAGAAATGGGAATGCAAGAAGGTCTGCACCATTTACTCTTATTGCGCCACCTGAAATATGAAATATAATTATTATCGAATATTATTCGGATTTCAGGGAATAATAGAATATATACCTTTCTGGAGGGTCGTCATTTGAAGGGATCATAAAACCATGGCTCCAAATATCCGTTTCCTCTTCATTTTGAACAGGAGGAGTCTCGAGAACAGTCTAAAATTCAACAGATGCGGGTAGTTTAAAAAATTAAAATATTCAATTACATATGTTAATAAATTACCTTATCAAGTGTGCTTATTTTAATTTTCATATTCACCCTAATCGTCTAGTATATTAAATAAATAATGTTTGTCGTATCAATTTTAAAATTATTTAAATATTCAACATTTTATTATCGTTCAAAATAATCAAATAATAATGACATTGACATAATTAAATAAAGAACTAAAATAGTCTTTTACTTTGTAGGTCATTGTCAACTTTGTAACAATAATTATAAAAAGAAGAAATGTTATGACAGTTCGTTATCAAAAAAAAAAAGACAGAACCGTATTTAAAATTTTTACCAATACTTGGACAAAAATTTACACAACACAACGATATACTAAATAAAAAATTTAAAAGAATGATGGTTAAATATTTTCTTTTTTGCTAAAATGAGATTTTTCCAATTCTTCTCCAATTCCAATCTACTCTACACTACACTAAACTACTCTATTCTACTATACTCTAATCTAGTGAAAATCTTACCGATAATCTTTTCCCGAGTAGCGCCGAGGGCCTCCTGAACTTGGACACCCTCTGCGTGACCGGCGGTATGAGCACCAGGAGCTGTTCCCTGTCTTCCGAGTCGCAGGCGGGCCCGTTGGGCGTTCGATTTCTGGACGGTCCCGCCGACAACGTATTGAGATGAATGTTGGAGCTGTTGTCGCCGTAACTGATGTTGTTCGTGTTGTTGACTTGCACCAGCAAATTGCAGGTCTGCGAGGCTATCTGGAACAGCCCGTCCTGCAGGTTCCTTTGCTTGGGTGGGCTCCTGCCGAAGTCCCAGAAATGCGGCATACTGACCGGGAGAGTCGCTGAAAATTAAAATATTTCCTTGATTTTGAAGAAAATCGAGTTAAATAAATCATTTTACAGAGTACATATTCGAATTTATTGATATATTATAGCAAATAAATGTTACCTGTTATGCACGTATTCACCCTGGATCGAACATTTGCGTGATATCAAACTGCCATGACTTCGACCGATAAACTGCGGCCAAACGCAAAGGTAAAACGTTTTTAATATCCATTGATTACCTTTCTTCGGAAGGTTATAGTGTGCGGATAATTCTATGACTTGCGCCGCATTCCTAATTGATTCGATGATGTTTTGTTGACAATGACAATGGCCTGTACGAGCGCGCCTATAAATATATTAAGGGGGTGTTCATGGAAGGTATATCAACGATAAAAAGTAACAGAAATGAATTTTATATGTTGTTAGAATGAGAAAGTTGCAATAATCCCACAATATTGCTATCTTTTTCGTTTATATCAGACTAATGGAAGTTTTCTTTGTTGCTTCCATAGACTATATTGTGTACAAATTTACACTTATCTTTATAACTGTCATTCATCCGTCATATGCTATACGATAAGTGCAAATTGGTTTGCGTTTCCGCAAAATGACAGTTGTCAGAGTGACACAAATTCCCCCTTTCTTTTTCCTTTATAAGTGTCTATGTAAACAGTAAATGAAAAGTAAAATACAAGAATATTTCATAAAATATAAACGCTTCACCCTGTATATTCAAAAATCGCAAGATTATTCGGATCTCGGATCGAAATTGTCTTAGTCCGGCCCTGTCTGATTTTGAAGATTTTTGAATTTGATGTAAAAATTTGTTTTAAAATTGCTGCTGGTGCGAATTTAGTGCTCTCATGGAAACTTACTGAATAATGAGTAAATCCTGACGATATAGTTTGCATTTCGGAAAGAAAGTGGTATAGGTATTTCCGATTCACAAAATTGAGGAGCGGCAGTTCAACGATAAATTATAAAAATAAACGATGTTGCCAGATTTAATTTTACTTATAAGAATTCTTATCAAACATAAATTTAATTCTTTCGATATAATTAATAATTCAGCTTTATATTAATAGTATAAATAAAAAATTAACAAAAACGGTTTAATTTATAATATTCGACATATTTTTACGGTTCATTTTAAATTTTATGCGATTTTAAGAGTGACAGTGACGTGACAGTGACACTAATGACGGATTGACATATTAAGTAAAAAAGACAACAATGTACATAATATAACAAGGAAAATGTGATAAACAATTTACAATTGTGATAAAATATTTCTGTGGATGTGGTATTTAATGATAAAAGTTAGTTTTTTATGCTGTTCAAAACGGTGACTAACATCACAGAAATGGAACAGGAAGAGTCAATATACCAAGGAATTCTTCTGTTACCACCTGTTGGAAAAATACTTAAGGTACCTTTTTTAGCCTAATTTTCCCGTACACTTTGACTAACTCGCAAGGTTTTTTAGAAATCCTGGCAACAGAAATATTTTATGTTGTTCAAAGCCAGCAAATTCGGCAAGGAGCGACTGGAGGTCTACGATTCGCAAGAATCAAAAGAACCCAGCAAATTCATTTCCTTAGAAAATTGTATTAAAGTTTACTCGAAATCGCCTACGACATTCGTTGTCATCACCAGAACCAACAATGCCGCCACAAACACGCACGAATTCGGAACCCTGACTGAATACGAAATGAACGAATGGCTCACAGCCATACAATCCGTAGTATTTCCCGACGAAGTATCGAAAATAACGAGCATCGAAGAAGACAACGACTTGTACTGTTCATCCGGAGAAGGCGTATTCAACGTAAAACTCCATCCTTCCACCGTGTCCAATAGGTGTGGATTAGAGAACAAAAACTACACCTTGGTACTTACCCAAACGTCCTTACAACTAAGGAACATCCTCGACAATAAACTCCTCTACAACTGGCCTTATTGCTACATCAGACGCTACGGCTACAAGAACGGCACATTCAAGTTCGAAGCGGGCAGGAAATGCGAATCGGGCGAAGGAACTTTCTACCTCGAGCATCCCAATCAACAGGAAATCTTCAGGTAAGCTACCGAAAGCTTGGTATAATTAGACCGTAATAACCGGTTCGTCCAGGTGCTTGGCCAGCAAGATGAAATCCATGCAGAAACTCCTTTCCGGCGAGGCCTCCTCCCCGCTTCTGGACGTCGGCGACGCCCAATTGCACGCGGCCCTTTCCATGGAAGCCCGATCGAGAACACCACTGCCTCCGTCGGCGTCTCAATCCATACAGTCGTTTTCTTCGATGTCGGACTCTACCATGTCCATTAAATCGTCGGTCGAATCCGAGCATTCCAAACCGTTTGTGCTGAGAAAACCCGAGCCTAAACCAAAGCTAGTCCAGAAATTGAAGCCCACCAAGCCGCCCAGGAAGTTCTTACCCGGGAATAAGGCGACCGATAGTGATGCTTCGTACGAGGCCGTTCAGAAATACGATCAAATCGAACACAGGTAGATTGTATGTAGTTAATTTTATGCGATATTTAAGTGTGGTATTTGTAGAGTGAACGCCTGGCAGACGCACGGAATAGACGCGCCCGATCACACCGAGCACTTGAACGAAGAGGACGAGTACATGTCGTGGGGCGGCACGAAGAAGGAGCCGGAGACTGTTAAAAAACCGTTAGCGCCCGCCATCATAACGGAGAACACGCCGGCCGATACGGGAGACACTTTCTACGATAAGTTGAATTTTTTCGGTTCGACGAGCAAGCTCAACGTTAAGTCGCACTACAAGGAGGCGTTTCCATCGTCTTTCGGGCCGTCGGTGCCCGAGCCGCCTTCGTTCAACGATTACGATGAGGTCCATTTTTCGGACAAATCGGAGGAGGTCGGGAAGAAAAAGGACGAGAATGTTGCTCATCAGTTCCACAACGATGAGGCCTACGCTGTCATAAGCAAACCGAAACGAGTCTAGTCAATGATTTGTGAACTCGAACGTACAGGATTTGTTACGACAAATAGAAAACAGGCCAAAATCGGTGCCATTTTTTTTTTAACAATTTAACAATTCGTCCGCTCCGGACTTCGGACTGGTATCAAAAGTTTGTTTGATTTAATCTTCAAATTTGGAACAATTTGAACCGTTTCAGTTCGAAGTTCTCGCTTAGTACGATCTAATTGAGATTTTTTTAGCGTCGAATCTCGAGTGATAAAACGTGCCAATCAAAATATAATATGGCAATAATTTTGGAATATTAAAAAAAAGCTTCGTGAATTTAATGATTTATCGGGTAACGTTAGTATTTAGAAATGCGATGAATTTTAATGAAATCGTTAAAACAGTATTTTTGCAATTTGGAAGTATTACAAAAATTGCGTAGCTCAAAGCTTAATGTTGAATTAATATACAATCAATACACTTACACAAGTATTTATTTAAAGACTATAATACTATTTTGATTACATTGAAACTGACTTGTAAAAACACTGCTGGGAATTAATCAATTCATAAATGTATCCTTCGTTTCGATTTTAAGACAGTTATTTAATTTTACTTGGATGTAACGTTATGCTTAATTTTTTCATTATTGCGTATTGCAGTAATTTCCCAACGAATATGTATTTACCAAACTCTGTGATATTTGTATTCCATCACACTATTTGTATATAAATGTTTCTCAATATTTTTATCCTGTTCCGTTATGCTTGTACGATGTACATTTTTTTTAATAATCTTATTTCAATACTTACCTTTTATTTTTTCGAAATATATGCAGGAAACGAAATATTATTCGCAGAAATATTGAAAAAAGAATGCTTTTTATTTTTTCACTGCAAATGTTTGACTGAAATTATTTTTTATACGTCCTCAGAGGAAAAAATTTTGTACAGACTGAAAATATTTTTTCATTCTATTCGCAATGTATTTTAACAGTAGATAATTAGTTCACTGGGTTTTTATGTACATTTTTGGTAACATAAATGCTTTTTTTATACATTTTTATGCTATTGATATTGCTAGAATAAATTCGCCATGTTACTTAAATTCTAATAACTTTGTTTGAAAATATAGTGCATTTTCTATATAAAAATGTGACATTTTCAGGTAGAGCTAGTATTTAAAATTATTTTAATAAATCTTTATTTCTAATATCTACAAGATCATTTATACTTAAAACGTAAATTAATTTCCATTAGCTTTTTCAATGGCCTCGATGACATTTCCAACGCCTACTTTGCGCACGGTTTCGCCTTTCTCGGCTAAAATATCTTCAATGTTCCTCTTTCCATTTAGATCCGTGAACCAATTCAAGTTATCGGCTATCAGATGATTATTACTGCACCCCGAACACTCAACAATAACTACTCCTTTCTCGTAAGCCAGTTTCGAAAAATAGTGGTTATTGACGGTATTACACACTTTGCATTTGTATTGTAAATACAATTTACCCTCGATTTTTCCTAGGTGGCTGGTTTGTGTATCATCATTTTCGCTAGATAAATTCGGTCGAGATACAGTGGCATATTGTTTTACAAAGGAATGTCTGGTACTTGCGAGTGCGGTGTTGTTGTTTATGGTATTTAATAAGGTTGATTTGTTTATTCCATTAATAATTTTGTTTAATTTTAATAGACGTCTTGTAAACATTTTGAACGTAACCTCACTTTATTTTGAAAGTGTGGCCTCTTGTTACGTGTGTGTTCAGATACAAATGAACTAGTCCTGCGCGTAATCATTGCGGACGTCGGACAAAACAATTTCCCGCGCTTGCGCAAAACGAAGAAGAGATGAAGTGACAGATAATACGTCTGATTTGACGGATTTATCAAAGTCAAAATAAAATTTCCTTTGCCAAACGCCCTTTGATCCAAACTCCAAACCAAATCAAATAATGCCGTAATGCGCCGTTCGCGTAAAGTTTAAAATTTCTAGTAATCGAATCGAACCTCGTTAATTTAGTATAGTATAGTGAAATGCCAGCCCACTGTCGTATCCTCTAAGTGAAACAACAAACCAAGAAAATGAATCTGGACGACTCGGGGGGCAACATCAGCATAGGCGTCGAGACCGTTTACGGCACTCACGAAGATTCGCACGTCGTCATGTCGGAGAAGGTGCAATCTTTGGCCGGGAGCATCTACCAAGAATTCGAAAAAATGATAGCCAGATACGACGAGGACGTCGTCAAGACCCTCATGCCCCTTTTGGTCAACGTTTTGGAGTGCTTGGATGCTGCCTATCAACAAAATCAGGTTATTATATCTCATTCTGTTACGCTTTCTGCATTCAAGGTACCTAACCAACTTCCTAGAGATATGTTATAATAGAGATCTACTTACTATCTCAAGAATACCCCTTTACGTAGGGATACATTTTAGTTCCCTTAATCGTTAAATGTAAATTTTCACTATTCACATAGTCACATTGTGTTATTTGTCATAATTATTTGTAATTATTGTATATTTAGGAACAAGATGTGGAATTAGAATTACTAAGAGAAGATAACGAACAACTCGTAACGCAGTACGAACGAGAAAAAGGTGCTCGAAAAGCTTCAGAACAAAAATTACTGGAATACGAAGATGCAGCCGAAGGTGACAACCTATACACTAACTTTACCATAATTCTACAAATGTATATTTACTGTAGGTGAGCGTAAAGAGATGTCAACGCGCTTGGAAGCCCTGGAAAGCATCGTGCGAATGCTGGAGCTCAAACACAAAAACTCGATGGAGCACGCCGGTCGCTTGGAGGAGAGAGAGGCCGAATTGAAGAAGGAATACGCGAAATTGCACGAACGCTACACCGAATTGTTCAAAACTCACGTCGACTACATGGAACGGACGAAATTGCTGCATTCTAGTCAACAGCTGGCCAACGAACGGGTGGACACGGGCCGGTTGAATTCCAATCGATTGAACGTTGGCAGGAGCTCGGGGCCGATTTCGTTCGGTTTCGAGTCGCTGGCGAACGCCGAGATCGTGGACAGCGTACCGTCGTCGCCCATCAGCAGCACTCACTCCTCTCCGAGGTACTTGAAAATTATAATTTTTTTTTCGTATCGTAAATGATCGGTTAATTCTTGTAGTTTACACATCGAGGTGAACAGTCTAAGGGACGGTATCGATAAAGTGGAAAGAGGCCAGACGACCGATTCGTTGAATTTGGAAAACAAGAGCGTCGTGACGTCGCCCATTAGCCCCCAACCAGTGCAGAACAATAACAGCCGGATGAATACGAAGAAAGAACAAAGAAGCGGCAATACATTGTATCAGGAATTGAGTTATCACGTAAGGAATATTACTATCTTATCTATTTTGGTGATTGATCTATTCATCTATCTTTGTAGGACGTCGATAACGATGATGAAGCTGGAGATATTACGGGTAATTATTTGTATAAATATTTAAATAGTAGTTTACATTTTAATTGTTTGCTTTAGGCGGTTGGGTACATCCCGGGGAATACGCTTCATCAGGTAAGAAACGATTTTCAAAAGCAATAGGTCTTATCCTTGTATTGAATGCAGTATCATAAACATTTCATAATGAATTCTAGTCATTGAACTAACGCTTTTTTTGTTTCATTTTAACCTGAAATCGCTAGTCAACGATAATTTCTATGGTAAGTAATTTAATTTCCTTTTGAAGCACTAATAAATTTCAACATTTATTACCTAATTTCGCGATACAATACATATTTAATCAATCGTTCCTAATATTATTTATTTTTCGAAGGCATGGGCAAAGAAGTGGAAAATTTAATAATGGAAAATAACGAATTATTAGCTACAAAGTAAGTAACCCAACCACCAACAATACGATATAAAATTTCAACGAATTTCTATTGATCACAGGAACGCTTTGAACGTGGTCAAAGACGATTTGATCGTCAAAGTGGACGAACTGACGGGCGAAATCGACATGCTGCGCGAGGAAATCCTTTCGTTGAACGTCTCCCGGACGAAACTACGCGAAAGAATCAGCGATTTGGAGGAGGAATTGAAGAAGGTGAAAGAGGCGAACGAGGCGAAACAAGAAGTCGACGAAGAATCGGACGTTCCGATGGCTCAAAGAAAGCGATTTACCCGAGTCGAAATGGCCAGGGTGCTCATGGAACGCAACCAATACAAAGTGAGTATGAAAACTTTCGAATCGATTAATCGAGTCATTACAGTTTTTGGATCTTCATTAGGGTTGCTAAAAATGGCTGTCAGTTTAATGTTGTCAAATCGTTGGCCTTGTCTAATTCGGTCTTCTAGTCCACTGTTCGGAATAACGACAGGCCTCAATTAAATGTCTTGCTAATTATAAGAGTTATTGTGGCGTTTGCAGGAGCGTTTCATGGAGCTGCAGGAGGCCGTCCGTTGGACTGAAATGCTGAGAGCGTCGAAGTGCGATTCGCCGTTCGAAAAGAACGCCAACAAGAGCATATGGAGGTTCTTCAGCAATCTGTTTTCGGGCGCTGAGAAAGTACAAAGGCCGATGGTGGTGCCGCAGTTGCGCTATCAAACGACGACGAATCAGGTGACGCCCGGTATAAAGGCGTTGCCCCGGATTGGCGGACACCACGAGCTAATCGAAACCGAAATGGGTACGGAATTATGATTGTATTTTTACCATTTTTTTAATTTTTTTTGTACCTGCTGTCAATTGATTTTATCTGTGATGCCTACGTGTGTACGTTCTTCTCGACGTATATCGGTGTGTGTGTTGAGGTTTTACTATTTCGAAAAACCGGGTGGAACATGCAAAGTTTTCGACCTGTTTTTTATTGCGAAATAGTTTGATAAACACACTGTATAAATAGTTAATAATAGGATTAGTACTGGTTCCTTTTGTTGTCCAATTTTTCGAATCGATTTTAATGTAGAGTAGGAATACGAGCCATGATTTACCGATGATCCGATTATTTTTTTGTTGTTGTTTTATTCACGATTTCTATAATTTATATCTCATTTAGTTTGTAGGACAATTAATTAATATTAAATGGAAATTCGACCGTTTGAATCCTCGAGTTTCCATTTAAACGAATCTCTTATTTTGGAATTTCTAGAAACGGGATTTTTTTCTCAATCTTTTCTGACATTTTGACGAAAATTGACGTTCACGCCAAAATCTTATTTCTAGAATTTTTTTTAAGTAATTTATAATGTAACTACCAGTAAAATTCGAACTAAAATCTGTGATACCATTTTAGACTAATTAGAAAATAATTAAAAAAAACGATAAGACTATAATTGAGTCTAGTCTGAGCCGTTACCACATGTAACTAACCAAAACACGTTTGTTTCATCGTTAAGTTAATAAATTGTGTTAAGTTTCACGTCTTTTTCTTTGCGTTATTTTCGTTTCGGTCTAGGTAAATGGTCTTCACAGAAATAGTTTGACAGTAGATACAAAAAAATGTAAGTACACGATTGCGGTGCACCATTTTTGGTCATACATTTGCTTACTTTTAGATTCGAGCAAACTGGCTGTGAAGAAGGCGCTGGAGAGAAGAGACCAGTACCGGCAAGTGCGAGCGCACGTGAAGAAAGAAGACGGCCGATTGCAAGTAAGAATTTCGTGTGTTTTATACGAGGGTTGTTCTGGATAGTAGAACATTGGAAACATCCCTTGTATTAAAATTTGACGTGTGTATTATTAATATAACCCTGATTTTATTAGGCGTATGGTTGGAGTTTACCGTGCAAGGTAAATTCGCCGGGCAGGAGTACCAGCGGAGGTGTTCCGGTACCGGTACCCGTATACTGTCGTCCACTAGCCGAAACCACTCCGGATATGAGAATTTGGTGCGCTGCCGGAGTGAATCTCATGGGCGGTTATACCAAAGATGGTGGTTTAATGGTAATTTCTTTCATATAATTCAAATATAATATGTTTTAATTGTTTCAATTTAGGTAGGAGGAAGTGTATTCTATTCCGACGAACCGAACTCACCGCTACCGAAACCCCAATCGGAAATCGACACTCTGGATCAAGAACTCAATTTCGGCAAAGAAGGCGCCCTATTAGAAACGCAACTATCATCCTACGTTTGGATTTGCACCACCAAAGGTTACATAGGTAAGCATCTACCACACAAAATCCTGTAGATATTTTTACGGTTGGTTTCCCTCGAGGCAACTCCTCGCCGTTCGCCAGCCTGGTCACCATCATCGACGCCAACAATCCGGCCGAGCTGTTGACCAGCTTCGGCGTGTGTTCGGGCCACGTTCTCTGCATAGCCAGCGTGCCGGGCGCCAGTTTGAGCGACTACGAAAAGACCCCGTCGCGAATCGAGTACCCCGAAAACGACGCCGTCCGAGCCGACGAGGACAAGGCCAAAAACGAAGAGGACGATCAGGAGGAAACCGCTAGTCACGCGTCGGTGCGAGAGAGTCCCAAATCCACCAGGACGCAAGAAGACCAAGAGGAAGCTACCTTGGTATATACAGATTGCTCCATTTTTCATTGCAACATATGTAGGCTATGGGTGCAACAAAGACAACTTCAATTAGACACTTATAAAGGAAAAAGAAAGAGTGACATTTCTGTCATTGCAACTTTTCACTCTGACAACTGTCATTTTAATAATCTTTCTTTGTTCAACTCATAGAAATGTCCATGTTGCAATCGCGAATGAAGCACGGCTTAGTTTTACTACTATTAGTTTGAATTAATTTGGTTGTTTATAGCTGGGTAGAATAACGTTCGTGGAAAAGGACGAGTCGGTCTCGAATAGAAGAGATAAACTAACCAAACAAGAAGACATTTGTGATAGTAGCGAAGCTAAGTTAGATAATATTAGTGAAAATTCGAACGAGGCGGGAACGGGCGAAGCCGCCCAATCGAGGCAAAAGGAGGAAACCCAAACGCCCGAAGTGATGTCGAGCGTATTGGCTACCATGTGGCTGGGCGACGAGAACGGCAACATCTACGTTCACTCGTCCGTCGCCAATTGGGCGCAGTGCTTGCACACCGTCAAAATGAAAGACGCCATCATATCCATCGTGTAAGAACACCTCGCAATCGTTCTCCTGCTACTGCAAATCGATCGAATACCTCCCGTTTCTTGCAGGCACATTCAAGGGCGAGTGGTGGTCGCGCTGGCCTGCGGCCAAGTGGCCGTATTCAAACGGAACGACGACGGCGAGTGGGATTTGTCGCAGTATCACCTGGTGCAGATCGGCCTGCCTTCGCAATCGGTGCGCCAATTGGCCGTCGTCGGCGATAAAGTTTGGTGCGGTTACAGGAACAAGATACACGTGCTGCAGCCGCACGATTTGACGATCGTGCGTACGTTGGAGGCGCACCCGCGCAGGGAGAGTCCCGTAAGTGTCGATGAAGAATACCGGTCACTTTTATGTACCCCGATAAAATGAGCCCAATGATGAAGTAGCACAAGACTGAACAGTCCAAAGGCAAAATCGCCCAAGATAAAATAGTCCAAAGACAAAATCGGCCAAGATAAAATAGTCCAAAGACAAAATCGCCCAAGATAATGTAGAATAGAATGAAAAAATGTCTTAGAAACTCTGTAAATCTAATAAATTATGCCCACTTTTCATTTTTCCGAAACTGTTTTGTCTTCGGCTATTTTGTGCTCGGGAATTTTGTCTTTTGGCTATTGTATCATAGGCGATTTGTTCTTTGGGCTATTGCATCTTGGGTGATTGTGTCTTTGGGCTATATTGTCGAGCCCCTCCGGTACTTTAATTGTTTGAGGAACGGTAAATTTGATAAAATCTTTTTAGGTGAGGCAAATGGCTTGGTTGGGCGAAGGAGTTTGGGTATCCATCCGATTAGATTCGACTCTTCGATTGTACCACGCGCATACTTACCAGCATCTGCAGGACGTCGATATAGAACCCTACGTTAGTAAAATGTTAGGTGAGCTATCACAATATCTCAATCTTACATGCATTTTACAAACGCTTTACGTTTTTAGGTACGGGTAAATTAGGATTTTCGTTAGTGCGCATAACCAGCTTGTTGATATCGTCGAACCGCCTGTGGATAGGCACCAGTAACGGCGTGATAATATCGGTACCGTTGGCCGATAACAACGGTCAGGCGGGCGCCATCGTGGTGAAGCGCGCCTCGACGCCCGGCGGCGTCGTGAGGGTGTCGCAGCCGCCGCTGCCGGGCAGCTTCGTGCCCTATTGCACCATGGCGCACGCGCAGCTCAGCTTCCACGGGCACAGGGACAACGTCAAGTTCTTCGTGGCGGTGCCCGGTAACGGAGGTAATACATTTTTTGATCGTTTTGTGCGGTGTATTTTACGTGTTAAAAGTTTCAGGTATGAGTGCTGCTTCGACTCCTTCGGAAGCCATGTCGGTGTCTTCGGTCGGGGTTAATTCGAAAGCCCCGTCGGCTATGCTGGTCATTTCGGGCGGTGAAGGATACGTCGATTTTAGAATCGGTAAAATTTTTGAAATAAATTCGTGTGCATGCGCTTGTGTTTGCAAATATGATTGTATATAACTAACTCGAGGATTCCTGGGAATATTATCTGGCTTTAAACATTTATAGCAGACTTACTAACTACTTAACAACTTCTTAGTCACTTAGTACTTTCTAATTATGGAAACAATTGGGATATTCGGTAGATTTACAATTGTAATATTAAATATGTTTTACTATCAACGTTTACAGAAGATGATGAACCCAAGGACGGAGCTTCTCATCTCCTAATTTGGCAGCTTCTAACTGATATTCCTGGGAATCCTATGGGGTAGGTTGAGTTGGTAGTTTTTATTCATAACGATTAATCTTATTTCGTACAAATATTCGCAAACTTTTTAATGCCGAAAAGCCCGCCTTTGCGAATCAATTTAATTGGATTTTAGGTGATGAAATGGAGGATAGTATGATAGGTCAGCAAGATGTAATAGTGCAAGGTGAAATGGAGGAGTCGCTGAGAAAGAACAATTTGTCGCATTTGGTCGTTTGGCAAGTTTCGGCTAGTTAATTTTATTTCACCTGTTGGCGTGATAAATTGTGGTATTTATTACTTTTTTTTCAAAGACGCGTGGTGGTAATGCAATATATTTATTTCACTTTTTGTATTTATCGAATCGAAACCAAATATCGCAAATGAAATTGTTCAAGGTAAGCTCGTATTGAATTGTTGAATATATTTTTCAATTTTAAATAACCGAATTTGTAGAAATTGTTTTATATTTTGTTGATCGATATTTATTGTTATACATTAATTGTTAATTGCATAAATTGTTTTTAACAATTAACATCCTAAGGATTTTTTGCGGATGTTTTTAGTTAATTATTCTTTTTTTTTGTTATGTATTTAATTTACGATTATTTTTTTAATTTATTTGACGAATGAACTATATAAACAATAGTTAATAAACTTCGTACTATAAATACTGTTATAATGGATATTTTAATTCTGTAACTCAAAAAAAAAATTAGAATAAAAGAAAAAAATTAGAGAAATTTGTATCATGTAAACAAACTTTGTAAATTTGAAAAGGTCGTTTTCAAAATGTTTATTTGTAGATTATTTAATTTCCTTTTAACCTATTTGAAATGTGCTTTTATTGTATCAAAATAAATCTATAATTCAAAATAATTACTGTTTCGTTTAAATTTCCACACAATAATCATTTTTTCTTCCTTAGTTCTTTAATTCTAGCTTGAATTATTTTCCCCACATCATGATAGCGCAATTCCCCGTTAGAATCAATGTAAGTATCTGTAATATCCAGAAGAATAAAAATAACGTAACTAATAATAATTAAATTACTCACCTTTGAAATAAACCAGTTCACAAAACTGATTCAAACCTGTGTCCTCCAATACTCCATTCAATGTAATGTAGAATTGCAAAATGATGTCCTTCTTGAGCTTGTTGTAATAGTCTGTAAATTAAAATTATTTATTTGCTCGTTTTCTAATGGTACTACTACTTACCTGAATGGGGCACATTGCTATTGCAAACCTCTTTGAAGGTCTTCAACGGTGTGGCGTATTCAGCTACTACATACGTCCTGTCTCCATTTTCCGAAATAATCTTGTAAACAGCGTTTTTATAAACGCGATTTTGCACACCAGCTACTGTTATAACCTTTTCCTCCAACGACTGGAAATTCGGTATTAAAAAACTAAAATAATTTCCCTAAAATCTAATTGCTTACGCTGCTTTCCTGCAGCGAAGAGTCTTCGTTTTCCAAACTGACCGGGCAGGTCATGGATTCCGGTATCAGAATAAACAGCTTGTAAACATTAAAAGCTATCTGATTTTTGCTTTCGTAGTCCTGCATGAACTCCTTCAGGTTCTTATCCTCCCTTCCGGTCTTCGGTAGAAGCAAGTTCAAATAACCGTGGAAGAACGAGTAGGCCATGCCCGAACCGTAATCCAAACCGTTATCCTCGGCTACCCACAAGGAATCGTTCAATGGACAATCGGACTGCAATCACCTCGTTATAAACACTAGATGGATTATAAAAACAAATTACTCACGATTTTAAGAACCTTGCTTACAAAATAGACGCTCGGTACGCAGAGTATTAAACTTTTTTTCGAAACTTCCCCAAAATCCCAGTCGTAAACTAAAACGTACCACAAATTGTATGTGAAACTTATTAGCAACATCGGAACGATGCGCTTGTTAAAATGAAAGATGCTATCGTTTAGTGCATTCATAATGCTCCCATTGTAACGAGAAATTAGGTGCTTGGATTCTTCGGAAATTAGGACCAGCCTGTAGAAGTACTGCAGGAAGATTGAAAACAGCGAGGCCGATGAATAAAGAACTGAAATAATGCCGTTATTAATAGTTCTATTAAAGTAACTACTGCGTAACTTACAGACAACCGTTGAAAATGGTTTCGAATCGGTAAAATAGTCGCCTAGCAAATAAAATAGTATTAGTTTAAAGTTCGTTAAAATGAGTATATGATATTACATAAAAATAAACCGAAGCTAATCAACAAGAGTAATATTTGTGGTAAGGGGTCTCTTTCTTTCGGAATAGTTTTCGGGTAATAATGAATGCCTTTGTGTTTCGTGACGTACAACTGAAAAGACGACAAATTCAAGTTTTGGATTTTGAAAAACAAAAAAAAAAGAATTCCAAAGGTACCTTTTTATAGTTGATTTTCTTTTCCATTTTATCTGTTTCATCCATGGCTACTATGAGATAAATCGCTGATCAATTTCGTTCTAGGAATTGTGTGATAAAAAGCTGAGAGCAGCATAATAAACCGCCACTAATCAATTAAAAGTCGAAAGATAAGGCTTAAAAACAACACATAGTTGCACGTTGTTTTCGGATAGTTGGCCTTGAATATTAGCAACAAGTTTTGCTTACTGACTTATTACTTGCTACAAGGATCAAAATAGGCGAAAACAACGTTTTTTACTACTTTTATAAAACACGTAAAGGATCTCCCAAGTATTTCAAATTTACATACATTTACATAATATGACATATATGAGTAACGTCAATGTCAATTCGTTGACAGTTCACTTTAATAATTTCAAATAATATCAAATATCGTTATTAAATCAATTTTTTTATTTATTCATAAGAAATTGATAAAACATCACTAGACCTTAAGACAGCTACTTTAAGAGTATTCGGCAATGGAGTTTCTAAATTTTCAATCAAAATGTTATCGAAATTCAAATCTACTGCTTTTATATCGCCCTTCACAATTGTGTTTTCATACATGTTTATCTCACATTTTTTCTTGCTTTCTGAAACATAAAATACATAACTTTCGTAATTTTTTATTACATAGAAAACTTACTGCATAACGATATCACGTTAGACAAGAATCGTTCTCGTAGAAAAGCGTTTGCTTGTTGTTCTTCTGGAGTTATTTCTACTGAATCGCTCATTTCTTCAGGTGTAGATGTACTTATAGGTTATGTATAGTTTTTCTAGTTCTTGTCAAAAATTGACAGACGTCAGTTATGAATAATTTATTTACACAGTTATGAACAATCTATTTGTATGTACACTACTTATGATCATTAATTCAAACTAATCCAACTAGTATCAATTTTATATATTAAATCCAGCTTTCCGCATACACTCCTTATGAGCCTCTATTAAGTGTTGGCAATTTTCTTCGCCGTTTTCGATTATGCTAAAATGAAAATAAATTCCTAATATTTACGAAAATAAACAGATTCGAACAATATTACTAATGAAAATCAAGAATAAACTTACCAGGCATCTCTGACTTTTTTCGTTTCTGGACAAGCACAACAAGGTTTCAATTTTTTAGGTTCTTCGGCTTTTTTTGCAACATCACCCGCCGCAGCTGCGTCGACTTTCTCATTTACGTTTCCCATAATTATTATTTATTACTTGTAACCTAAACTATTACGATCAAATGATCAATCAATTTGAAATACCACAAAGTAACTTGATAATTTTTATCTTTGAAGTTGAATTTAACCTAAAACTTGTGGCCTTTTACTATGAAAGAAAATAGTACTTGTAGAAAAAGAATTGAATAAGTATAAACAAGGACATTATAAACTATATATAAAAGATAATGTGATAAATATCTTTTTATGACTATTGCAAGTTAATTTAAAATACCTAAAATATAAAATTATAATATAAAAGTAATCACTTGTCAGCAAATTCAAGTTCAATAATCACGTGTCAACTGTCATCGAAACACTGTCAACGTAAAAATCGATTAACCAGCAATCGAAATCATAAATAATTGAATATAAATTTTAAAAAACAAAAAATAAATTGCAGCAAGGGAAGAATTCATATTTACTTTAATAATTGATAATTGTGTATTATTTTCTGTTCATTATTGTTATGTGGTAATTTGATTAAAATGGTATGAAAATTGAAATAGTATAACGAATCGATTTATAGTGAACAATCGATTGAAGTCGTTAACCAAATCAAATGAAATGTCAAATCGCACTAGTCAAGTCAAGTCAAGTCAAAATTCCAGTGGGTTGGGTAGGTGTTTAATGGTCATTTTATTACTTTCAATTGTTGTTAATTAACAAGTTTTTAATTAAATCAAAATTTCAATCATCGTTTTATTTCTATATTAGCAAATACTGTTATTATATAAATTAGTTAAAATGAGTAAAAAGTGTGGAAGGTGTGAAAAGACGGTTTATCCTACCGAAGAAGTGAAGTGCTTGGACAAGGCAAGTTTTTATTTTATTTTTTACCCGTGTAATATTCTATATTAGTAATCTTTTGTTGCATAAAACGAATAACCGAAAAGAATAAAATTTGTTAAAAATACATCTTCAAGTAGCATATGCACTCAAGGTTGTTACAAATAGGAATAAATGACTCACGGATATTAAACCACTTCCCTTAATGAGGTTACCGTTCTATTACATTCGTAGAAAGTATTACACATCTTCTCATTGATTTATTTATAATTTTTAGGTTTGGCACAAGTTGTGCTTCAAATGCAAGGACTGCGGCATGGCTTTAAACATGAGGAACTATAAGGGTTTCAACAAGGAGCCTTATTGCGAAGCGTAGGTTTAAAAATCCCCATTTTTAGTCCCTATTTTTGTTAAATACGCGTTTGCTTTACCGTTTCAGTCACATTCCCAAAGCAAAGGCAACCACAATGGCTGAAACTCCCGAATTGAAAAGAATCGCCGAGAACACCAAGCTCCAATCTAACATAAAGTACCACGAGGACTTTGAGAAAAGCAAAGGGAAATTCACACAAGTGGCTGACGATCCCGAAACGCTGAGGATCAAGCAAAACACGAAAATAATCAGCAATGTCGTGTATCACGGGGATCTCAGGAAAAAGGCCGAAATGGAACAGAAACGACAAATAAACGAAAACTCCAACGGTATATTCTTCGATTATTTCACATGTACGTTGAATTACAATTTTTTGTATTGTAGGTTTTAAAGATCCGGACATTAAAAACGCCAATCATTTACCGCCCCAACAAGCCCCGACTCAACCACAACCTCAACCGGTCTACAACCCGCCACCCCAGATTACCCAACCGGCCCAATCGGCTGTGGGCCATTCGAATCACGTCAGCAAACTGACGGAATACGAACAGCCCCAAGGCAACACGGGCAATTTCCAAAGCCCCTACTCGTCGAGGAATTACCAAACTTTGATCTACTCCTCTGACGGCGGTACCGTTCAAAACCCACCGCAACGTCACATAGGTAAGCTCATTAACAATTTCCATACTCGTAAGTACTAGATCGTACTGTTTAATGTAGGTTCGGTGCACGATATGGATCCCATAAACCACAATTACGGGTCGTTGGGGCGAGTCTATCGCGCCATGTACGATTACGCGGCCCAGGACGATGACGAGGTGAGTTTTCTCGATGGGGATTTGATTATAAACGTGCAGAGCATCGATAGCGGTTGGATGACGGGCCAGGTGCAACGTACGGGCCAAGTGGGCATGTTGCCCGCGAATTACGTGCAATTGGCGAATATTTAAAGCTGATAAGGGAATAGTTACGTGCACGGTACTATAGGCTAATCAATTTTTTTTTACAATCGGTTTAACTAACATCGTATGTAATTGGGCTTCCGTATTCGCCTCTGGTTGATTGTTTTTTTTTTAAATGCGAGAATAGATGCTTGGTTTTGTTGGAAATTATAGCGCATATTTTCGTTATTTAAAAAAATTTCAAATGACTGAGTGCTTGTATATTAGTTGTATTAAATGTACATCAAAAACTAACGAAAGCGAAACGGTATCGTTCGATGTAAATCGAACATTTTATCGAAATTTTAGTAAAACGTACGAATTTACCAGTGCTTTGTTCATTCATTCCAATTGCATTTATGAAAACTTTTATATACACTTTACAGTAAAACTTTAGTTGTGCCTTTTAGATGAGTAACATTTTTTTTATATTGTTGACATTATTTTGTACATAGGATAAGATAGTTTCACATATCTCGTTATTGAATCTGTGCGACAAAAAAATATTACGAAAATAGAGGTAGATTTCTCTTCTGATAAATAGGATCGAAAATTTTTACATGTTTGTATATTTATATAGTTGTTACGAAAATATCATACAAGGTGTCTCTGAAAAAGTCTGCTTAATTAATTTCATATTGTGATGTTTGATACATTTTGAGATTTTAAAAGTATTTTTGAATTTTTTTAAAATATATACAAAATTTAGGTAGTGAAATCGATCTTAAGGCGTCTTTTGTATACAATTTTTACCTATAAACGTACTTGAATAGAAATCGTTAAAATTAAATATCGTAATTAGATGTATAAGATTATTGAAATTCATTGGTTTGTGATTAAAGATGTTAGGAGTGACAACAGGTTGAAATATTTCTACAATCATTCTGAGATAATTGTGCCAATCGCATGCATATTTTCAACTCTGTACTAGCCTAAATAAAAAATGAAAATATTTCTATTAGCCTGATTAACACTGTTAATACCATTTATATATATTACGTTTTTATTCTTGCCTGTAGCCACTTTAAGGATAGTTATCAAAGACTTTAGTAAATATGTTGCTTTTATTAGAGAGAATAAATAATTCAAGTATTAACAGATTTATATAAAATTAAAATTATAAAAAGGATGATGACATTGCGAAAAAATACTGGCCAACAAGTTATAATTAAGTAACAAAGGTTCTTTTATTGCTGACAATCTCATCATTCTTTAAATATACTGTAACTATTATATTATTCCATTCTGTTGATTCAATATACGTAATGAAAGATATTTAAACTATATTTTGTTAATTTTTAAGACAGTTTTTATAGTACTTTTAATAGAATTGAAACATAGGTAATACATACTGGTATATCTATAATTTTTGAAGCAACCTGAAGTAAAACATTCTCTAAATTATATTTCATGTTTAATTTTCGGTTAAAACACTGTTAAAAATTGTAAATTCGTAAATATTTTAGCTAAAAATTTAGCTAATTTTTGCCAAAATTCAAATTAAGCATGAGATATAACTCGATAATTCTATTAACAATCATTTATTTAATTCAATTGGTGCTTTTGTTTAAATACTTTTTTTTTAATTTCACACATCACCCCTTAATTTCAACATTGTAGAATTTCCAAATCTTTTTTTTTCAGACATGTATAAAATTCTTGAAAACAAAAATTTATATGCTTTAATTTTTGTATAGTTATTAATGTTATAATAAAAGTAAAATTCCCAAGTATTCTATTTTTTTCTGACATTTCCATTTATTATCCACACCATAAATTTTTCAGCAATTAAAAAAATAACAAAAATAAAAAAAAATAATTCCATTAAAAAAATACAAAATTCTATAAAATAGCTAACTTAAATATATCTTATTCAAATAAAAAATACTTTTAAATAGAGTTCTGTATAGGGAATCCTACCTATTTGTAATGCATGTATAAATATTACTATAAATAAATATTTACCGTTAGTACTGTACCAGGAGCAAGATTTAGTAGCTGCGAGAAATTAATTTTTAAAAATGTCCGAATGATCCAGACTGAAACGCTTTCGTTCTAATTGATACTTCACATAATAATAGTCATTTCGGGTCGTATTCCACGTCACGTACATGTAACCAGTCAATATCACTGCTAATAGCATTCTATCCAAGCTGAAACAATCATTAACTCGTTTACACACTCATTAGCCAAACTTTCTAGCATACCTCATTAATGGCGTGAACCAAAACAGCAAGGCGAAAGCCGAAAAACTCGGATGTCTCATGTGATTGTTCAGATTCTGATACTCCACGGACTTCTTCAAATTCGGATCGGGCAGATTCCTCAAGCTGTAGAAAACTTGCTTCAGTCCCAACAGCTCAGTAACATCTCGGCACATGTTACTGACGTAAATAACAACCCACGCTACGATATGAGCTGATACAAAGAGCCACCATAGGGGCTTGTAATTCAAATTCAGGCTCCATAATATAACGTTTGTTGTCTTCCAATTTCTTATAAGGCACTGCAATTAATGAACAAGCCATTTAAATATCCTAATAAAGCTGGATAAGTTTTATAATACCAATAATATTCCCGATGTGGCTATAGAGTATACGCTTCGAAACACCATTTCAAACCCGTACGCTTGAAATATATCTTTCATTTTACTAGTAGCCATCAGCGAATGCTGCAGGTAAAATACAGAGAGCAATGCTACATTTACAAGTAGCGACCAAGTTACTACATCCGAATCTGAAATAAAAGAACATTTATACAGTACTGTTAAGTTTGGTTTATTTACCTTTTCTATACGGTTGCACTTTAGGCACACTTATAAAGTATATGAACTCTACAGCTACGTAAAGGGTCGAAATTAGCCCGAAAAGGCCCAACAGTAGCTGGCATATTCGAAGGAACGGCTTACTCATTTCCATTCTTAATTTTAAATTTTAAATGACCCAATACTTGTGTGTATAAATAGTAAATAAAATGTATTATCTAAAAAATCTTCGTTTTTCTTATACTATTTAACAACTGTCAATGTCATATGAAGTTGAATAATGTGGCCTGTTACTAATTAAGTGTTTTAGTAATTATTCATTTACGCATTAATTGTAGAGCTTTTTTGCTACAATCAATGCATAAAAAATCAATAAAACCTAATTTTAATTCGATTAACGAACAGTTTTCTCGCGTAATTTAACGTACAGCCGATATTTATTTTAATATACGGTGTACAGTTGGCAACACTGCTCCCAATACCGATAACGTCTCGCGGACTCGACGGGGTAGACAGCCATTTTCTTTTCTTTCCTTGGCTGTTTAGCGTGTATGGCTTGGCTTGTGGATCGAATTGGCTGTGTGGCAAATTCGTCGAAGTCAATGTGACTATTTCTGAAAGTTTTTCATTCAAATATATTTGTGCTATTTTTCAAATTGTGAATAATTTGGTACGTATCGCGTTGATTTGATTTTAGTCGTTTTTATCGGTTGTTGGCGTTATCAAGCCGTGTCGTTAGCGACAGGATATTTTGCGCGGCATTAACGATAAATTTAAATTGGAATTGGAGGGAATATTTTTGTAGTAATAAATCGTTGTTTTTTAGATGCGAGCGGCATGAATATCCAAAATCTGAAAATGCCTGTGGAACAGGTAGTCTATTTAGACGATACGTGGGAATGCATCGTGTGCTTCGAGCAATTCCCTTCGAAGGACGATCTAACCGACCACTTGAGAACCCACGTCGGCCTGAAGTCCTTCAGGTGCATGGTCTGTTCCAAACTATTCATGCAGAACAGCAAATTAACGGAACACATGCGAACCCACCAAACCGAAGACTCCAACAAAACCGTCATCAAAATCGAGAAAGACGATGTATGCACCTTATCGGACGACGAAAACTACCAAGTCACCGAATTTAAGGTCGAGAACATCTGCGAAGACGACATGTACTATTACGAAGAAGCAGTCGATGATGATCTAAAAGACGAAGAAGAGGAGGAGCACATTCGCTTCGAAATCATCGAAGACGACGACGATGACACCATGGACGAGTTCCTCGGATTCGAAACCAACGTCGAGGAATTCTCCTCGCAGTGCGTTGTCTGTTGCCAATCGTTCACCTCCAAACTCGAGCTCGCTTTGCATCTTAAAAAACACATCGGTAAGCTACAACCTTTAGAGAAAGATCCCAGAGGATCAAGTCATAGAGTGCCCCTAGGGACACCCCCTGGAGGCTTAAACAAGCATCCGTTTGTATTATCTCTGTATAATACTGTATAATACAGAGTCTGTATAATACTAATCACTTTTATGCAACAGGTTTGAAGCAGTTCGATTGCACGAATTGCTTGGAGTCCTTCCCGTCGAAAAGCGACCTAGTCGAGCACGTGAAGACCTGCTCCGAGAAAGTAATCGCTTCGATCAAAACGGAAAATGCGATCGTGAAGAGCAGCGGAGACGATCCACACTTCGCCAAATACAAAATCAAGCCGGAACTGCTGACGGAAACCGACGACGACGAGGCCAAGGACTACGAGGAGCAGAGGGCTAAGCTGCAGGCCATTCTGCGGCAACAGAAGGAAGGCAGGCGCAGGGACTACCGCAAATCGAAGTTGAAATGTCCCAATTGTCCGTTGACGTTCGACAACATCTGCCATTTGAAGATCCATTTCAGGAAATACACCGGCGAGAAACCTTTCAAATGTCCCGTGTGCCAAAGAGCTTTCGCTCGAAACAGCAACTTGAACAGCCACATCCGCACTCACACCGGCGAAAAGCGATACAAGTGCCCTTATTGCGACAGGAAAGTCGATCACAAGAGTGCCCTTAAAGTCCACATTCGAGTCCACACCGGTGAAAGACCCTACAAGTAAATAACCCAATCTAATCCCTTCGGTATATCATTAAAAACACTATTTTTTATTCGCAGATGCTCGATATGTTCGGAAGATTTTGTCCACAAGCGATCGCGAGACGCGCACGTGATGGCCCACAACAACGAAAGACCATTCGAGTGCAACATTTGCGGGAAATCCTTCATAAAAAAATACAACCTCCAGATCCACGTGAGGACCCACTTGGGCATCAAGCCGTACGAATGCAGCCTGTGCTGGAAATCCTTCACGACTCGCAGTTCGTTGTCCTTGCACATGGACTCGCACACGACGACCCGCGACTTCGTCTGCGACGTGTGCCTGAAGGCGTTCGCGAGCAAGACCCGCTTGAAGGACCACATGAAAATCCACTCGGGCTTCAGGCCGTACCAGTGCGAGTTCTGCGCGAAGACCTACTACAACAAAGGCCATTTGAAGGAGCACCAGAAGATCCACAACGGCATCAAGCCGTTCCAGTGCGAGGTGTGCATGAAGGACTTCGCCAGGAAGCAGGATTTGAACATTCACATGGACGTGCACGCGGGCATCAAGTATTCCTGTAGTATGTGCTCGAAGGCGTTCAGCAGGAAGAGCCGTTTGTACAAACACATTAGGGAATTGCACGAGGACGCGGAGTTGTTGAACGACGAGGACGATTTGGATTCGTAGTTTTTATTTAGTTTTTTAGACTGTTCTAGAATTTTTATCGGGTGTATATTTTTACGAAAAGGAGAAACGTTGGTAATCTATTAATTGCGAGCTTGTGTAGCGTTAGTTAGATGAGATATAATAATAAACAAGATCAATATTTAGTTGTTTTATTGATTTTTGGATTGTCCTTTCAAATATTCGTATACGACAGCGAAGTCTTTATCGCCATATCCTTGCAATATGAGCGTCCTGTATATTTGGTGCGCCAGGGCTCCTAGTAGTAAGGGGGTGCCGCAACTCAACGCTGCCGCTTGAGCTAGGTACAAGTCTTTTGCGATCAACGGCACGCTAAAACCCCCTTCGTATCTGCGAAAAATTATATCCAATAATTATCTTTTTATATTCATACTCCATGTACTCGATAACGAGTATATTCAATATGAATCATGACTCGTCTACTGTTGGACATCAGCCAGTCTTAACTGTATGAATAATTACCCTTTAGAAGAAGGTACATTGGGCATGATTCCAGGTACAGGATTGTAAGTATCCGAAGACCACGATCTTCCGGTGGAAACGTTGACTATGTTGGTTAAAACTTTGGGATCCAATCCCAATTTAATACCTAAATTCATCGCCTCGCACGTTCCTATCATCGTAATACCTTCAACATACGAAATATGTGTCATATAAAGTAAGCAAATTATTGATAGTCGTTAACCTATCGTTCACCCTAATAACGCTCTTTTACTTTCTATATGAATGGAGGGTGTACTAGAAAAGGAAGGAGAATTCAGGATGAGCGATAGGTCTAATACTGAGTAGGTACCGAGTATCAAATTGTTGCATAATTTAGCAATCTGTCCGGCTCCGATATCTCCGCATTTGAACACCTTGGCGCCCATTTTGTTGAGCACCGGCTCCGCTTCCTTCAGATCGCCATCGGCCCCGCCGACCATGAACGTGAGGGTGCCGTTCTCGGCGCCTGTGACGCCGCCCGACAGCGGGGCGTCGATATACCTCACACCGTTCTCCGTAGAAATCCGGTGGAGTTCTTGCGCCATCTTGGGCTCGATCGTCGAGCAATCGATGAACAAGGACTTCTTCGGGATGCCCTCCAGGATGCCCTGCTTCTGGGTGAGCGTGTGCTTGACGTCGTCGCCGGTGGGCAGCATGGTGATGACGATGTCGGCGTCTTTGGCCGCCTCGGCGGCGGAGTTGCAGACGCGAGCGCCGGGGACGCTGCTGGCGGCTGCGGGAACCACGTCGAAAACTTTCACTTCTTGGCCCTTCTTCAGGAGGTTTTTCACCATCCTGGAGCCCATCTGGCCGATGCCGATGAACGACACATTGCTGGCGTTCCTGGCTACAAGAAAATAGCCAGTCGGGGTTAATAGACAATAGTTAGTAGGCTAGAAGTTGACTCGTTTAGAAATGGAAATCAATTTCAAAATAATTGGAGATTGAGCTTTTTAAGATAATAGGCATTTACAAAATGAATAAGCTAATTTTTGAAGTTATTGCAATATGTTTGAAATTGTTATCCTATATGTGTTGAAATAGATAAGTATTGATGAAGAATTGGTAATAAATTATACAGGGTATACGGAGAGAAAATTAATAGTTAAATAACATTAAAATTTAATTAGTATGTAGGTTCGTAATTACGTTAAATTAAGATTTAATTGTGTATTGTTTCAACAAAAATAGTAATGAAAAATTTTATTGAAATTTCGGAAAAATAGTTTCTGTGTATCTAATTATAAAATCGTCCGATCTGCTAAATTTAAATGTTAGGTATGTAAAATCGAAAGTCCAATCCAATTTGAATTGTATAAATTAACAGAGCAGAATTAACTATTATTTGTTAGGTATAATAGAATTTAAATAGTTATTAATAAACTTCGTTTTTATTACGAAAATAAGCGATTCTCCATTTTCTCTTTCATTCTTTAATACATATGTTTAATAGATAAACAAATACGCCTATAAAAGTGAAGGAAAACCTAACAATCGGTGGGATTAAGATAATAAAACTTCATAAAGGAATACCTATAAATAGTGTTTTATAAAACTGAGTAAAATGTACAAAAAAAAAACTTACTTTGGAACGACCTGAAGACCAATTTTACCGGACCCAAAACCATTATTATCGACGATTTCGATACAACTATACGCACGGCTCGTTCGTTACGTATTCGCACAATAAAACTGATAAACAACAATTTTGTAATTCTCGTATTTTTATGCTAATTCGTTATTAACCTTCTGCGCGTTGATAATTTGGTTGCCTAATAAAATAACAACAAATCGAAGTAAATATATATTCGTTAATATCGCTCCGCAAAGTTTACCGAACGTTTCGTATCAATTGCGTCCGGTCGGGTGACTTGGGGCTCTGCTGGAGTTCGAGAAGGTCAGAAAAATATACCTACACCTCTCGTCTGACCGCTTATGCATTAGCATTAGACAGAGTTGGAGTAAGAAATATGTTGCCCACATGTTGCACTATCCAAGCTCTTTTATTACTAAGTGTAAATACACTTTATAGGAGTCACCAAAGAGGTCTTATTTTACAACAGAACTACGAGGTGTATGAGTTACCTATAGTTATTTTTCAATGATCAATCGATCGTATTTCGTTGGGAAATTCTTATAATAAAGAGCATTTTTTTCTGGACCATGGCAATCATGAGATCTTCTGTTGTATTTTAAGTAATTATCAAACTATTATTAACGTTCAAGGCTTCGTCGTAATCTAGATAAATAACTGTGCTTTGTGCAAACGAAACCCGAAAAAAATTATTTACCTGGTTCGCGGCGAGACTTAACATTTATACAGAAATTCAAATACAGAACAATGTCGGGCAATAAATAAATAAGTAACCCGAATTTTTATTGCGATAACGAAAAGTTACAAAATTATGGTGTAAGAGAATGAGAGAGACGTTTTTATTAGTAATCTAGTAGATGATTTTAATTAATTCGCAACATATTGAAGATGATTTTTCGAATTTACAGAAATTTCGAAGTACACTCCTGAATTACTTATTTCATTACTCTTAATTATTGTTTTTTTTCACATTTTAAGCACAATCTAATTATTTTAAATTGGCATAATGAACATTAAAAAATAATTATTACTTTGTCTATATGTACTCGTATTAATAATGAAAAATCATTCCTCTATCATTACAATTTCTTTGGTACTTTTAATGTGCAAATGGGGCTATATACCAAAGAAGTAGGAGACCCGGAGAATCCAAAGAATGAATACGATTGGAGCTAAATACCAAAAAAGTAGGAGACCCAGGGAATGGAGAGACCCGGGAGAATCTATAGAACGAATACTATACTAATTGATAACTAACTGATTCTAAATTTTATCAGAAATATTTTTCTTTTAATAAGCGCAAAAGTAAATGAACAACTTCAAGTAGCATTTGTGTATATTTCTTCGAGATACTTTACGTAACATCGAAAATAGTAAGAAAAATAATTTCCAAACACAATAAAAAGACACGTAGCAACGCCGAGTTAATCATTATAACCCCCTTTTGTCTTGATTTATAATATTTACTTTGGTGATAAGGACGATGATGAAAATTTAATATTTACAATCGCAGAGATAACGAACAGAAATTGTCTTCTGTAATATGTCGCTGCTCGCTTAATTATTACAATAAATATATTACTAAATTCGAAATTATTAAAAAAACTCATAAGGAAGATTAATTATACGAGGTCGGATCGTTATATTCCGTACACAAAAAAAATAATAACGCATCCACTTTTGTAAAGAACCCGATGGTTTTATATAGGTAGCGAATGTAGGTAGGTGTACTTAAACATTACAGGTGAGTACATTTAGTGCGTGAAAACAATGCGGCACGGGATTAAACCGTAATCTGAAGTAAACAATTTTTCGTCGCGTTCGAAATCGTAACGCTGATATCCGCCCCTCTATACAGGTGTTTATTGATAAGAGCTGTGACGCAACGGCAGAGTACTTATGCTAGCGGTTACGTGTCAAATAGTACAGGTACTACGCCCACGGCGACAGGTGAGAAACGTCCAGCGGGAGCTCCACAACCAGCGGAGCACCCCGGCTTGCCGGTATGTATCTATTTGATTTTCTGTTACTAATTGTAAAGCGAAATTTTACCAACGATTCTATCGGTTTGTTAATCGGTTATTTTGTTTTAAAGATTGTTATATTTGTCTACTTTTGTAAATTTAATTAGATGTATATCCCATAAAATATTCATGCAGATTTTTATACCATTTTGTGGAGCGATAAACATAGCTCGTAATATTTTATAAAAAAAATATATCCTCTGCAAGCCTTTAGGATACCTTTAGAACATTGAAACCTAAAGGTTTAAAATGCCTGTGACCCGGATTATATCGAATAATACACAGGCTACATGTCGCCTAATCTGTTTATTGGTATACTCATCTGTTTGCTTGGTAAATAGGACTATCTATTGCAAACATTTGGATTTATTGCACGCATACGTGTTTGTTGAATAAAATTGTCGGTGGAATTTTTCCGCGATATAAATAAAATTAATTGAACACACATTTCGAGGGGGGTTTGTCGAAGGGTTAGGAATTATTGAGCGCCTTGTATGTACTATTGGAAATCCTCCACCAAGGATTTTCTTACAAAGTAGTTTCAAAAGAGTAGTTTCCAAAAAGAGTAATTTCAAAAGAGCAATTTTAAAAGAGTATTTTCAAACGAGCAATTTCAAAGGAGTAATTTTAGAAGAGTAGTTTCAAAGGAGTAGTATGAATAGAGCAGTTTTAAAATAGTAGTTTCGAAGGAATTTTTTTCAAAGAGCAATTTTAAAAGAGTGGTTTCAAACGAGCAATTTCAAAAGAGTCATTTGAATAGAGGAGTTTTAAAATAGTAGTTTCGAAAGAGTATTTTCCAAAGAGCAATTTTAAAAGAGTTGTTTCAAACGAGCAATGTCAAAAGAGTTATTTTAGAAGAGTAGTTTCAAAAGAGTAATTTGAATAGAGCCGTTTTAAAATAGTAGTTTCGAAAGAGTATTTTCCAAAGAGCAATTTTAAAAGAGTAGTTTCAAACGAGCAATGTCAAAAGAGTTATTTTAGAAAAGTATTTTCAAAAGAGCAACTTTAAAATAGTGGTTTCAAAAAAGTATTTTTTCGAAAGAGTATAGTTTCAATAGAGTTGTTTTAAAAGAAAATTTTTAAATGAGCAATTTTAGATAGAGTATTTTTTCTATAGCTCGGTGAATTTCATTTGAGTACATTTCGTTGCGTTCAAATTAACCTACTTAACAAGTACATTCAAAATTTTTTATCGCTATCGAATTTAGTCTGCGTTAATGTTTTAAAGTCGATAAAGCCGGCTCTATACAGGTACACTCAAAATTTTTTACGGCGAACTTAGTCTCATTGTAAATAAAATTATAAACTCTTATCTCTTTTTTAACAAGGTTATTCGATAATAGCGGGTATTATTATCACATGAATAATTAAAACATCTCCGCATTTCAATCTTTCCAATGTAATTATGATTATTTACCCACCATAAAGTGCTTATTTAGAGGATTAGTGGTTTCAATTAGATATAATAGAAAAGTCTACAGGACTCGAATCTGGAGAACCCAGAGGCCGTGCTATACAGTTCCAAAAAAGCTATACAATTATTTTCAAATTATTAGACTGGTTTTTAAGGCTCACCGAGGCAATTAATTCGTAATGAAAAAGCGGGTATTCAAATGCTATCCGATTAGTGCGTTAATTGCCGAGCGAAAAATATATAAAAAGTGACTTAATTTATTTATGTTTCGTACGGTTATCGTTATTGTATGTGCATGGATATGAGTATGTTACTAAGGCCGTTTGATAAAATTCAATCGGCGATAATGGCTCAAGGCTGAATAAGTAAATTTAATAGGTATCCTTTCTTGGTTAATGTTTCTTTCTAGATAATAACTGGACTGATACATTAATCGTATCCGATGGAGGTGTGGTTGAATATTCGAATTAGTGATAGGAAATGCTCTAAAAATAACTACTCTGTTCCAAATTTGTTAATTCTTTCTTATCAGCCTCTCATTCCTCCTACATTTACATCACCTAATTTTTGCTATGTTAGTTCTATAGTGGCAAATTTCTCGGCTTTAATTAAAATCTCTCGGTTGCTAAATGTTTTTTGTATAAATTTCAGGTCGTCAATAAGCGAAAGATCAAAATCGTACCTCCTGTTCCCAAACGGCGACGGTGCTAACGCGAAAAGCAAATAAAAATTAAGATGCAGGTGAAAATGAGTGGTAATTATGCTGGTATAGAAACACATGATTATCATTTCGAAAGCAGGGAGGTTACCGTTGAGAATCCATGGACTCACCCGTTGAATGAGGTGAGTTGGTTTTATTTTTGCGTAAAATTTCAATGGTTTTGTTGCAGGATTTTCCTCGCATGGACATTTCGTTGCAGGAAGGGCAGTGGTGTGAAAAATTCGCGAATGAAGAGAGCTATCCGTCGACAGTATATATTTTACACTGTCATGGAGTTGCTCTCTTTATAAACGGATTTTGTATCGTCATTTCGCATCGAGTGAAGTTCGTGCGTTAGAAATTTCATTGGGGATTTAGTGCTAATCGACTGAACTACTAGATTTTTAAACGAATTTGTATTTAGGTAGTATATGGGTAAGTGTAAATGTGTTTGCAATATGGTGAATACTATGATGAGTTGAACAAAGAAAGGTTAATTAAATAGCAATGGTTAGAGCGAGAAAGTTGCAATATTACTCTTTCTTTTTTGTTCATATGACACTAATGGGAGTTGTCCTTGTTGCACCCATAGGCATCATATTGTGTACACATTTGCACTTATCTGTATACCTATACCCAATATTTCTTAAACTCATATAATAAAAAGTTATACTTAATATAATGTTTTTTTAGTTAGTTTATTTCAATATTGCATGCTTTATAAAGGTGAAAGTTGTAGAGTCATTTATGCATTTAAAATAGTCAAAAATTGAGTAGATTTACATATTTTTTAATTCTAAAGTACATAATTTAGATAAATTCAGTAAATTATAAGCGAGTGTGGTGGATAAGAAATTGCAAATAACACAACTTATCTACCTCGTATATAGACTAATAAATCATACTTAAAAAATAAAAAAAATGAGTCTAAAAAAAATTAATGTCAAAATTGACATTAATGACATTTTGTATGACAGAAACGTAATAGAGGTGGGAATCAATTTTTTGATGTAAAGGTGCAGTAACGACTGTTACAAAATAAGCGTTATTTTTCAAATATCGTTCTTTTGATTACTCTCTTCTGCTCTACTCTACTCTATTAAAAGATTCTTCTTGCATAGAAATAAAATTATATTCAATTATTCGCGATAAACGAAGGACAAAAATTTGTAGCTTTCCATTCTGGGATACACTGTTTAATTATCGAACCTACACATATCATCACCAAATTATCCAAGCATCAATCCCCGTCGAATACAATCGAGTGAAAACCAAAAGATCGATCGATCTCGAACGATAACGAATAAAAAATCCATACTTTATACACGCGCGAACAGCAGTAGGCAACAACGCATCTGAAAAAGTTTCACCTGCCCAGGTGGCTGACACAGGTGAATCGGAGAACCTAATCAGTTCGACGGTTCCTCTCTCGCGGTTTATAATAAACAACGCCTCTGATTCGGTTCCATTGTATTTGTGCAACGAAATCGTACACAAAATTCGCTCTATCGACGGACAAACGCCGGCAAATGTGATTTATCACCGCAGGAAACGGGTTATTTCTATGCGAACAGGATGACAACAAATAGATTTCACAAGTAAGTGTACTTACCTTTAACGGTTAACGCTGAAATTGTTGGAGAGTAAAAGTTGTTGTTGTGGTAAAAAATTGGGTTTGAAAGCGAATTTCGGCGATGCGATGATAGTGTTAGAATTTTGTTTGTTTGATGTGGTTTTAAAGTTTGTTAAATGGGTAAATGTTTTCCTTAACTACTGGGTGATTTTTTTAAATATTTTTTTTAACATTCAAAAATAGTTCTGACGCCATTTCAATCATCTCGGTTAAATCAGTGATAATAAAAATAATGAAAATCAATCAGTTTATCTTATCAATGTGGTACATTAATACAGTAATCTTCAAAATGAAGCAGGTTTCAAAGTGTGATATATACTTTAAAAAAATCAACCGGATATTTTTGATGATACACTTTAAAACTAATGTAATAGAAAATGCTCCTCTCTAATCAAACAATTTAAATATTTCTGCAGGGCAGCTAAAGACGGTTTAATAGAAATTCTTAAAGAAACTACCAAAAGAGATTGCAACACCAGAGATGAACAGGGATTGACGCCGACTCTCTACGCCGCTTTCTATGGAAATTTGGACGTTTTAAGGCTATTATGCGGAAGAGGGTAAGATGGGCTTCTATTAAACTTTATAAATTTCTAACCCTTTGTTCTTTTACAACTTTAATGGCTCTAATTGTCTGGTGAATTCCTAGATAACTTTTTTAATTCAATATTTTTAGATAAGAATAAAGTTATCTAATAGATAATTAACACTTGGCCTAACAGTCACTTCTCCTATCTACATATTCCCTAAAAAACCAGAAATTAAAATAGTGATTCAATAATTATATCCAATTCTCATATCAAATAATTTCAAATTTGCCAACGAATTAAATTCAATTCGTTAGATTACTAATATATTAAAATGAGCAAATAAAATAAATGGATTCTAATCTCTCAGATAATCCAATTACGAAAGAGCTCATCCATGATAAAAAAATAAATCAAATATCACCGCTTCATTACCAACGAAAACACTCGAAACAATTGGAATTGTAATTGCACATTTCAACTTTTTCAAATCCATTCCAGAGGCGATCCAGATAAGGCCGATTTATTCGGCAATACGGCCCTGCACATGGCCGCCGCCCAGGGGCACAAGCACATCGTGACGTTCCTGGTGAATTTCGGCGCCAACATCTACGCCCTGGACATCGACGGGCGCACACCCCAAGAACTGGCGGGCATCAACAACCGAGAGGACATCCTGATGTTCCTGGACAGCGTGCACGCCAAGCTGGAGGCCACCGACAAGAGGAAAGCCAAAGCGCTGCAGGAAAAAGCCAAAGAGGATTCCAAAAAACGCGTAAAAGTATACCCCGAAACACCCCGCCATAAATCCTCCGAATTGACTCAGCAGTTTCGCAGGAGTTCAACAAGCGCAAGCTGAAGCAGGACCAGTTGCGCGAGAAACAGGCGAAGAAACAGAACCAGCCATCGATGTTGTCCACCTTGCGGAAGAAAATCGTCGGCGGTTCCATGTCGAATTTGCTGGCCGACGACCCGTACGATAGAAGGCACACGTTCAGCTCGATCGTGAGCGGGGGCACGGTCACCAGCAGGGGCACCACCAGCAGCGTGCACAGGAAAATCCTCTCCAACAAGAACAACCGATTGGGCCAGATCGAGGACGATTTCAAGGTGGCTACGCCACTCGCCAAATTCACTCTTTTGAATCGTATTTTGCGCAGGTCAGCGGCTTGGAGGACGGCAAACTGACCGTCAACTCGCTGAAGGGGATCCGCCGGGACTCCGAGGTGATGTACGGCGGCACCTTGGAGGCGGTGAACCTAAAAGAGCGCGGCCGATTGGACGGCATCTTCAACGAGGCCGAGTTCCACTCGCACGAACCGGCGCCTCCTGCTGGCAGATTGTTGAGGTCCAAATCGCAGCCGGATTTCCTGCAAGAGATGCGCAACAACGCCGAGAACAAAATGCAGCAGGAGCGCAGCAGCATATTCGACAGGCCCGGCATCGGAAGTATAGTTATTAGGTGCGTTACTATACACTATTTCTTTGTAGAAAATTGATCAATACGCTTCGTTTGCAGGAAGAGTATAACTCAAAACACGTTCGGTAAGTTTATGGGTAACCTCGAGGAGAGCTCTATCGGATCGGGGGAGAGTTATGGACCGAGGCATGTCACCGACGATGAATTATCCGGTAAATAAACTCTAACCAATTCCTTCATTATCTAATCCTTCGATGTAGATTCAGGTTCGAGCGAGGATTGTAATCCGAACGCGGCGCTGGAGCGGTTCCTGACCGCGTTCGGTTTGAGCGAGTACGTGCCGAAGTTCCTCGAGCACAAGATAGATTTGGACACGCTGATGATCCTGGAAGAGAGCGATATCGATAAATTGAAGCTGCCGATTGGGCCCCATAGGGTGCTCGTGAACGCGGTGCAAGAGAGAAGGGCGGCGCTGGAGAACCCCGGCGAAGTGAACGATACGATGTTGTAAAATGTAAAATACTTAATATATTTATACTATTACGGTTTTATTAGTTTTTCTCGGCGGTATCATTGACAATGACTGTTTTAAGTATTTGGAGTATTTCGATTTGTATGTTTAATTTTTGTTGGAGATTGAGGGTTTTGAAGTAGGGTACTAAAGATAAACAGAAATGTCTGTCTTCGTCGATACTATTACTTGTGTTTCCTAAGATATATTGATCGGTGTCTCCGTTCTCTTGTGTGGTGTTAACGTTGCAGTTTTGTGATGAATTGGAGGAGAATGTGTCGTCATTTTCGAATTTAACGTTCAGTAATTCATTCACGTCTTGAACGTCTTCGTTATCCGAACTACAAGTTGGACTATATTGGATCATTTTTTCTTCGGAAACTTTGAGTTCTTTAGCCATAAACGGTATCATAAATTTCAGTTCTCTTGCGTATACGTAAGGTCTTTTCTTCGACGCGTTTTCACCGGGACATTCGCCTTTCCTTTTGATTTCCTTTCTAAAACTGTCTTTTATGTTCTTCCATTTTCTTTTGAGGTCATCCACTGCAAATGAGGCACCGGTTAATAAATTAGTTTGCTTATTCAGAAGTACTTACAGATATTTCGACGGTTTTTCTCGCTAAAATCCGACCAATTCGGGAATAATTCCCAGCAAATGTCTATCCACAGTTGTTCTTTAGCGTCTTTGTTGAGGAAATCGGGATTGTTTTTATTGTAAAGAGCCGGTCGTTTTTTTACTTCAGATATCGCTTTTTTTATTAAAGAAGGGGAAAATGTATAAGGGGCCATCTTGACCACACAAAGGAATAATAGCTTTACTAACGAAGAACTTGCACTCTCTAAACATTTATAATATCTTCAAAAAATAAATAAATCATCGACTTTATATTTTATATTATATCAACTTCGTCTATGGACAAAAACAAAACAATAAACAAAATCAAACTTTTATTCTTCTTTTCTATCATCAAAAATAAATGTCATAAAACTGCCTTTAATTTAATTTCCATACAGCCATTTAGACGTCGCTGTCAATTGAAACATCAAACCTCAACGTCAAAATCAGCTGATTAAATCGACATCTGTCAGTAATTAGGTATGTTTAATTTTATTGTTGCAAGTATTAATTAATTTGTCCTCGCAAAATATAGGGCAAGATGGCATCAATACTTTAGTCTCGATACCAGCTACGCATTATTTACCATCAGCATGAATCTACATCAGATTGTTAGTGGTGCCTGCAATGCAGGCGATAAATGCTTCGCTGTAGGCTCAGTAGAAGGAGTCCCGTTCACTGTAAGTGCAAGTTATTGTTGTTAAAACATGTAATGTTTTATCACTCGATTATTATGATATTTCAGGCATACGCGGCTGGCTGTAACATTGTTATACTGGCCTCGACATTCGAAAGAGTTCAAATCATTCCTGGTGCTATTCACGACTATATTAGAGTCACTTCTGTGGATTGTTCTAGTGATACAGGCAAAATAGCTGCTTCGTACCACGATGTTGTGTGCATTTATGAACCTACTCCTTTGATTCACAATACTTCTACACACGTAAGTAAATTACTGTTTAATGGTTTACCGAGTGATAGAATGTAAGTAATTGGTATATTGTTATAATGAAATATGTATTAGAGTTCTGTAATGGATAGGGTGTAGATAGGGATATGTTGCGAAAATGATTAATTCTAACAGTATGTGTTAAAAAACCTAATAATAGAATTATTAGAATTATTGTTTTATTTCAGAGGGCTAGTATTGCTAGTATAAAGAAACCACCAAAGATTAAGGTATCGAACGTTGAACTAATGTGTGTTTTAATTTACGCGATTATTGGGCATATAATCAATTTAATAAATAAGCATGAGAGCTTTTCTGCCAAAGCCCTTTGCTGTGCATACATTTATGTGAATAGTATATGTTAAATTTTATTTACGAAACTCCAATTATCTGCCATATAATTCACATGATGGAACGCTATGCGATAGATGTTTAAAATACTTTCTTCATTTTTAATGACTTCAACCAATAATCAATAATACATATAATAAAAATACATACGATTAATTTTATTACACTATTCGTTTATCTGCCAATTTCTAAAAAAATGCCATTTTGTAGGGTCTAGATTACAGATGGGTGCAAACCGGTACCCTTACCACCGATTCACCCATTAGAGCTTTGAGCTGGAATCTCGAAGGCACCCGTTTGCTAACTGCAGGTACCCACGTGCAATTGTGGCATCTCAAATCCCAAGCGAATGAAGAAGATCACAAACAACCGGCTGTCACGTTCACCCTGGGTGGAGGCCACCAAGATGGCACTGAAGATGGCGATTTGCACGATGAACCGGATAAACCCCAAGGTGAGGACTTGGGAATTGTTAATATTTACCTAATTATTGGTGTTTTTTTAGAGCAAGAACAAACATCGTGGCAATGCGTTTGGAAAGCTAACACAGCTATTCCAGTTCAACATTTGGCTTTCAGTCCGGACGGTACTCTGTTTGCGACCTGCGGTGAAAACGATAGATTGGTTAAAATTTGGTACGAAAATCGACACGGTACGTTCGCTGTTGGCGCAAATTTGTTGTTCACTAACACGAATTTTTCCTCAGTTTTGTTCACTTCGAAGAGTTCCGATGGTCCTTTAGAATTGGATTACGGTTTCGTCTACATCGCTCATCCCAGGGCTGTGACTCACATTTCTTGGAGAACCACCAGCAAATACATGCCTAAGTTAGTACTTATACCAGATTGTGCGATTTGAATTTTACATATTTCGATTTGTAGGGGTTCAGTGTCGAATATGCTGGTTACTTCCTGTAAAGATAACATATGCAGACTTTGGGTGGAGACGGTTCTACCGGAGGACGGTTTGGTTAATTTGTCACAACTCGATCCTCAAGCGCACCATCCGAAGTTCCGGACGCACAGGCACAAGCACCGTTTCATGCAGCGCTTGAAACACATGAAGTAAATGAATTTTATTGATACATTATCATTAAACACAAACGTGCACTTGTTCATTTCAATGTCGTGTAAGCCTTACAATACCTAACATCAATATTGCACTGTTTTCAATGTTTTCAGACCTTTTTGTAACTATTTTAAACATCCCACTAGGATTTGGTGTGGATGTGGGTAAGTCCGAGTCGAGAATTTACCGTTTTTCAATGTTTTTTCCAACATTTTAGGCTTGCGATTTGATGTATTGTGCGATATGATTTGCTCATCTATCAGCTTACGAGTTACCATGAAAGCTTTCTTGGATATCTTTAAAAATTCGATTTTTTTCCACTAATTAAAATAAAATAATGCTGTTATTTCAGGACCTGTTTTCACATAAGAAGAAACGCTAAACATCACGGACCTGGTATAGGCGGGCCTTCGCCTCCTATACCAACATTACCATCGACTTATAGTGTACACGATTTCCATTCGTATGGATACCACGGAACTGGTAACCGATAATCTAATCCCTAATCAGGAAATCTATAATATCAATTACCATTTTGCAGGAATAACGCCGGGCTTGCACTTCCATCTAGCGGCGTCTGTAAACGCCGAAACCGACATACCGCTAGTTCCCAGCATAAGCTTTTGCAATCCCAAGCCCGCTTTCGTACTACATTGGTTGGACAACAAGGAGATGCAATTCAGCCTACAAGCCGAAATGTTCCTCGAGGAATTTGCTAAGTAAGCACTTCGCTTATAATACGATAGTAATACGATAGGATGCTTTAATGGTTGTATTTCAGACCTGTCGTGGATAATCCGGAATCGGAGGATTCCGAGGAACCTCTAATGGAATCGGGCGGTTCGGATGGAGTCGATGCAAGAATAGAAAACTTCTTAAGAGACTGGCACCACAGTCCGGATTTGTTGTTCAGTATACACCCCGTAGATGGTAGTTTTCTAATTTGGATCGTGGAATGGCTGGACGAGTTCCATCCGGGCTCCTTCAGACAGGCTCAGGTGTCCTTTTCCACTCGAATCCCATCGGCGTTCCCTCTAGGCGACTCCATGAGCATGTCGACCACGGTGAGCCTCTACAACACGACCCCTCTACTCAAACACCTCGTGAAAGAGGCGCTGCACAAGGAATGCTACAAAACCAGGGACCTCAGCAGCGTGAAGGAAGAAGACGAAAACAAACCGCAGAACGAAGTACGCCCCGATTATTCGTTAATAATTGTAATGCACGCTCGTTTTTATAGATTCCCATACCGGCTTCGGAAGAACAACAAGAAGCCGCGCCGGTCGTGTCTCTCGTTACCAAGCACGACAACGGCACTTTGAACCTATGGCAAATCACGTTCGCCGACAAGAGCAAATTCAGCCAGGTGCTCAGCATAGGGCACAAGAGCCGGGCATCCGGCCATCGATTCCGAGTCAACGACATCACCTGCCATCCGGTGTTGCCGCTACTTCTCACCACCAGCCACCACAACATCATCGACAAGAAATCCGACAACTACAACATAACGGTACAACAAACAATCACTCTCTAATCTTATTGTATCATTATTATCGGCGTTTTTAGGGTTTCTGCAGCGAATTGATACTGTGGAAAGTGGACGCGGTGGGTCCGCTATCGAAATCCGGGGGTATCTGCGAACTGGCCAGGATCAGTTCGCCCGAACCGTCCGCCTTCAGCAACGTCGCCTGGATTCCGACTTTGTTGCCCTCGAGCACGCTGGGGAATCTGTCGAATTCGCCCAGCGCTTGCTTCGTGGCGTCCGACGGTCAGTGTTTGAGGGTCTACCAGGCGGTCATCGACGCTCGAACGCTGCTCGCCGATCTGTCGTTCAAGGAGAGCCGCAGGAACGAGGAGGATGAGGACGAGAGCGTGTCGGGATTGTCTTCGTACAATCAGGAGAGCATTTTGGATAACATCAATATCGTGTCGCAGCAGAGCACCTCTCGACCCGGTTGTATCATCCAGCTGGAAACCATTTCGGAGGCGATTAAGTGGCAGAACACCACGTTCTTGCACGTTTACCAGGAACAGTTGATCACAGGTGAGTCTGGCGAATAGCAGTGCTCGATTTTATTGCCGGCCTTTTATTTATCAATTATTGAGCAGTGCTTGGTAGTTTAGTGCATTGTTGCCAACTTTAATAAGAATTTTTCCTGTTGCGTTGAACTGTAATGATAAAGGGCGGGTTTTGAAAGGCCTTAGCAAATGAGAGGATTTTTGTTTGTCATATTTCGAACAAATATTGTCACGAGCTCTTAAATTCGCAATGAAAGCGTTCGAGAAATTGAAAGAGAAGTACATAAAATCGCGATCGAGCGCAAATCGGATATACAGGAATGCGTTGGGTAAAGTGAATCAGGATTTACTCAAAGGTGGGTGAATTGAATATCGAGTTTTCAATCGATAGAAACGATTAAATTTGTAGGTGCTCGAATTTTGGGAGCGACGACTTTAGTTATATTCGGATTGAGTATAGTGCGAAAATGGTGAAGGCGTTAAATAAATAAATAAATTTCGGTTGAATATAAAATATTTTATCTTGCGGTATTTTGTATTATTGAGTTCGAGAATCGCGTAGCCTGCTTAAAATTTTTGACGTTATAAAAATGTCAAATGTCAGTTTTATTATTAATTGTCAAATTGGTAGTTTGAAGAAATTTTATTAAATTCGCGAAAATGGCCAAATCGGTTTTAAGAGGTGAGAACGATTAAATTTTCTTAAATGAAAATCAATTCAATAACACCGATCATTTTTCAGTTGTAAAAATCGCTGCAAGGCTCGCAGTATTCATAACAGGCCTGAAAATTATCAGTACGTTATAATGTAATTTGAACGTGTCCTATTAAACAATCCATTCAGTCTCAAATAGTTTCATTCTGTTAGTAATGTTAATGTTAATACTCAAAGTTTATTCCGAAAAAACATTTTTATAAAAAACTAATAAGACGGCAAAAGATGAGATGAGATAAAACGCTGCTGCTGCTATTTGATCGCCATTTTCGTCAGCATTCCCTTATCATTTCTAGGCCCGTGACGCACAGAAACACCGCAGCGCCTATTTTCCCCACTGAAAAAAAATGTACGGAAAATTATTAATCTCACTAATATCAACCAGAACGGTTTCACTTACGTTTCACTACGCCTTTTATTAATTTTTTTGACATCCTGAGGCCGATTTTAGACTCCAATTATAATTTACACACACCAGAAATTTGATAACCGAACTTACCGAACATTTGATTTGACAACTATTGACGTTTTGGGTAAAATAACGATGACGAGATGGCGCTGCAATAAACACGTCAAATTGACAGTTTTCAAACGTCATTTCCGGTTTGGGTTTGTAAAATAGGGTGAAGTGGTGCAAATAATTGTGAATTGAAGTTTCTCTATTCGTATTTTCCTGCCCCGCTATATCCTCTTTTACTTATGCAATCGAATTGCGAAAAAAAAATAATAAAACGCCTATTTTATATTTGAATTAACAACGACGATTTATTATAACATTTTCTTTATACAAAAATGCGGTTTGTTGAGTTCTGATTCACTCAACATTTCAAAAATCTCAGACCCTTTACGATTATTATGGAAGCTGCTATAACTTTGAAAACTGGAAGAGCATAAATTAATGAAATCGGTTCCAATGGTAATTTATTCGTACTTACGTGGGTCTACAGTACATTTAGATCTGCAAGCCATTTACAATAAATTTTGGGGTTCGGGATATTCACGAAAAATGACGCATTTGAAATCTAAACTGCAAATGCCATTTTTTGAAAAAGTCAATTCGGCTAAGGTAATGGTAGATGATTACTTTAGACCAATCATTTTACACTCAAAAATTATAAGGAGTTATTTTTAACCAGTAAAAAATATACGTAGAGAAATCTTTATTATTACATAAAATAATTTGTATGAAACGCTTCTATCTAAAAATTCAAATAAGCAATTTTAATCCTTGCGTAACTAATAGGGCGATAGCGGTGATTTTATAAACTAAAATAATAGGAAAAATTAAAAATTTACAGTCAACGACACGCATTTACGCATTACTTACCTGGATCTAAATTTTTTTTGGCCATTTTGGCTATATCCCCGAATTTAGTAGCTTGACTTACGGTATAAAAATCTGACGTAACTTTTAGAATTTTGAATATTTCAATAGTTGCAGCTGTTTATTACTATAGTTGTAGTTACCTACTTACTATCTCTAATATTATATTCCCTTTCCTAAGCACATCATCAATCCTACTCGTTACCTGCTTATCGCATCTTTATTTTCATAAATTCGCTCTTTTTGTACCTATTATTTGACTAAAAAAATGATAATGCAAAAAGACTGAAATATCTCAAGAGTTGATACTTTTTTCTTTTTTGAATCTTAGTTAAAAATTTCTTATCAGCTAAAATAATCAACACAAAATGCTTAATCGGGCGAAATTAGTTTACTTTATGCGGTAGGGATATTCACAAGTTCCCTTACAGCACTATTTAATAATACTATTACAACATTCAACACGAAAGACTGATGCTCCTCCGGCATCCGAAAGACTTCTGACCTTGATCACAATCCACTTCCATTTCAATCGGAAATGCCTTGGTTATCTTATTGCCTTTATTCCTGCTGCTATGATGGCAACGCACGCTATCACTTTGGCGACTGCAAAAGAAATTTCAAGCGTTAAAATATCGGTTTTTCGGCGCTATCGCGCTACTCACGTTGATTAATATCGTTCTCAGTCATTGGGCTGTGATATCAGTCGAGGACACGGGAATTTTAAAAATTTTACAAAACGTCTTTAACTACGAAAATTGACAGACTACAGACAGATGTTTCAAATCAGCGTCGTACGCGCGAAATTTTACCGGAAATTTTAATGTTACAGGTCAGAAAAGTACGCCTATAAATTTGTCCGGCCACGATGCCATGGTGGACCTGCAACAAGCGGCTGTGTTCAAGGAACCTTTCTTCATCGTCCTGCTCGATTGCACCGATCAAAACACCATCATCCACATGTGGAAACTCACCATAGCTTCCACTGATACCGATTACGCGCTCACCGGCAGCCAAATGTACGTCCCCGACTCCGTTTTAGTGCAAGACGAGAACGATTTATCCAGGAAAAACAGCATGGAATCGCTGCATTTAAAACCGTCCAAAGTAACCGCTTCAACAACGCGCATTATATACAATTCTAATTAATTTCCCCAACAAACAGGTGAGTCCTCACATCAGCATCACCGTCACCAGGGAAGTGAAGCAGATCCTCCCGTTGGCCGATGGGGTAGAAATAGTCCACGCCACTCCTGCCGCCGGTCACTTGAGCTCGGCCTCGATTTACCCGGCTTGCCTTGCTCCTTACTGCTTCGCGACGGCCTGCAGCGACGGCGTCATCAGATTCTGGGCCGTCTCCATGAACCCCAAGCAAATCAGAGAATTCAACCATCTGCTCCTAGAAGACGACGGCGCCGTCGTGGACACCGGCAAAGTCTGGACCGAGTGGAACATGATCAAAGAGTCCGCCATCGAAATCGAAGGGCAGGTGCTGAACATCAGCGTCGCCTATTCGGGCCGCCTGGCGTGCGCCTACAAGTACGGCAAGAGCTTCACCAGGCCGAACAAGAACGACCAAGATTCGAGGTTCATCAATCTCTGCGTGGCGATCTACGAGTGCGAATCGACCGGCGGCAGCGAATGGATCCTCGAGGACGTCATCCACTTGAAGAACATCCACCTGCCGCGCATCGACATCAACAAACACCTCGATTTGAGCTACCTGTACGATTCGAAGACGCTGAAGAAGAAGCAGCGAATCAACGAGGTGTTGCACACGTTCTCCGGCGACGACAGACAGAATTTGGTCACCGAGCCGAACATGAAATCCACGTTACTCGCCGTTCCCAGCTTCACCACTCTCCAATCTCTGAGGAAATCGATATCCGAAATGGGCAACATTTGCCCGTTAACCCAAAAGCACATAGTCCAATTGGATTGGGTGTCCAACGAAGACGGTTCGCACATTCTAACAGTAGCCGTCGGTAGTAAAATAATGCTCTACACGCCGCTATCCACCGACCTGGCGCAAGCCAACGTCAAGGCGATGAAAGAGAGCCTCAACAATTACCGGCCGATACTCAGGAAGGCCAGCTCGCTGGCCCAGCCGTTGTTCGTCGACGATTTCAAATGGATGACGCTGCGCAAGATCGAGCTCCAAACGGCCGACGGCCTGCCCGCCCTGCCGATGCAAATCAGCTGGGTCAGGGACGGCATCCTAGTGGTCGGCATGGACTCGGAGATGCACGTCTACACGCAGTGGAAGCCGCAGAACCCGTCGCAGCAGAACCAATCGGGCGACGGCGACGGCCGCAACGGCAGGGACGTCGATTTCCGCACGTTGACGCAGGAAAACCAGAAGAAACTGGCCGCCGTACCGACGCTGGGCCGCATCAGCTCCGTCAATCTGCAGATACTCGATCGCAAGCGGAACAAAGAGCAGAATTTCGATTACATGCCCGATTACGGGCTGTTCGAGGCCTCCAGGATTGCCTGTCCGGTGCTGCCGCAGTACCACCCCAAGCAGCTCATGGAGTTGCTGAATTCAGGAAAAATCCGGTAATTATAAAGCGTAGTATACTCTTGATTGTTAGACATTTGTGGTTTGTAGTTGGGTGAAGGCGATCCTGGCGCATTTGGTGAAATGCATAGGCGGCAACCAGATGAACCCCGACGAAATCCAGAGCTGGACGCGCAGCAGAACGCTGTCGGTGAGCTACCCGCCGGGCAGCCCGGAGCACCGGGCCAGCATCGGCGAGATCAATCTCGATTACGACGAAATCAACAACATCCCGCCGTTGCCTTTGTGGACCCTCCTCGCCGCCGACAAGGAGTCGTCGGCCAATCAAGAGGAGCAGAAGGACTACAACGAATTGTTCGACAACAACGTCATCATGGAGGATACGCTGGACAATTTGCTCGACGAGAAGGAAGACCAGCGGCGACCGTCGGAGAGGAACCTCGGCGTGATGCATTTCACCCCCAAACAAGGTAACTAAACACCCACTAAATGAAATACCAAATTAATCTTAATCTTAATTCCAGGAAGGATATTATCCCGTCTGCTCACTCACATCCACTTACCTGGTCTATCCAGTTTGGATCAAATGCATCTGCTGGCTCTCGCCGATACAGTTTCCACATGCAACACCGACTTGGCCGAGCGATTCGCCATAGACGCCGCCAAGAGCGCCATGCAAAAGGAAAATCCCGTCGGCCAAAAGGAGGACCTGTTAACCGATAATTTGGACGACTGCGGCTTGAGATTCCTCCTAGCCATGAAGCACTACGGATACCTCCTAAGGTATACACTTACGCGTTGAAATTAATCCTTCAATTCGCTTAACCGTTCCGTTCCAGATGCCTGCCGCTGGCGCAACGGACGCTCTTCCAGAAGAACGGCGTCGGCAACAACAACCTGGCGTGGGCCTACCATTCGGAGAGCCAGGAGGAGCTGTTGAATTTGATACCGAGCTACGCCAAAGGGGAGCCGACGTGGCCGCAGCTCAGGGAGCTCGGCGTCGGCTGGTGGGTACGAAACATCAGCCTTCTGAAGCTCAGCGTGCAAGTACTAGCGAAGGCAGCATACCAAGTAAACCAAAACCCGATGGACGCCGCTTTGTATTACCTTGCGCTCAACAAGAAGAACCTCCTTTGGGGACTCTACAGGTTATTCTATACCGCGATATAAAAGGAATCGAAGGTGTTTAATTGTGGAAAAATTGTAGGTCTTTGAGAGACGATAAAATGACGACGTTCTTCTCCAACAACTTCTCCGAGGACAGGTGGAGGAAGGCGGCTTTGAAGAACGCCTACGCCCTACTGGGGAAGCAGCGATTCGAGCACGCCGCCGCGTTCTTCCTACTAGCCGGCAATCTCAAGGACGCCGTGGAGATTTGCCTCAACCGCTTGAACGACCTGCAGCTGGCCATTATCGTCATACGGATCTACAAAGGGGACGGCGACGATCTGTTCAAGCTGCTCTACAGGGAGATCTTGGGACGCGACGAGAACGGCGAGAACGAGGATTTGACTAAAGCACACCCGGACCCGTTCCTTCGCTCGATGGCGTTGTGGACGCTCAAAGAGTACCAAGCCTCGTTGGATACTCTGTTGATAGGTAACGCCGGTACCCATCATCATCTTCACGACGACGAAGCTAGAGAAATCAAAGAAGCCGATCCGAACGTGTTCAATTTCTACGTGTACCTCAGGACTCATCCGCTGTTGGTGCGCCAGCACCTAACTAGCTACGGTTAGATACATCTACATCAATAATTATATTTCATATCTTACTAGGGATTATATTTTAGGTAAGAGAAAGGTTTGGATACCCGGCGGGAAGCAAATAGTAGTGGACGAATGGGTGACTCCTTTGGAAAGGCAGCTGTATTTCGCCACTGCCCACGGTCATTTCAGGGCGGGATGTCCCGCCTTGGCGCTCGAAGTGCTCTCGAAGCTGCCCTACGTCGTCTCCGACAGGCCCAAGCGGAATTCCGTGGACGCCAGCAAGAATAAAGCGCGCGACCAGACGGACATCGAGACGGGCATCATATCGTGGGACACCAAACCGCCGGCGAGCAGCGCCGATTTGGACTGGGGCGCGCCGGTGACCGATCTCAACGTCAAAACCGACGATTTGGATCTGAAATGGAGCGACGATGAAGGCGATAAGGAATCCGACGATTCCGACGAGGGCCTCAGCATGGCAATCGGCGCGAAGAAACAGGAATCCAAAGATGGCGACGAGGCAGAGAACGAGAACGGCGAGAAACAGCAGCACATCGACATCATGGCGCAACAACTCAAATTCGTGGCCTGCCTGAAGATCCTCATGGAGGAACTGTCCACTTTGGCTACCGGATTCGAAGTCGACGGTGCGTATAAACCTATATAATTGCATCCAGTTTTATTGTGATGGGTGTTCGCAGGCGGTCAATTGCGCTATCAGTTGTACCTGTGGCTGGAGAACGAAGTCGAAGCGCTGCGCGAGCTCTGCAATTACAGGTCGTCCGAGATCGGCGATCAAACGGAAATCGAACAGGCTCCGGAGCCGGAGAATTCGAGCAGCGTCGACGCGAGCAGCAAACCCACCCTCCACGAGATCCTGGTGCAGGAGAAGTTGGACTTCGAGGCCAAAGTCCAGCGGGCCGCCAAAAGGAAACGCTGGTTACGAGGTAAATTTATCGTAACACTCTCACCATAAGTATATTAAACGCTTTAAATCGATTGTAGCTAACGAGACGTTGCTGAGAACGTTGCTGAGCTACTGTTCGCTGCACGGCGCGACGGGCGGTTTGGCTTCGGTGAGAATGGAACTGATGTTGCTGCTGCAGGAACTGCAGCAGGAGAAGACCCACCAGCAACTACTGAGCCCGTTGCCGTTCCCCACTAGTTTGCCTCTGCTGGCTGCCAGCGTGGCCAGCAGCAAGACCGTCGTGGCCGATCCAATTCGTTACCTGCAATGTCTCACGCACGACATGTTGCATACGGTATGAGTGTGGTTTGCACGAGAATTATTCGATTGAAATGATGAAATTTTGTTGTTTTTTTAGCTGGTCGAAATGGTGCAACCGAATACCGGCCAAAGTCAATTGTTGGTTATCAGGGATTTGGCCATCGCCTTGTCCGCTTGTATATATCAGTCGCTGTGCGATTCGGATACCTTTAAAAATTCGCTACAAGAAGGACAGGTAAATTTATCACCAATTTTCCAGATACTTAGTCCTTGATCCTTCACCCTCATCCTTGATTCTGTATTCAGTGCTCCTTTTTAACGCTAATTAATTGAGTATTTTTAACTTGACAGTTTTACATTGTTGTTATGGAGTAACTAAGGAGATTCTTTCAATTGACAGATTTACATTGTTGTTATGGAGTAACTACGGGCATTGTTTACTTTTGAGGTACTTTTAAAGCGATTGATTGGCGTTAAAAATGAGCTGATACTGTAAATATCTGTTGCCTGAAAACATTAAAAAACTTGTAGGAAATCGGTGCGACGCACTTGGTGGGCCGCAAGAGACGCATATCCGTCAACGAAGGTCATCACATCATCACGCTGCCGCCAAAATGGCCGGGCGTGACGAGTTTACGAGCTTTATTAGCCCGAGAAAAGGACGAGGACACCCCCCGATTGACCGTCATCCTATGCGAAGCTTTCACAGCCGTATACCTCGCGCTCGTGCTCTACGGTCTAGTAACGTTCGATTGCGTTATACTGTTCCACGTCAACGCCCATTCGTTCGATTCGGACATTTGGGGAAAGTAATAACCCCCTATCATATTCCTCTAATTTTCTCGAATACTAAATTCGATTTCGTAGATTGTTCGGTGGCGGAATTAAAAAGCTCTTGCGCACGGCCAGCTTGACGGGCAACGTGCCCAATCATCCGGTGTACGCGACGCAACAGAGCATCCAGACGCCGGTAGAGGAGGCCAGCGGCCCCGCCAACTGGCTGAACAAACAAAGAGTAAAGCTTAACACTAAACTTTTAGGACAACAGCCTTCCGTAATGAAAGAGGACAAGCCCACTTACAGGGAGCAATTCATACCGCCCGAAATGAGCATACTGGCATATCTATTGCAGAAAGTAAGAGGCGATACGTACTGTACGCCAGTAGATACGGAAATGTTGCAGGAGGGTTGTTGTACGGTTAAATTGATGTGGTATTTTTTACTTCATTGTCGGCGTATAACAAAATTGCTGCAATTTTTCGCTATACTATATTAATCGCATGCATTTCTTCACGATGCTTTCAATATAATTGCTTCCTAAAATTGTTGAACAATATTAACTTTCGTATTCCGATAACAGCCGAACACCAGCGATTACATCGAGGAGGAAGAAAGCGACGTCGAAGACGAGGAAGAAGACGAAGACGTCTTCGATACACCCGTCACCAAATCCATCAAAACCGTCAACAACGAGCATTCCGATCCCAATTCCTACTCTTGGTTGGTGTTGAGATTGGCCACGTTGCGCATCGTCCAGCACAAAATCAACGAATTCCTCACGGTAAATCGAACTCTCGTTCGCTTTAGTTTCGCCCCATTAAATTCCTGATTAAAGGTGGCCGGATTGGAAGCGAGCGAGCTGCCGGTGGCCAGTCCGATGATACACAGCAGCCTTCGACGGCTCAACATCTGGCAGGAGAGCCTGAAAAAAGAATTGGAAAGCCGGCAAACGCCGCCCGAATACATACCCGGTTGTTACGTCGAAAACACCAGCGGACCGGCCATTCAAAAATACAGGTATTTTTCACACTTGAATATAAACGTAGGGCGGGTGCACTAGTGTTAAACTATTTAAGATACATTTTGAGTCAGTAGAAGTTTTTGTATAGTGAATATACAGGGTCTCTATTGGGAAATCGGGAACTAAACAAATATGACAGATGACAGGCATATGTTGCTATGGTGATGTTAAAAATGTATAATTATTTTTGAACTTATCAACGTATTCTCGATTGGAATAATAATGTTCTATTTTTAAAACAAATTAACCGTATGAAATTTTACTTATACTAATAATGACAGAAGTTGACAGAACTAATTTTAAATTTTTAACATCACCATAGCAACCTATGCCTGTCATTTGTTTTAAGCTTACTTCGTTTTTAATAAGTTAATAGAATGAATTTTCGACTCACCGATCAGTACATGTTCTTCATACCGCAATAAAATTTGAAAAAAAAGTAGAAGTTTGAAATGAATTTACTTTTACCCGATTTATTACCGGTACACTCGCCCTACTACGATTTTTTTAATTACTAATTTTGACATAACCAATATGCCAACGTCAAACGTCAAGAGAGATATTTTTGTGACAGATCTAGTAGAGGTGGCAACAAACGTTCCGCGTATAGAGATGTTATTCGAAACGTTCCGAATCCATTATTTTCTTATCGATTTAGACAGCTTCTGGAGCCGCACAACACGCCGTTCAGCAGCAAAAGCTCGGCGGCGGCGGCGCGCCACCTGTGGACCTACCTGGTGCGCCAGGAGCTCGTCCAGGACATCTTCATCAGGGCGGTGTTCGGCAAACGTCGATCGTCGGCGACGATGGACGAGGTGCTGCCGCACGTCGAACCCGCCGTACTGGAACCCGTCAGGATCATACACAAGGAACAGGACTCCATCGCCGCGTTTTGCTTGAACCAAGTAAGCCGATCGCTGATAGATTTACATAGTAGAGGCGTAATGGATTTGTTGTGATTAGGTGAACGGCGGTTACATCGCCATCGCCACTCCTAGGGAGCTGCAGGAGATGGATATATCGCTGTTGCTGGAGTTGCCGGCTTGGCTGGAGGACGAGTGCGAATTGGATATATTGAATTTCACCAAAGACGCGCCGGATTCGAGCGTGCCGCCGTTTTTGGTGATCCAAAGCGCCTCCGATAAGGGTAAGGAAACGCAGCCGGGCAGTCCGCAGGCCGGAGTCGCGGGACAGAGCGGACGAGGAGCCAGCGTCGTAAGATTATTTTTTACTCTATTTGCTAACTAAAAATGGATTAACATTAACCAGTTCGGAGTTGAGCGGTTTTGATTGTTTATTAACATTTGAATTTGTTTTTGAGGCGTGAAGTGAGTGTGGTTTTATTGTATACTAAAAAATTATTAGAACGTTTTGCTAATATTTGCAAACTTGTAGAATTATGTAGTTTTATGCTACATACCCTAGAAGTTTACAATTGAGTCGCTCAGCGCCAGAGTGGCCTAACAGCGAATTGCATTAGCTGGTATCAATCAAGAAAAGTGCTGCATATTTTCTAAATTTCAAGACTACATGGACCCAAATGGCCTATTACTGAACTAAAGAAGCTCATTTGCCAATGCAATTTCGCATTTGGGTCGCTCTGGCGCCGAGCGACTCGATTAACACTTTATTATTAACAAAAATAAAATGGTACCGACGACATATCGTTATTGTACAGAATTTTCTATATCTGTAGATGAAGGGGTTAAGCTTCCCGGGCTGTCATGACGCCAATTTTGTCCACCTCGTTCTGCTTCGGTCGGTTCACATGCTTCGACCGGTGTGTCTTCTAACACTGTGCCTTAATTCTATTAGAGCTTTATTAATTGAATGTCCTAATTTGTCCGGTTTTATTTACGTTGCTCACGCCGTACGCTGTTGTACCTGTGTTTACGTTATTTCGAATGCGATTAGTCTGCAAATTGTTAGCGTATTTGTAATTAGTTTGATTGGTTTTGGTGGTATTTGCTTGGAGTGTTTTTTGTGTGCTGCATGCTGTACAGGGTGTCCTATGACTCGAGGTCAATTTGGTTAATTTTAACTCGAAACTGGAAAATATTTAAGGATTTATACTTTCTTGTTCCTCTGGGAATCTCGGAGGCCATGGAACAGGACCTCCTCTTCCACTAGTACAATAATTTCTAGTAGGCCAATAATTGCTCATAATTCCACAAAAATGTAAAATCAACCAATCGAGTCACCGGACATTCTGCATGTATATTACGCATTAGAATAAGATTTAGGCTAATAAACACGTGGTAATATATTTGTAGTAGATTATGTTTGTGTAACTCGGCTTGTTTATATCGAAAATTCGTACTATGTACTTAATTTTCTCGTTCGAATTTTAACTTAATTTATCAACAGGTGCTGAAGCACAAAATCGACGGCATCAGAAGGATCACTGCCCACCCGTTGCTGCCTTTATGTAAGTCGAATGTAGCGAAATTTATTTTCACTAATTAAATTTGTATTTCGTACAGATCTAACTGGAGGCCAAGACGGTTCCGTGCACTTGTGGGAATGGGGCCACCAGCAACCGGTCGCGGTGCCCCGACCGCCTGGAACTTACGCCAAAGTCACCAGGGTGCGATTCTCCCAGCACGGGAATAAATTCGGCGTGGCCGATTCGGACGGGAACTTGAGCTTGTTCCAAGTCGGTTTGAGCGCCAACGCCACTCGACCGTTCTTCGTAAGATATCTCAATTAACTACTCGAATTTTTCAAGCGCACTATTCAATCTTTTAGACGCTACAATGCCACAACAAAGGAATCAGCGACTTCGTCTTCTTGGGTTCCTGCAGTCTCTTGGCTACCGGTGAGCAAACATTGTATAGTGAGTAGATCTTCGCGAATAATTCTATTTTATTTCGTTTCCAGCCGGGCACAGTTCGGAGAGCAAGAACGTGTGCATTTGGGACTCGATCCTGCCGCACGGGAAGGCTTTGGTGATGGCGTTCACGTGTCACGAACAGGGCGCTAGTAGCTTGGTGTTCGCGCCCCAACACCAGGTGCTCATATCGGCCGGCAAGAAAGGGGACGTTTGTTTGATAGACGTGCGATCCAAGTCGATCAGGCACAAGTTTACGGCGCACGAGAACGCCGTCAAATGCATCGCCATCGATCCGCACGAGGATTACTTCGCCACCGGATCCGCCGATGGGGATATTAAGGTACTAGAATCAGAATTATGGAGATTGTTTCCAAATATCTGGGAATTGGTTTTTGAGATTTTGCTGCGTCTTCCGTAGTGACAAAACCAGCGCTCTGCCAAAACGACTCATCTCTTCCTCATCTCATCTCTTCCTTATCTTTTCCTCATTTCTTCCTCATCTCTTATCTTTTCCTCATTTCTTCCTCATCTCTTCCTCATCTTTTCCTCATCTCTTCCTCATCTCTTCCTCATCTCTTCCTCATCTCCTCTTCACCTCTTCTCTTCTGAAATCAGTGGTCTCTTTGATTTTCTTTTATAAACTGTGAAATTATGCGTAAAAGTTTTTTTTTAATAGATTTGGGGAGTGACTGTTCCAAATGTCCTTCTGTCGCTGCCTGCGGAGCACGCCAGGAGCAGTTTCTTCAAGAATATCGGGCAGGGAGTGACGCAATTGCACATCGATAATCACTCGAGGTTGTTTTCCTGCGGGGCCGATGGTAGCATGAAAGTGAGGCAGTTGCCTGATAGGGAAACCCTTCTTAGTCATCATTAAATGTTACTTTGTAGGTAGGTTTAATCGGAAGGTGATCCAAAAATGTGTTTTTAGTATTTTCGTTGTTCCTGCGAGATGTATTCGCGAAATGTAGTTTTTAATTTTGTCCATGATTAGTATTAAAATTTTAGTAGTTTTCTAGTCCGACGAGTGTTTTTTTTGGATCATTTTCGCCTTGAAAATATTAAACTATTATATCGTGTCATCGTCTACTAAATAGTGTAATTATGTTTACAAAATATAAGATATGTGCTACATTTTATCCTATTGTTGATTATTAAAATATTTAAAATGTACATCAATTGTATATCAACATTTATCTGTTGTATTAACTTATCGTGTAATATTGAATCAGAAATAAAGTTCAAAAATTATAATTAGTTCCAGATATTTTTATAAAATCCTATGTACATCCTATAAATCTTATTTAATGAAGGAATTTGCACCATATGGTTCGTTCACGATTAATAAATTGCATTGTTACAACTAGGAACTTGAAAATTGCCGTGACAGTCAACGGGTTAAGTTTTATTGTAATCTATTTTTAGATTTGAATTGCTTATATAATAAGTTTAATGGACTTCGGCTAACTAAATGCCCCTTGTAGTAAACTAATCAATTACCAAAGCCGTTTATTAATATTTATTACCGTTTTATCGGCATAGCAATTTTTATCAATCAATTTTTCTGTATGTAAGTTTTAATAAACTGAAATATCGTGTTGGTCCTTTGCGATATTTTTAAATTTTGGGAAAAAACTGATTGTTTATTATCGACTTGTTTTCACGAGATGTTTCGTAATTTTTGACCTACAGTATTAGGCATTCAATAAATTTATCAATATAATAGCACTGTTGACGAAAATACGAAAATTATTGCGTTAACAAAATATATTCGAAAGAGACTCGAGCGAGTGCAAAATAAGGGCAAAATTTTTTTATTTATTATGCAAATATTTGCTTTTTAATTCTAAAATAATCCCGTCACAAATCGCAGGTAACGAGTTTTATGATAAACCATGCGGTAAACAGAATTACATAATCGAGCTAACAGTGTCTGAACTTGACATTGTTTCAATAAAAAAAACCGCAAATATTTATTCAATGCAAATATACAACTCCATCCACATCACGACCGGTAGGTATAATTTACCAATTCAGAAAACGCGCAATTTTCCACGTTCAAACGAGCTTTTCTGCCGGGCCGCCTTCCCGCGAAATCGAAAGTAGTTTTACGACCGCGTAACTTTTGATAAAAGAATCCTTATCAAGGAAACTATTATACTCGCACGGCTACGTCAACGCGTTTCGAGTATAAATCGAAACAACTACGAAGAACGGGACAATTGTACAGTTGGTTTTGTTGTGAACGTTCAGAACCGCAAAGACATGGCACCCATTAAAGACAACCTCAGCGCCGTTTTGTACGGAATCAACGACATGAGATTAGTGAGTTGATTTATTCATTCGAAATCGACCCGATTTTGTCCATTTACACGAGTACATTCGGTTTTTTATTTCGTTTTAGGCGTATTTAATTACAAGCGCTATAAATCAATCTCCTAAAGTAAATGTGCATTCAAATATTTGTAGTTTTATTGTGCTCGATAGGTACATGTGATATCTATTTTAAATTGTTTTATAAGACGATTAATATTTTCAAACAATAATTAAGAAGTTTGTTCATTATCATTCATATAACACCTTTTATCTCGCATTTTTATTGAGCTATTTACAAATATAATTCTTTAGTAAAAAATTATTGATTTATAATAAGATAAAAACAATCCACACTCCATAAAAAACTACAAACAATCTACCAGAGCTGGACAAACAACAAATCAATAACTCAATATTTTTATACTTATACTTCATTAATCAGGACCTCTAATTTTGGCCTCTTTACCCAGCTAATCCTTGTTAATCTTTCAACTCCTTATCAGCTATTGTAAATAAAAATATAACAAATTATATGGTGACTAGCAAATTTATATTTGGCGATATTAAACTTGAATTTATCGGTATGAAAGTTATGTTGAGGTCAAAAGGGGGGTGTGTCGTTGTTAAAGCGAAAATCGAATGACAAGGTCGAGGTTTTTGATTATAATTAATTTACTCGATCAGTCAAAGATTACGCATGTATTAACCCGAAATTTAAATTCAAATACGCTGCGCAATTTACATCAAATTACGTAGAGCATTCGAGTTATTGCGATGAATCGATGAAGAAGCGTTTAAAAAATTTATATGACAATGTTTACGTACATGTAGGTTTACTTCGATTACACGATTTTAATTGCAAATTTGCCAGGCAAACATTTTTTTGCTAATGATAGGATTATAATTATTTCGGCCGGATGATAAAATAAATAAGTTATTTATTACCGAAGATTATGTAAAAACAACTAAACAAAAAATTTATAAATTACAAGTACCTTTACAAAGTTTATCGCCATGTACTATTAATACCTGCAGAGATTTATTTATCGAAAATTATTCAAAATAACTCTGATTTACATACTTATATATATATTTCGATTTTTTGTGTTAATTAATATCATTTGAACTGAATCAAAATTTGTAATCCAAAATTGTATTATTTCAGGAACAAAGGCCAATTCCAGTGCCTAAAGACAACCGTAAGTATTAGATTTGTTACCAATATATCGAAGATATTTTTACCTCAATAAATTATATTCTATAATAGCAAATTATTATTTTTCCGTGGAATGTGAATTTCTCAAGGCAGTCAATAAAAATTTAAATAATAGAAAAATGAGTAGGTATAGGTACATAAAATGCAATTTCGCTTACTGAAACAGTTTATAAATATTAATTAGGTATATTTAATTACAATTCGTTTACACTGTAATTACCTATACCTTTAAACAATGCATTCTATGTGTAAATACGTTATAATTAAAAAACTTGGAATAACAAATATAAGAGAAAAAAAATGTTGTCCAAGTTTCCAAGTATTGAATATTTAAAAAGTTTCTGTTTTCAGAGGTTCTTCTTCAGATGGAAGTTGTCGGAATTTGCGGATCTGATGTTCATTATCTGACCACTGGATGTTGCGGTCCATTCGTCGTAAAAGAACCAATGGTAATAGGTAAAGTACAAAAAATATTCAAAATCCCCAAAAAACCAATCTAAATTCATGTATTCCAGGTCACGAAGCATCCGGAACGGTAGTAGAAGTCGGCAAAAACGTCAAAAACCTCAAACCAGGTACGATTCTTTACAAAAAAAAATATACGAAATTCGCTTACATAACTCCATTGTTACCAGGCGACAGAGTCGCCATCGAACCCGGCGTACCCTGCAGGTACTGCACCTACTGCAAAACCGGCAAATACCACCTCTGCAAGGACCTCTTCTTCTGCGCCACTCCCCCGGACGACGGCAACCTCTCCAGATACTACGTACACGATGCCGATTTCTGCTGGAAGTGAGTTCGATCAAATCCCTTTATAAAACCCATTTAACTCCACGAAACTTTTATGTATCCCCCATTAGGCTACCGAGCAACATGTCGCTGGAAGAAGGAGCCATCATGGAGCCCCTATCAGTCGGCGTCCACGCTTGCAAAAGAGCAGGAATCAAAGTGGGCGACGTGTGCTTGATCGCAGGAGCGGGTCCCATCGGTTTGGTGACTTTGTTATCGGCCAAAGCCATGGGCGCTTCGAAAATCGTAATTACAGGTAACTTACATGAAATCCGCAACAAAATAATCGTACTTTACCGAAATTCTATGTCATTAATGTCATTATGTCAATTCTATGTCATTACATGTCATTAATGTCACTTTTGGCAATTTTTGCTTATATGTATCATCGAACGCATCTTAAAGTTCCACTTATTCGCTTACAACTCGGAAAAGAATGTAATAATTTATCGAACCTATTTTAGATATAATGGACGTAAAATTGAACATGGCAAAGCAGTTGGGAGCCGATCACGCGTTGAAAATCGACAGGAATATGACCGAAGAGCAGATCGTTAAGAAAGTGCACGAGCTCCTCGGGGAAGAACCGAACGTTACCTTCGATTGTACCGGTATCGAATCGAGCGTGAGGATTTGCGTGGCTGTAAGTTTTTGCTTATTCGTAAAAAAAAAGATTTTTGTTCTATTTGTTACATATTTTCAGGCGGCAGGTTTGGCTGGAGTTGTCGTCCTGGTCGGTATGGGAAAAGTAGAAATGACCCTTCCATTGGGCAGCGCTTTGATCAGGGAAGTGGACGTCAGGGGCACGTTTAGATACGTCAACGAGTAAGAAACGTTATTATGATTAGTAAAAATAATGCATTTTATGATGAAAAATTTCAGCTATCCCACTTCCATCGAGCTGGTCTCGACTGGCAGGATCAACGTCAAGCCGCTGATCACGCACCATTTCACGCTCGAAGAGTCCGTGAAGGCCTTCGAAGTGGCCAAAACGCAGGAGGGCAACCCCATCAAGATCCTCATCCACGCCAATCCCAATTGGAAACGATCTTAATTTCCCACAATTCGTTATACCTTGTATGTTATTTTGATTTCGTTATGGAAATACTTGTAATTGTTTGTTAAAAATACCTACATTTTATGTATTAAATGTTTTGGAGTTAATTTGTACAAAAATTATTCGGTGGATGTTAGTAAAATACAAAATACAGGTAAAATACACGGTAAAAGTAAAATACAGGCGATACAACATTTTTGTGTCACTGTAAGAAAATCTGTCGCAAAATAAAATATATCTCTAGATAAATACAGGATGCTCCATTTTTGATTGCAATATAGGTTATATCATGGGTGCGATCAAGACAAATTCTATTAGACACTTATAAAGGAAAAAGAAAGAGTGACATTGTGTCATTAGAAGTTTTCACTCTGACAACTGTGATTTTAATAACCTTTCTTTGTCCCACTCATAGAAATGACCATATTGCAATCGGAAATGGAACAAGGTGTATAAATTCGTTTTCTCAGTTAATATTTGTTTAAGTTAAAAACGCTGATTTATATAGGGGCAATTTTTATAAAATTTTAAGCTTATTAAAGGGGCTACTTTTCATCGATACACCCTGTATAATAATTATCATCCCTCACCCCCTAAACTCCCCCTAATAGCAACGCGACTACATCAACGCCATGCCTATAGATATAAAGATACCCAATACCCAATCGAAGATCAATGGCCTCTATCCACCAAATCGCATCAGAAATAGATTCCGATTCGGTGTATCAGGGCACCAGAAAGCGCCGGAGATAACCTTTAACGTACCGATATTTCCAATAACTTGCTCTATCGACGTCGCGTGCCCGCCTTTAAAATCGATACGTGCACAGGCTCCCGGTGCATTCCTGCTTTAAATTCCGGAATTTGGGATGTTTCGGACGGGAATTTCTCCGTTTATGTTGCTCTAATTTGCCATGTAGATGATGATTCGTCGTAAGTTTTTATAGTAGGTTGGGGTTTTGATGGTAATTTGTTAGAAATTAATTAATTGTATGGGAAATGAAGTAAGGAGGATTCGACAAGTGACGTCTGTCAAATTGACAGATTTGTGCTAATTGCCTAATAAAGTAATGATTTCAAATTTATTAAATACCTATTAATTTTATGAATAATATTTAAAATTTATTATTAGTACCTATCTAAACAAATAAAAAATTACAGCAAAATATCTACTTACCTATTACGTTTGTAGTATTATCGTAGCAGGCATTATTCAACAGTAATAGAATTTCATTGTTTTTCTTTTACCTTTTCGATTGAATGAGTCGAAATTTACGATTAAAAAACTGACAGATGTCACAAATTGACGCGAACTAGTCCACAAGCTTAAAAAATTACCATTAAAGGAAGATTTTGTTAAATACCTAGATTTCTTGGAAAATTATTCTATTTTTGTACCATAATGAGAACAAAAATATTTTTAGAAAATGAGTTTTTAAAAATAAATTTTCGAAAACATTTAAATGGTGTAATTTAATTTGAGGAACGCATGAGGTAGCGTGGCCGAGCGGTCTAAGGCGCTGGTTTAAGGCACCAGTCTCTTCGGAGGCGTGGGTTCGAATCCCACCGCTGCCATCTTCTTTTTTATTACAATTCCTTCAACCATCGACCATCCTCGACGTTAATTAACTAATTTACCCATTTTTTTTCTTTTAAATCCATTTTAAAACCTATTTTGAAGCGCCTGAAACAACCGACGAGCCGATGCCGTTCCACCGTCGTTACGGTCCCATCGCCCTCTACAAAGAATTCTTGAACTACTTCCATATCGGCAAGAATGTGGGAAAAGGAATGTATAGACTCCGCTCGGCCCGCCTAATACAAGGAAATCATCTCGACGAGGAGGTAACCGGAATGCTCGCATCGTCGACACGGCGATTCCCCCATTTGTACGTGAATTCTTGCCTCATTTTTACGCTCGAATGGAATTTGCAAATTGTATGAATATTCTAAATTTTCAAATGACAATTAATGACAATTGACAATTTTATGTTTTTATTCCAGCCTACTGGCGTTTTGAATTACCCAATTTTTGAGGTAAAAATCGTAAATTCAATTTAGATAGGTCGCGCAAAAACAACAAGTCGAGCGCGCCAGAAAATTCGAGAAAAACACGCGAAAAAAAAAACACAAAGCAAACAAAGCCGTTCGCCGGTGACTAAGGAATATCCCAAATTTCGATTCGACGAAGATCGCGGCTCGTGGGCGGCCTGAATAGCGCTCCGCCACTGAAAAAATGGAACGTATAAGAGAGAGAGTGTGGCCTAAAATTTTCGTAGTTCACTTTGGGATAGAATCCCCGAACTTCGACTGAGCTGCCAAGCGATTGTGATAACCGAAGCTTCATCCAGACCTGTTCCAGCACAACCACCATGCCAGGACCTTCCAGACCTCTGTGGCAAGTAAGTTGCCTTCTTTTTTTTATACGCCACATATTTTTTTAATCGTATTTTTTATACTCAATCAATACGTTTATACCCAATTATGTTCGCAATACATTTATGCATAGTTAATTTACATTCGAACTACTTGATTCTTCCATTATAAATTTTAATTAAAAACGCAATTAAGATTATTAAATTATTGCAATATTATGCGTATACACACCGCGTGAATCATCTGTTTTATATTTAGTATGTTTGTGTTTGCCAGTAGCTATTTCAGTTTCTGCGGTAAAACTGTGTCATGTTTTGCTAAAATTAAATGGAACGCGAAAAATCTTCATTTCACTAATTATTAAAGCTAATTTATTCGTCGATAACGTACAACAAAAAAGGTACGAAAAAAATTCGCTAATTTACTGCTCCTCCACGTTCTCTCCCGCCGATTCATCTAAATCTCCCAGGAAGAAATTGGCCGGTATGTTGTCGAATACTTTCTGCAAAATGTCCAGCATTATGTCCTCGATGGTCTTGGATAAAATGGGGTTCAGCGATTCCGCCACCGGTCTCCAATTCGCGTTTAAATAAGCGTTCGTTGAATCCTCTGCACAGAACAATCAAATAGTTCAACATTCTTAAATTAATCAATGCAGTTGATACTTTCCCTATAGTATCTATACAAAGGGTTATCTTGTGTAAATTTGTGTAAAATGTTAGGGAAAGGATCAATTGCACAACATCCCTCGATTCGAATTCAAAAAACATGTTTTTCCGAGCAAATTTCCCGACCTTGCTCCGGTTTCCTTGATCTAAATTTACCCGCTTACGCTGCGGATTGTTTACCTAGCGCTTTTATGCCGTCGAAGAGATTGCTCATGTGCAACTTGAGCCCGCCAATGCTGAACTTCACGTGCACCTTGGTGACGTGGAAGAACTGGAAGCCGTCGTGCTTCTGCATCACCACGTCGCTCTTCACGTTGATTTCCAGATTTTCTGTGAAAGATCAAAGTTTTCGGACGCGCTCCAAATCGAGCAAATTTTACTCACTAGCCTCGAACCAGCAAATCCCTTTCCCTCTGAGCGGTATGACGAGAATGCGCCCTAATAATTCGTACAGCCCGTCGATCCGTAGCCTCGGTAACGCTAATTTCGTGTAGAAATCGTACGTTTTGGGATCCACGCTGTTGAAGACGATCCGCGTGTTGCCGAAACCCAGGACCTTGACATTGGAGAGCGACGCGTTTACTGTAACAGGTCCTCCGCCTCCTTGGAGTATCTAAACAAATTCCCTTTCTTCTTAAATCCTCGAATCTAAGATAAATACAACAACGTGGCAACGCCGCTTTCAAAACGTCAACGTATTGCTCTTGAGGCGTTGCCACGTTGTTGCGTTTTACTTTGATTTGAAGATACAACGCTTTGTAATACAACGCATAAAATTATAATGATAATAATAATGGTAGATAAATATTTAATCATAGGCCTGAGGCAGGTGTAGGTGATTAGTGTATGCGAAAGTACACAGTACAATTTTTTTAATAAGGAATGATTGTCAACAAACTCTAAAAACACTAATTAATAATGTCAAGTGCAATGTTTGTAATAATTCCAAAGTAAACGAATCTTGAACGTCGATTGAATTACAATGTAATCGGTTGCATTGATGCTTAACGTAAAAATACACGCAAAAAAAATGATAATAACTAATTATTTCATTCGTGGAACTTGTTCAAAACGGTTCTTGTTATTACTGGAATATTTTCGATTTAAAACCTGATTTGTATACTTACGTTGATATGGTCGACTTCCAGGGGATCCAGTACCTGCAATCCGATTTCTGGAACGCCCTTAGGTATTTCGTTGAACAAACCTTGCACAGCGTGAGTCGAACAATTCAGGAAAATTTCCCTGGGTTGTTTAATCATACACGTTTTCACGTAATGGGCTACAAAGAAAATTTTCTATATAGGGCTCGATTCGTCGCTCTCATTTCACGAAAATTTGACCATTCACAGATTTTTTTTACGAAAAATGATTAGTATTGTTTGTGGATAAATTATACACAAACAGGGTGAGCGAAAAACTCGTATACAAACTAACAATCTTTACTTCGTAAAATTTAAATTTTTTGAGAAAAATTAATTGAACTTACGTTGTTTATCTAAAAATCCGTATACAGAGCGCGCGAAAAAAACCGAGCACAGGAGCAGCGCGTAAAGCACCATGTTCTTTTTACAGGATTCGATGGCAATTTGCGAACGAAGTACCTACAGGTGCATATGCAGTGCTCGCTTTCACTATTGCGGTTTTCTGCTCTTGCCGCCTATTTATTGCGTAATATTTACTCGGGAGACAAGAAGCGTTAGCAATGGACGATAAACGTAAACGCAAAAGCCGGTCAAAACAAGCGTATATACGCACGAATCAAACGAGCGGGTAAACAACAATCATCTTGTACAATCTATAGAATTTAGAAGGAAAAATTGCATATCGATTGCGATAGATTTTTCGAGCGGTGGCGGGTTGTACAATGCGATTTTATCGGCGTTTTTAATCGTTAATTGCAGTTTTTAAACCATTAGCTAAGATTGCGATTAGCTAATAATCAGACGCCGAACGAAATTGCAAGTGAAAGTCTAGCAGGACAAACTGCAAGACGGGATTTTTCAGTTTATCTCGCCTGCAGACGGTCGTGATGTAACCGAGAAAATCGAACGCAATGGAAATTCTTTGCATTTTTCAATCGGGTCAAGTGCGAATATTTTTCACGTATATAGTGCGTGTTTCAATTCCCCAATTAACAAGAGCTGTGATTCCTACAGGTTATATTTTGCAGTAAAAATAAAGGCGTTTCCGAAGCAGCTGAACTTATATTGTTCTCTCAAATCTGGATATTTTAGACATCCAGTGGGTGTAAAAGTTGTTTTAGTTGGCCAGCTGTTCTCCGGCCAAAAATAAACGTGATGTTTGAAACTCTCAATGAATGTGGTAATAAATTAGAAGCGTTTATTAAAGATACAATTTTAGCGAGAAAATGGGTGAGAAGCGACTTTGTAAGCCTTGTAAAATTGAACTCGAAAAACGATATAAAGTCGCTGCAATAAATTTTTCCATATAGAATAGGCTTTATGGTAGTAAAATTGACCGTGTTGTCTCATTTAAGCCGCTCGAAAGTAGGTGAATGTCAGTATTCTCTAAATAATTTAGTACCTACGGATGGCGCAAAAATATCACCGTATTTATCCGTAAAAATTACGCAAAATTTTCGTTTTGAAACACAATTTTTTATGTGAAATAATTAATAAGTATCCGTTTATGAAACGAGCAAAAATTCGAACATTGCCTCATATCTGACTGTTCGCTAGCCACGCACCAGTTAACACCTAATTAACCAACAATTTTCACCCTACTTTTACCGCCACCTCGCATCGAAATCGCCGGTGTTAAATACATAATACTCAACGCATTATATTGAAAAAAAGTAATAATTACAAATTAGCTGTAACTAAATCTATGTATAATATAATAAATAATTAATTCCACGCTTTTTATGGCCCCCTTTATCAATCAATTCTTTTACATGTGGCGCGTATTTCCGAAACCCCCGTGACCCGACTGGGAAGCGCCCTTGTTGAAGCCCATCTGCAAGTTGAGCTGGCCCTCGTGCGCCCTCAGCTGCTCATCGGTGAAGCTCCTCTTGTTCTCGTCGGCCATCTTGGGCCCCAAAGTGGGCCCGGTCCATTCCGGGTGCTTCTGGGTGATCCGCCCCAGCGCAAACAGCGAAATGCACACCTACAATTTAACAAATTTCTTTAAAAACAAGCAATTTTTTGGGGTATTTGGGGGTTTACCTGGGCGATGTTTCTTCTCTCGAAGAGATCGGCCGTTTGGAAGATCTCCTCTTCGGGCAGGCCGTACTTTTTCGCGGCCGCCTGGAACCTCTGGATGTTCTCCATGAGTTGGAAATTGGTGCCCTTTTCCTGGATTTTTTTGATGCATCCTGGCATGAGCTTGTTCATCAGGTGGCAGAGCACCACGCCGTTCTTGAGGATGTCCTCGAACTCACCGCCGGGCACGGGCTGGCCCAAACACCCGAATATCCAGGTGAGCACCTCCTGCTCCAGGTCCTTGTTGCGTTTCTATAACGAACAAATAGTCGGTAATAATCTACGGGAAATTAACTAGGCGAATTGATTAATTTCGTTGTTTAATGGAGCTTTTCATAATAACGCGTTCTAAAATAGATCGCTTTTAAAACCGGTATTTTTGGAAGTGACGATGGTGTATTTTCGTTTCTGACTATATTATGTCTCTGGAAAATTCCCTCTTCTAACGCATTCATTCGAATTTATTTTCGACTACAATTTCAAATCCAATTTTTTACTGGAAAATTACTCCACTCTTGCAATTATAAACTAAAATTATAATACAAACAAACTTTTTATTAACTCATAAATCCAGGTAAAAGAAAATAACGTTGAATTCGCCTCAAAAATAAGCGGCTATTAAAGCTCACATATTCTATAAATAAAGCACATTCGCAATGATTTATATTCGCGATGGTGAATAACAATCACACTTACCGCCATGGTCGTCGTTGTACTTCGTTTAACAGGCGTCGGGATGCTACTGAGACGTCGATTCCCGAGCCGTTAGGCTTTATGCTGAGATAAGGTGGGGGCGTCGCCACGCTTAGCTTTTAATACCAGCGATATTATAGCTTCGGAATATTGGCTAATCGAATCGATGGTTCCAAAATAAAGTATTACAAAAATGTATGGATCATCAAAATTATAGTTTACAAATAAGAAATATACTAATGGAAATTACTCTGCCTAAAAAGTTTCTTGGGTTGCAGTTAAGTAAATTACTACATGAAGTAGAAGTTAAATTTTGGAAAGAGCATCATGAAGATAGGAATATTTCTTCAGAGTGCTTTATAAAGGGAAACTACTAGACACTATGCTGGTCTAAAAACCTTTTTATTTAACCCCATCTTTAAAAACTTATATACAGAATGTTTTATGTTTGGACTTTTTATTACATGTAGTACCCTGTATTTATAAAGAAAATTCCACTCCTTGAAAATTCGCCCAATTTTTGATTGACAGCCATTCTTTCAAGAATCAACGCGCTGTCTATACCTCGGTGGAAAATTCCAATTACTCGGTTATTTGCTAAACAATTTAATTACTCTGGACGATCCTAATGAGAGATCAGTTGCGATTTGGCCAATAAATTAACGACAGTTTACAAGACTTGCCAAAAACAACGCTTAACATATTTTCGACGATGTTTCAACTTCGATGGATCATCGAATATAATTAGCTTCATGACTACATTCGTATACATTTTAGCTCGGTATTTCATAAATCATGCATCCCAAATCATTTGTTGTAATACGTAAGTTTCTAACGCCCTGTTTGAATTACTGTTCCAAGAGTTATTTCAGTGTTTAATAATTAGATAAGAAGCTACACTTTCATTGCGATAAATTTATGCGAATTCGAAAATCAAAAATAGAACTCCGAATAACATCTGTCCGATGAAAACGAATGTTTTTATTATCGCCGACAATAAAAACCCATTTATTTCGATTTCTGTTGCCAATAAAATTGAAAAATTAGATCCGGAAAGCCAGTGGGACGATCCAAACAATTTAAAAATACAATTTTCTCATCTTATAACTACATAATTTAATTACAGGTAGCCGGTAAGCGCGACCCGGTGCAAGAACAAGAGGCCCAAGCTTGGATAGAGGCCGTCACCGGCATCAGATTCCCCCCGGGAGTCCCCTACGAAGAGGTCCTCCGCGACGGCATCGTCCTCTGTACTCTCATGAACCGCCTGGCCCCGGGCATCATCCAGAAAATCAACACCTCCGGCGGCGATTACAAAATGATGGACAATTTGAGCCAGTAAGTAATTTCAGTGTAGGTACTCCTAAAAATTTGAGTATGTTAGACCGCGAAAAATGATGTTTGGTTGTAAAAAGAATGAAAATATTGTGTGTATAGACTTTGCTATTCTATTATCTACCGAGCTTATGTTATCCTGTTAGTTCTAACGTACGTTTTCACTTTGATCCGACGTTAGGTTGTTAGTTTTTAGTTATCGAATTTATCTATTTACGGTTAGCTTTGATCATTTTAACGAGTCCTCTAAAACGAGCTCGCAATGGTACTCTACATAATTCCGACTATCGCTATTTTTCGAGCTCTGTTAGAACTTAATCGCCGCTCCTCTCGCGCCGAAAACTAGTTTAACGCGCCTCGTTCATTAAATTTAATGCAGCTGCAGGAAATCGTGCGACATTCGCGCCGATCGAGAGGCATCTCTTCGCGCTCATGCGAGCCTGCTCCGGCGAGGAAAAGTTAGTATTGTCCTTGTTGAGTGGAACAAGAAGACCGCGATGAATTTGGGCCATTCCGGCAGCTTCAAATCCGCGCCGGCGACTGGCCGGCGCGCCCGAAAGCCCCGACTGCGGTCCTAGCGCCGGCGTTCGAGCGAATTTTCTCGCGCCGAACGTTTGGCGACCGCCGGCCGATCGGGAAATCAATCGAACGATTCGAACGCGCCGAGGATCTTAATATTAATTTCGCTTGCTCTACATAAATCATCCAGTATGAAATTCGAGCGGCAGGAGCGCAGGAAGGCGAGGAGATGGCGCGCGCGCCGAGCGAATACTGCGGGTGAAATACTCGGAAATTTCGTGATTCGCGGTTTTAATCGAGCCGATAAATAATAACTAGCGTTCGAAGCGCGTTTAAACGCATCGAATCCACCAATTAGAATGATAACGATGCGGATGTTAATTAACACAGCCGAGATTGAGTATCATCAACTAGTGCAAATTGAAAATCGTAAATTAGGAGAGCATAAAAGCGAGACGGTGCGTCGTTGTTATGCGACACTTTTAACGCGATTTCTCTCGCATAGAGAAATAAAATATAGAGTGGCAAAAGCATAATAATGAAAAATAATAATGGAAAAATATGTGTGAAAAATAGAACAAATTGAATTTGACAGATTTGACAAATATGACATTGTCATGTCATTTAAAGTAGAAAAGAAAAGTCAGAACGCGACATTAATCGTTATGTTTACAAGCGTTGAATGTTTCAAATGGTTTTGGCTGTTCTCAATTATTTGAACCTTTATTACTTACTTTTTTATATTGTGTTTTCAAGTCATATGTGCAAAAGTAGTGCAATTCTGCTACTTCTGGTAACACTAGTATCTACATTAAATGACAAGTGACAGTTTGCGCAAAATTCAATTTGCGCCAACTAAGATAACAGACTTTTTTTCCACTCTTTATTCTCTGTTTTCTCGCAGGTTCCAGAAGGCGTGCACCAAGTACGGCGTGCCCGACGTGGACCTGTTCCAGACGACGGACCTGTGGGACAGGAAGAACATCGCGCTGGTGACGACGACGATCTTCGCGCTGGGGCGCACCTGCTACAAGCACCCCGAGTGGCGGGGGCCCTTCCTGGGGCCCAAGCCGTCCGAGGAGAACCGGCGGGAGTTCAGCGAGCAGACGCTCCGCGCCGGCGAGGCCATCATCGGGCTGCAGGCTGGTCAGAATAGAGGGGCCACGCAGGCCGGCCAGAACTTCGGGGCTTCCCGGAAGATTATTTTGGGGAAGTGAATTATGAGTATTATGGAAACGTACCTGTTTATATGTGGAGCTCGGATTCTATGCTAAATGAGAGTGTAGCTAAATAAGGTTCTTAAAATTTAACTTTTTCTAAGATGATCAGTTTGCATATATTCGAGCTTTAGTTATATGTTAAAAATCAAAATTTCTCTCTAATTGTATTACGGTGATAATAAATTTTTCTCACTCCACTCTGGGGGGTTATTATTATTAATGCAAAGGCAGTAAAGTTACGAGTATGCTATGTGTCTTTATTTGTTTAAATTCATTATATCACAATTTTGAAATTCGGTAACGTTACACTAAAAAAAATTAGCACAATACAGAACCATTCGAATACACCTGGTAACTAAATTATTCAATAACGTGTGCCCTAAGTAACAATCACAGAAACGAATTTTTTTTTGTAGAGTTGCGTTTTTTGCCGGAATAGGGAGAATTGCGTGGGAAACAAATAAAAAATCACAGTGCGCCGGTGAAGGAGAGTTACAGTTTTACATTCTGTATGTGTGTGAGAAACACGTAGTAAAATAATATCCAACGTACATGCACATGCGTTAACAATAAGGTTTGTATATCTATCGAGAATTAAATTTCATCCGCGATGGTCCATTACGCTTAAATACATTAAAAAAATCTAATCCATCGCAAATGAAATTTTCGGTTAAAATAATAACGGTTGATTAAAAATTAGTATACCCTGCAAATATTTTATAATATAAAGTATTGGATACGCTAAAATACGAAATAGGAATAATCGAATTGTTTCGATAAAAAAATTGGAAAGATCATACGTTCGATGGAATCCCTTTGAATCATTTATTCATTTATCAAACATATAAGTTACTCCACCACCCATAAAAGTTCCTATCAAAACATATCTTACAAACGGGCGTCTACTGAAGGATATCAGCGATATGTTTATTCCCTATATTAATTTATAGGCATAGGCGTACCCTGAGGAGGGCAAGGAGGCTCCAAAAATGCTAATACTTAGATACGCTCCTCTTAGGCGACACCTACACGTCTAGTTTTGATTTTTAAATATTAATTATTGCATCGAAATTGTCCAATGTAGCTCTCTAAACAAAAGGATAAAGTCGGAAAGTGTAAATTAAATTTAAAGGATAAATATCCCTATTTTTAATCGACGATATTCAGCAACTTATTGACGCCCAGAAAAAAGAAACTATACACAAGACGATTCAACAAATAAACATTAACAAAAGTACTGACCGATAACAACTTTTCGTCATTAATTCACTCACTAAAAATTACATTAACCTAGCGTAAATCATATTTACTTGTATCATGTATTATATTGCCTTCATGATTTGTTAATTAACATCATTTTGATTGTATTTGATTAGTACCAAAATGTATTGATTAACAAATATTCAACTATTCTAATAAAAACGTAAATTCCTTCTTTTATACTTTGCTGTCTAGTAGGCGCGATTTATTGCTCGATCGAGTATTTGATACAAAATTCTTTAATTTCAGCGACAAGAAAAAATTATTGCCGACCATTTTGCTAAATACGCAACCAAAGTATAAAAGAATCGATTAGAAAAATATCGAATAATGACCAACCTTTCTTTAAAATCACATGCTTGGCCATTGAAATTAATAATTCAAAAAAAAAATCAAATCAGCGAACACCGATAAAATCGGTTCAATTCAAATGACAGTTCAAATGACGTAAATCAAATTAGTGAATACCGCGGTCGTATAATAACAGGTCCGGAAAGTAGGAGGTGTTGCGTATGATGTGACTCTCGACAGAGGGCGCTAGTAATTTACGACAATTTTAATTTAATTTGACGATAATTCAATATTCGTGTATCGTACGGAAGTGTATTGAGAACCCTAGAGGACTTTCCAGACCTTATAAATATACGGCCGCGGTTCGTACAGTCGTTATAACATGAAAAAAATAATAAATCGAATAACGTTAGTTCGATTACGATTCTTCTAAATTTCCTATACTCTACGCCTACCAATCGAATCTAACATAATCGATACAACGCGTCGTAATCGACCGTACGAAAAAAATTAAAAAAAAAACCGGTATCATCAAGCGTACATCTCGGAGAAGACGTTTCCACCCATCGTCGCCGCCAGGACTTCCTCCTCCAAGAGCATCGCGTTGAAACCGGCCGGATCGTCGCCGAGCATCGAAGACGCCCGGTCGGGGAGGGGGTATTAGGGAGAGACGTAATCGGGCAAGGTGCCGCCGCCGCGGCCGCGCCCTCTGCCTCTGCCCCTGCCTCTGCCGCGCCCCCTCCCGCGCCCGCGTCACCTGCGGCCATCGGTTATGCCTGCGAAATCAGATGGTCCTTGAAAAAGCATTCGCTGCTCGGGCTCGCTGTGAGTACCTACCTATATTACTAGTGGTCTTCTCCAGGTAGGCGAGGGGGCCTTGCAGGACGCCGCCGGGCGCCTGTTGCCCGAAGGGGCCCCTCGACGAGCCCATGCCTTGTTGTTGCATGAAGAGGGCCTGCTGGGGGGACATCATACCCGGGCCTACGCCGCCGCCGCTTAGACCTGGACCCACCTGGAATGTATACAACAATTTTAACACATCGGATATTATTAATGAGGTTACTTACTTACTTACCATTATGATAGTAAACGAACTTTACTTTACACAATTGGAACGGATGAGCCAACGTGGACTTTTCCCCATTGAAGCTCATCCGATCCTACTACGTAAAATATAACGAAATTTAGGCAATTTTCTAAGGAAAAATAAGCTAGGTTAACAACCAATGGACACACTGTTTAGCCCAGAGGGTTTCTTTTTATCAAATCAAGTGTACCTAGATCACAAGATGAATTCAAATTCACATACATTACAAGAAAAAATTTTAGTTAAATCAAAGTACATTTTTGTAAATACCAACCCTCTGGTTTTTAGACAGTGAGCAGCAACGATTAAATAAAACAAAGAAAATTTTGGAAAATTTTATTATCATATTGTTCACACCATACACATTAAATTTTCAATGTTTTACCGCCCGCGGGAGGCGGCATTTCTTGAAAATAAATAAAAAAAAGAAAGATTCAAAATGATATTATAGATTGGCAACATTCTTCAAAGATAATCATAATCTTTACATTTATTTAAAGACCAAAAAAGAAAGTATACTAAGAAATAATAGTATCTAATGAAGGCACATCTGAGCAAGGAGACATTTGTATACATTTAGTACAACTTTTTCAAGCTACCTCGTACATATCACATTTATTTGATCATTAAAAAAATTAATAAATCATATTGCCACTTTCTAAAAAACCCTGAGAGTTAGTATACAAAAATATACAATGACATAGAGTAGCACTTAAGTTTTCTCTCAAGTCTTGCCAAAAAACCCATCACGAATTTAATCAAATTCATTAATAATAATTCGGAATTAATTATTAAGTGTGGTACATTTTTTGGCAAGATTAACGTTCAAAAAAAAACCTAAAATATACGGGAGATCCATTTTAACAATCACAATAAAATCTAAAATGAATTGATGATATTTACAAAAGAAAATCATGAATTTACCTTATGAGAAAAATCACGAGATTTTGAGAAAAAGTCAGCTTTAAATTTATAAATTTCGACGCTATCAAAAATCCATTAAAAACATTCATAGAGGCAGTTTTGTAAGTCATAAATTTAACATATGGGAAAATGCCAATTTGTTTGCAATATGGTCAATTCAATGAGTTGAACAAGAGAGATTATTAAAATAACAGTGTTTAGAATGAAAAAGTTTACTCTTTCTTTTTCCTTCATATACAAGACCAATGGAAGCTGTCTTTGTTGCACCCAAAGCCTATATTACAAACAATTTTGCATCTACCTGTATACTTTATCCACTAAAATTATTATCCGCAACAATCACTTCCCCATTTCATCCAAACGACGCCTCTATGAATAGATTTAGGCCAAAATAGTTTATTATATATAATAAAGTCAAAATATTAACGCCGATCTACCTGCATTTGTTGCAATTGTTGCTGCTGCATCTGCTGCATTTGCTGTTGCATCTGCAACTGTTGTTGTTGCTGTTGCAGCTGCTGCTGTTGCTGGAGCTGCTGTTGCATTGTGGCCGATATGCTGGGCATCATCTGATTGGGCGTCTGGTTACCGGGGATGCTGGGCAACGGAGACGGAGGTATCGATCCCCCACCTACAAATGTACACCAGTTGAACAAAGAAAGAATATTTAAATAACAGTGGTTAGAGTGAGAAAATTGCAAACATTTAGCGTAAAAAAATTGCTCCTATGTAATAGGTAATTGTGGGATTTACCTGGTGTTCCGCTGCCTTGAGCCGGGCTCTTCGAGTAACTCTGCAAATCGGCCAGGAGGTTTTGCCACACTTGAATTTTATCATAATGTCTCTTTAGCAGTTCCTCTTTGCGTCCTAATTCTAAGCGGAGTTCGCTAATGTCCTCTTTGACGTTCATTTCGGGCTTTAGTGCCGATAATAAGAACCTTTTCTGGAGGAAGAAGGCCTCCATTTGCCTGGCTAAATCTATGAAGCGGAGCGTCGTTTGTTCTACTTCTACTTTGATTTCATCTTTATCGGAAGTGGGCAAGGCCTCTTCTTTGGTTAGGACGTTCAAGCAATGCTGGAAGACGGGGAATGTAGAGCTATTTTCGATAGAAATTGTAATGCTTACTTGAAAGGCTTCTTCGAATTCGTCGACGAGATTTCCACTGCTGTTCGTCGGAGTGGCCATCGCCGATACTGGTGGCGATGCCTCTTTCATCGGAGTCATTGAATCAATAATTTGAATTTTTTGTTGAACAAAAAATGCGAGTTTTTAATACGCTACACCAACAACTCAAATACACGCTACGCCATTTTATTCCATGTATTGATTTGTTTGTTAGTGTCTTTTGTTTGTAATAATTAATAAGCTGGAGACAAGGATAACTGTTGAATATTCGTGCGTAAAACAAAGATATATTCGTCAGATACTCGGAACTTATTGTACGAACAAAACTGAAAGTATCGATTGACGCTAATGACAGTGACAGTTTGCTGTGTTTTGGATATGTCATCAAACTTCCATCAAAGGTGACGTGTGTTATTTATATTTTTTAAAAATGTACAAAAATTTCGCACTTATATCGCTGTTCCTGTTCTTTGGATTACTCAATGTGACTTCTGCATTATATTTCCACATAGGCGAGACGGAGAGGAAATGTTTTATCGAAGAAATTCCAGATGAAACGAACGTAATAGGTTAGTTGGCATACTTACCCTACAGCGGTTTCCTTAAATTTTCTCTTTTTCCAGTAAATTACAAAGTGGAACTTTACGATCCGAGGAGCGGAGGTTTCATGCCCTCCTCCTCCGGAATCGGTATGCACGTAGAGGTCAGGGATCCCGACGATAAAGTGATTTTATCCCGAGTGTACAGCGCAGAAGGGAAAATATTTTTCACTTCTCACTTACCAGGAGAGCACGTAATTTGCATGTACTCTAACAGCTCTGCTTGGTTCAGCGGGTCTCAATTGAGGGTTCACCTGGACATACAAGTAGGAGAACACGCTATTAATTACGGAGAAGTCGTGCAGAAGGAGAAACTTTCCGAATTACAGCTGAGAGTTAGGCAACTCATTGATCAAGTGGACCAAATCACGAAAGAACAGAATTATCAAAGGGTAGGTTTACGAGTTGATTTGCTTGACAAAATCTAATTGGATTTTACTTTGTAGTTTCGAGAAGAACGTTTCAGACAAACCAGCGAAAGCACTAACTCGAGGGTGCTTTGGTGGTCTCTCGCCCAAACGACCGTTTTATTTGTAATGGGAATCTGGCAAATGCGGCACTTGAAAACTTTCTTTGAGGCGAAGAAACTGGTGTAGACGAAATTATGGTTTAGATTTTTCTGGATGTGTACATATAATGCGGAAACTTATTTTTACTTTCATACCTTTAATTCCTGAAAATTAATTTATAAAAGTTTGTTACAAAATTATTACCTCAACTGAAATAAAACGTTATCGACAACTCACTTTTATTCTTAACATTAAACTAACATTGATTATACAAATCCTACACACTTATCTAAGTAGTTAGGAAAAAGAGATTTATCGGGTTCTGGATATGGTTTAAGTATAGTAAAATCTCTTTGTAATGCCTCACCAAGGGTATCGCAAGTGCTGTAATATAAATAGCCGTGCTTTTGAAGTTCTTCGGCCAATTCTATTTGATGGTTGTCCATTAAATCTTCGTTAATAACAACCAAAAGAGGTTTCTTCTTCCTCAATACATCCAAGCAGGAGCCAGCTCCGGCGTGACTAATAACAATATCACTGGATGTAATTTCTCCATCAAAGTCTTCGAAATACTCTTCAAATCTTATAACCAAATCATTATATTCTATCACAAGTGGGCTTTCACTTTTCACGTTGTAAGAAGATAGTTTTGGAAGGATGGCCTCTGGGTAGAAATCTTTTCCAGTTTGAATTTGAATGAAATTGTAACCTAAAGACTGAAATAAACGGAGTACATCTTCTGTAACAATTTTATCGATTAATTTTGGAAATTTTGTAGTTCCTACAGTCACAAAAACTTTCTTTGGTTTCATTTTTTGATATAAAATTTACAAGTATTTTAGTATTTACACATTTTGTTATAGCTGTCACCTGTCATTAATACATGATACATTAGAACTACTTTAACTGAATACATGGCCATAAGTAGACCAGAACTGTCATATTTCTATATTAAAGTGGCCTTTAACTACTAACGTATTCAATTGAAATGAAAAAAATGAGCACAATTGCGTATTTTATTAAATTTAAATTACACAATATCCAATATTTAAAACATAAAAAATGTTCAAGCTTCTTGTTCTTGGAGCTTGGCCAAGAAGGACTTCTTCTTCTGGGCGACGCGGTTCTTGCGTTCGGCCAAAGTGAGCTTCTTGCGGTTCCATCTCTTTTGGGTGGTCGCGGGAGCCTTCTCCGCTTTCTTCTCGGGCTCAGGATTGGCACGAATAGCAGCATGCGCATTCTTGTAAATATTCTCAATCTAAAAAAATACAACATTTAATTTACAAGTCAACGAACGGAGAAAATAAATGTTTCGCTTCATAAAAACTTTCCAATCAATACCGATTGGAAAAATTAATTAAAAAACGACCTTAATGTAGTCCAATTGCGACACGACAGCTTTATTAAAATCTACCAACTGCAGTAATTTAATTGGACGTCCCAAAAACAACAATGTCACAATATTTACCTGGTCAGCGTTGATTCCCAATTTAATGTATTGGCTGAATTGCCTCTTGAACGCTTCCGGGTCTTCCTCCTCCAACGACTTCATGTAGTCAGCAACGTGAATACCGAAAATGTGGCTGCGATGGACGTCAGCGTTGAAACTTTTGCTCTCACCATCGAAACCTGGGAAACGTTTCGTCGAGTGCGGAATGTTCAAACCCCCATCGACTGCACCTTTCATCGCTCCAAACACACGAGCACCAGTGCTCGTACGTTTCAAACCGGTATCCAGGTAACACCTAATAAAAACAGCAATATTGTAGATTATAGATGTATGAAGAATTTGTAGTTGTTTTAAACGATAGGTTATCAGAGACACGTTATAATCAAGATTTTGGGGTGCATAACAAGACGAGAGATGTTCCGTTAACATAAAACATGCTAAAGGAGTCTCTCGATCGAGTAGTGCTTGGCCAAATCAGATGACGCGCATGTGTCTGTATATCATCATAATGTAACAAATAACGCATTCCTAATCTCAGAAAACTTACTAGAAACTTTCGAAAACGTCGCCAGATTTGAATGTTGACCCATTTAGGCAACAGCGTCAACCATCCAGAATCTGACCACGTCCTCGGTGGTTTAACTTCGGAAATCTTACGGGATCCGGCGTTACCCACCGAGGCGAGCTGTTGCCTTAAAAAATACTCAACGATTTAACAGAACACCTAAAAGCAAACGCAACCGAGGCATTCATCGCTTAATCGAGCATCGAGGGTAACTGCAAACTTCTCGAAACCAACCTGAAGGCTCCGGGTCCGTTTTCGACGCCTTCTACGTTGTATTCGTCGCCAGTAACGTCTGTGGTACCGGCGTACAAACTGTCGAGGCCTAATTTCTTGAGGAGACGACGGGCCAGTAACAGACCGGTGGCGTAAGCGGCAGCGTAGTTAGTCAGACCGGCTTTGATGCCGTATCTGGGCAATTCGTGGGCATACGCCGAGCAGAGGATCTTGTCGCCTTCGATGCGGGAGTAGGCGATTTGACAAGTAATGTCGCGGTTGGAGAAACGCACGATCAGACGGTATTTAGGCGTGTTGTACTTGTTCTTGTCCTGGACGATGAGACGTTTGCGGGCGTAGTAATCGGTTTTACCTTGGCGACGCCTCTTGAATTTCACTTGGTACCTTTTGAAGTACTGCCTGTTCTTCACGACTTTCACGAAAGCCTAAAAAAGATCATAACCTCGCATTGTTTGCAAAGAGAAATCTTCGAACATCCGATGGATGAAACGAATTTTACGAAAACTACTTGCATTTATTATAAAATAACACAAGTGGTAATCGAATAATCAAAATAGTTTTAACTATACTTACCATTTTTAACAATAAATTATATTTTACTAAGCAACTAATGAAACACAACCTCCTCTAGAAGTCGGTCTCGATAAAAAAGAACAAACTGTCAAGGAAGTGACGTATTGGCAACGAACTGTCACTTTCTTCTAAATACAGCAAATATAACTACAGTAGTTCATTTGTACCAATAACTTGACATTAACTGTCAATAATATGACAATTTCCACGTGCAAAACAAACTAACCTCAAAATAACTTGCTACATATAAATTAATAAAAAAGTGTATAACATTACACTCCCGTTGCATATTTATTGATTGAAGTTTAATGGTGTCTATTAAAATGGATGATGATCTTCCCGGTTTTTCTGACCCGAATAAATCCAACAAACCAGACTCTGTTGATCAAGATGCGGTTAAAAAGAAAGGTAGTAAGAAAGGAGGCTTTCAGTCGATGCATTTGAATTACAACGTTTTGAAAGGGATACTAAAAAGGGGGTACAAACAGCCTACGCCCATTCAAAGAAAAGTGAGTTTTAAAACTAATAAAAAGCGTAAATTTGTTAATACATCGTTTTTAGACAATTCCTTTGATAATGGATGGCAAGGACGTTGTGGCAATGGCACGAACAGGTAGCGGCAAAACGGCCGCTTTTCTGATTCCTTTATTCGAGAAACTGAAAACACGAACAGCAAAAACCGGAGCCAGAGCAATCGTATTTTCGCCCACGAGAGAGTTGGCTTTGCAAGTAATATATACCCACTACATTTAATACAATTTATTAATCGATATTACTTGTAGACGTTGAAATTTATCAAAGAAATAGGTCGTTTCGTTGGCTTGAAAGCCGCCGTTATTCTCGGCGGTGACTCCATGGAAGACCAATTTTCAGCCATACACGGCAGTCCCGACATCATCGTAGCGACGCCCGGTAGATTTTTGCACATTTGCGTGGAAATGGAACTGAAATTAAGCAGCGTCGAGTATGTAGTATTCGATGAAGCCGATAGACTGTTCGAAATGGGCTTAGGAGACCAGCTAACAGAAATTATCAACAGACTTCCCGATACGAGACAGACCGTCTTATTCTCCGCCACTCTTCCTAAAGTCCTAGTAGAATTCGCCAAAGCTGGCCTAAGCGATCCGATACTAATAAGATTAGATGTGGAATCCAAGTTACCCGAAGAACTAGTGTGTTGGTACTTCAGCATCAGAGCCGAAGAAAAATTAGCCGCTCTATTAGTGCTACTTAAATCGCACATCGATTTGAAACAACAAACCATTATATTCGCTGCCACGAAACACCACGTCGAATATTTACACATGGTTCGTTTTAGTCGAGCGTAAATTCATTCTAATTTCTGATGTATTCGTAATTACAGGTGCTCGATAAAGTGGGCATCAGCAATACTTACATCTACTCGGATCTGGATCCTTCCGCTCGAAAAATAAACGCAGCCAAATTCAGCCTGGGTAAAGTGAAAGTGTTGATAGTAACAGACGTCGCCGCTAGAGGTATAGACATACCTCAACTTGATAATGTCATTAACTACAATTTCCCAGCGAAATCGAAACTATTCGTTCACAGAGTAGGTAAGTTCCTTTGCGATTTAGTATCCTACATTACTACATTATGTTATATTTTAGGCCGTTGTGCTAGAGCCGGAAGAAGCGGCGTAGCTTATTCGCTGGTAGCGCCCGACGAGTACGCTTATTTACTGGATTTGCACCTATTTTTGGGGCGCCCCCTTACGATAGCGACGTCTGCTAATAAAAACGGGGCCGTGGGGAGGATTCCGCAGACGCTTCTCGAAGAACAGCACAGCTCGATTTTGACGTTGCACGAGAACAGTACGGATTTGGTGGCTGCGAGGACTGTTTCTACGAACGCGTACCAACAATATGCTCGATCGAGGCCCAATGCTTCGTCCGATAGCTGCAGGAGAATCAAGGATTTGCCTTTGACTAGTTGCTGGATACATTCGATCTTTCAGCATTTGGGAGAAAACGTCGAAGAGGAACGGGAGAATCTGCTGGATAAAATGAAGAGTTACAGACCGAACGGGGTATTATTGAATTAACTGTAGTTTATAAACAAGTTCTATGTTCGTTTTTGTAGACGATATTTGAAATTTGTGGTAAGAATAAATCCGAGGAGTATCAAATAATGAAGAAGAAGCGAGCGGTGCATAAAGAGAAGATAAATACGCATCACCAGAATTTGGAGCAGAAAAAGGAAGACTTGCAAATCAGTAACAAGAACGATGAAAACACGTTAGAAACTAGCAATAATGATGATATAATAGAAGCCTTTTCTAAAGTCGTGTTACCTAAAAAAAGAAAATTAGACGTCCTGTACAAGAAGAATAAGAAACAGAAGCTCGAAAAAGATGAAAATTATATTCCGTACGTTCCTGTAGACCAACACACTGAACAAGGGTAAATAAAATATTTTATGTACTCATACATTATTTAGTTTTTAATACATCATTACAGATTAGCCATTAATAACTTCCAAAAAGAAGCACTTAGCGCCCAAATGGATATAATCGGCGACTCTGAAGATACTCTAAAGATGAGCAAACAATTAAAAGTATGGGATAGGAAGAAAAAGAAAATGGTTGCTGTCGCTGTAAGTACATATAATATAATTATCAACAAATCGTATTTAAAACTAATAAAAACCATTTTAAAGAATCCAAAAGCAGGGAAAATTAAAACGGAATCTGGCGTGTGGATATCGGCAAGCTTCAAAAGTAACAGGTATCAACAATGGAAAGATAAAACGAAAGCAGATGAAGAAAATAACGATGATGATGATGATGAGGAACCAGCTCAAAAAGGTACATAACAAACCAAAGTTTACCAAAATGTTTACTAAATTGTATTTTTATTGTAGCTCCTGTTAGAAAATTGTACACGCATTGGGCCAAGCATAATGAAAAAGTTAAAATGAAGCAAAGGAAATCTGAATTGAAATCCACCGATCAAATTGTAAAAGCCAGGATGCTGGCGGATAAAAAGAAACAGGGACAGAGAAAAGGGAAAGGAAAGAAGGGTAAAAAGGGAAGAAAATGAAAAGTTTAGTTTTTAGTTTAAGAAAAATGTTATAAATTTGTTTCCCGCTACTTTTTGAATTTCATTCCAATAACATCCATCCAACTAGCGCAAGTCGCGTTAACGGAACCATTTGAGCAATCCACTGCAAAACTGTGAGTATTTATGTCTGGGTTTAATACAACACAACCATTCGAAGATGTGACTGATTGTTGAAGATCATCGGAAAAATTACATTCTTTGGATTTGATTTTTAATGCCACTTCATTCCGACAAAAGTCCGAGAGAATTAAATCGAGCGAACCATCAGCCAGTTTTATATCTGAATGTCCTAGTAATCGAGAGATGTAAATATTAGCGTGACCTTTATTTATTGTGCTGGAAAGTGTCCCGTCAAAACCGACTGCAAAGAAATTATTAACAAAAATAACTAATTCTATAATGAAAACTTACTTAATTTTAAATGCCCTCTATCTAACAGTATTTTGCAGTTTTTATGAACGTTTTCTAAGCTCATATTTCCTTTTGTAACATCAAAAGTACTCTCCTCGCAATAGGAAGACATTACAGACATATCACCATCATTAATTTTCAATTTTAACTTGAGTCCTTGCAGCCTACCAGTACTTATAGACTACAATAATATTATCAGCGAGGAGAAATATAAAAATTGAACATTACTAACTCCTTTTTCACTAACGATAGCTGTAATATCGGCTGCTTGAACAACATCATTGAATTTGATGTTTCCATTTTTAGTGGCTACTTCAATAGATTGTCCATGAAACTTATCTACAGTGATGTTACCTCCATCAGAGCTAACTTTGATTTCATCGCCATTGAAACAGCCCACTTCGATATCTTTTTTACAGTCAATGTAAAGATCTTCAAAAAATATAGAATTGAGCAACAAGCATTTAACAGTAATATTTATCATATACTTGCTTTTACCGGTATCTGGATTAGGTAATTAGCATTTGAATTCGCACTGTTCGTTTTATCCGTTAATTTCACATTGTTACCATCAATAACGTACTGTAAATTGTCCTTACAATCACTTTCTACAATTAATTTATTACAGTTGTGGTACTTATGAATATTTAGAGGTTGTACTGTTAGATTATAAGGGAGACGAATGTGGACGTTACAGAACGTAGGTACTTCAAATTCTTTTACTACAACTCTCGAATAATGTCTGCGATAAAGTTTCAGTGCTCTGATAATATGGTGTTTAGTTAATATCGACCTGAAAACAACAAATAGTATAAAAATATATGTGAAAGTGAATATTAGTAACATTTCTTATGAATCCAGCAAATACCGATCAGAAATAACTAACTTTGATACAAGTTTTAGTTTTAAATTTAATTAATGATCAAAACTTTGGTTAGGTTTGTTGATGACAACAACTGCCAAAAATAAAGGCTTTAGAACTACTGGCCGAATAACTTAGGCAGCTGAGGCCTCAATACGAAGAAGAAGGCTCAGAACTATTAGTTTTATGGTAGATGTCAAACAAAATCTCGAAAACAAAATTCCCGAATCGCATTACTGTGGGAATATCCGATTATTAAAAAATATTCATACATCATTCTTAATAAAGTTTTTGTATATTTACACAATATTTAACATTGGCAACTATTTTACTATATAGAGTGTAAATTGCTTAAATAATGATATAAACAAACGAAAGCCTCCTTGGTTAAGTTAAATCACTTTAAATTCAATCGCATGTCGAACAAATTGTTTACGAAATTTCTGGTCAAAGTAAATGGCACTATTTGAGCACAAACGTCCGGAACATATTAAAACGAACCAAAGAAGGCCTACAACAATAGTTTATACCTTTACAATCAGTGATAAATTCAAGACATTTCCATTAAAAATTATCCTAAATAATACATACTAATATGAAATAAACGATTACGTCTTCATCGATCTAATCCTAACAAGATGACATGACACGAAAATGGCCTATGATAAAACAAACATCAAACTAACATAATGATAAAAATTATAGATACTCGAATATAAATTTTAATATACGCTTCAGTTCCTTCAGTAAAAATCTAAACCAATTCTAATTCTAAGTCTGCCTTTCCACAGTAAAAGGATAATCGTAGTCTTTAAGGATTTGTTGCATCGTTCTAGCCTTTATCCTAGGAAACTGGAACTGAAATTTCAAAACCACCAAATATAACTCTAGCCAAATTATTTCCAAACACCACACTCACCCTATCGGCGTTGCTACCGGTCACGAATTTCGGATTCACCACGAACGGCACCCCGTCCAAACCGCTCGTGTACGACGACCCCAACGTGTTGGTGGAGTTCTGGTGCTGCACGGGCGCCGCCGGCGGCTTCGGCGCCGGCCGGATCGGCGCCCCGGGCCCCGCCGGCATCGACGGATAGGCGCCCGGCCGCAGGATCTCGTAGTCGTGATCGGTGTCCAGCGAAGGGTAGGCGGCGGGAACGCCGCCCGGCGACATCGCGTTCGGCTTGGGCGGCCTCTCGGGCGGCGCGTCGCCCTGCTGGGAGTCCTGCACGTTGCCCATTTTGTAGCAGAGATACACGCCGTTGATCTCGCTGGAAAATTCGATCGAATATAAAATTTTTTTTTGAGCGTTTAGATGTTTGTAAAGGTCAAGGTAATCGAAATAAATGAATGTTTAATACTGCAATAATAACAAATTATTACATAAATGTTATGCTTGGTTACACGCTCAATTAGTTTTTTTATAGAAGTATAGCTAAATAGTTCAAAAGTAAATTAAAATTACCTACTCTTTTTTACAACAGCAAAATATCATTTTCTTTGATACAATAGTAAGTTTTATAGATTAATGCATCCTTTACTAAAATAAATACCGAATATAACCATACTGAAAACAGGAAAGTAAACCGATAAATAGATAAAAAGACTGTCCTTATCGCGTTTGTAGAAGCGCTAAGCAGAGGATTGTTTGATATCATTATTAATTATTTATGGTTCAATAATTCACGGAGAGAATTTTATTTAATAAATTATTACTAGTGAGAATGTCATGAGAGGTAAATTTGTAGTAAAAATCGTGTAATCAAAATTCCATTGCTACCACGATTTTGATCGAAGCATTTGAACTACAACACGAATCGTGCAATTAAATTTATGCAAATGTCCACTATTATTGTTCGATTCACAAAAAAATTGATACAAATGGACAATTACTATATCAAAACAACATAACTAATTAATACGATAAGATATCGCTGAGAAAATTAGTTTAATCTAGCGTTGATAACAAGCAACAGTAAAAGTTTATTATGAATAAGTCATGCACGTTTAATTATGCATTCGGGTGAAACAATTACAGTTACTTTTAATTGTACAAGCGTTATTTCGAGATTTACCAAGTTAATGAACCAATTAAAATAACTCACCCAACTAATTATGATACAAAAGAGCTAATTGAAATACTTCATATAACTATTTGATATGAATGAACTAATTGAAATACTTAATCCAACTATTTGATATGAATGAACTAATTGAAATACTTCATTCAACTATTTGATACGAATGAACTAATTGAAATAACTGACCGGACTATTTAGAGATTTAAGAAATAAATGAACTAATAACTCACCCTGCAAAGCAAAATTCCGCAGGGGCCTTCTTCGGTCGGTTACAAACGATAATATCAGTCACGGCAGTTCTGATGTCTTTCTTATTGACTAGTCGATAGCAGAGCTGCTTCTTCTTCCAGGCCTTCTGTTCGCTATCGGCAGTCCTGTTGAGCAAGCTGAATCCCTTGGGGGGGCTCGCCTTATCGCTTAACACGAATATCTCTTGCACCACGAAATTCGGCAGGCCTGATAAATAAAGGGTTGTAATACGAGTGTGATTAAATGGTTCGTTAGGTAACCTTCGGTTTTCGAAAGGCAGATGTACCTGGTGGAGCTACTTTTGAATATCGATACGTCCCTTAAATCGGCATCGGAGTCCTGATCGTAGGTTTTGCTGATGGCGAAAAACCCCCTGGGGCACTTCTCCAAGTTCTCAACGATCTGTAAAGCAAATATTGTGAAAACATTGGTGAAAAAAATGGGAAAAAATCACACTTACTTGGATAGCAGTGATTGGTCTATCGTCGGGCAAATAATTCAGAATCTTATGCTGGACAGACGATTTTAGCATCGTAATCAGTCTTATCGGTCGTCTAAAAATATCGAAAATAAATATTGACAGCAAACCCGAACCGACCAGTTAACCATTATACCTGCCGCAGCATCGCAGATAAATTGTTCTACTAACTATAAATAAACTATTAGTCAGAATCTAAAGAGAATTGCACCACTACTCGGTTAGAAAGACGTATTTAACAGCGCCAGCGATTTAAGATTTAATCGAATTGAGTATCTACAAACAATCGCACTAAAACCTACCTTCACACAGAACGTTGACCTTCGGCGAGTATCCGGAAATTAGGATGATTCCAAATCGAAACTAATCTAACATTTTGGATGAAATGAAATGATATGTAAGCGAGTAAAATTGTTTTAAAAGAGACTGAAATCCACTTCACTGTTATCTCATCGCTTCTTCATAAGTGGACAGCCTAACAAAAGGCAAAAGGCCCGTGTATATAAAAATTAGTCATTCAAATCTAACCAATCATCTCGCCCGAAAAATCACAAAACGGGTTTTCCGAAAAGGGATTTCGCAAATTAAGTTTGTAATTAATTAGCGGAAACAGTAGAGGAAGCAAACAACAATTCAAGGCTTAATTGCCGTTTATTTTTTTGTATAATATTTGAATTTGAATACCAAAAATTTAATTGATTACAAAACGTCATCGTTAACTTTAAAATCGATTTATAATCGATTCACTACAAAATTTTGACAGTTGTGACACTTAACATGTGTTTTTTAACAAACACAACATAACCTACAAAAATTTAAAATTGAACTTGCACTATAATTCAGAAAAAATGGATAACGAATCGCTTACAACAAAAATAACACCTGAATCAACCACTACTACCAACAAATCGAGGTATTTATTCCTTTCTTAAAATTACAAATGGGAGAAACGGTGTGTATTTTGTAGATTGGGTTTTTGCGAAGTGTGCGCGTTTTATAACGCGAAATACACGTGCCCCAGGTGCGAATTAAAAACGTGTTCGCTAAAATGCATCAAGATTCACAAATTAGAATTGGACTGCAGCGGCGACAGAGACCGTACGAAGTACATTCCCTTGAACAAGTTCACCAACTTAGATCTAACCAGCGACTACAGATTATTAGAGGAAGTATCCAGATCTCTGGAGAATTCCAGGAAACATTTTCGCGGAATCCGTTGGAATAACATACCACACGTAAAACATAAAACGTTCATTTCGCGCTCGTGCTAATTTCGAATGTGTTTCAGAGATTAATACGATTGAGAAACGTTGCGAAATCGCAGAAGATCGAATTGAAATTTCTACCGCCGAAATTCGCCAGGCACAAAAACAACGCGACCTATTTGAAATTGAACCGGATATTTTGGCACATCGAATGGGTTTTCGTGAACTCCGATAACACGATACTCCACGATTCGAACGTACCCGACACACAGAAATTGTGTTCTACATTAGAACGACACTTAGATGCAAACAATGAAGCTCTAGCGGAGAAGCTTCAGTACTATCGAGCAGTCGGTTTATCCGGGATTAAGCTCCTTTTAAAAGCCGAACAGAAAGGGGGAAAGAAGTTCTACGAAATAGACGGTAATGTGCAGCTAAAAGAAAGCTTGCAGAAGAAAATTATTATCGAATACCCAACCATTCACGTGGTGCTGAAGGATCATAGTTGTGGCTACAATATAATCGATTCGGGTAATTATAGTTTAATTATTTACTTATATTACAGAGCAATAATTAATTTAAATCGGGGGTTAAAGTTAAAGTGTAAAATTGAAATTAACGTGGCTAAGCGAACTGTCGTGTTGCATTTGGAGTCGATTTGGAGTCGATTTGGAGTTAAAACTTAGGTAAAAAGTCCTTTTCGGTTTTACGCGGGGAGGCAAAAGGAATTTTTTTATTGAATCGTTCAACGTGGTAGTCGTTTCCGCCTGATAAAATGTCATCGTCGTCTTTCTTTTGACCTGGGTTTTCATCGAGTTTCTGGTCTTTTTCGGTTTCCGAACCAACTTTCTTCGCACTTCCGTTCGCGTCGATTTCCTTCTTTTTAACCAGCAGATCTGTCGCTTTTAACGGGTCGATGGGCCTCTTGTCTTTGTCCAGAATGGAATCTACGCTGCTTACGTTGGGCAGGGACGTGAGCTCGTCATCGAGCGATTTTCTTTTATCCTTGGAAACGGGTTTCACTACTTTCTCTTTGCTTTTCAAAAACTCCAATCTATTGGCTCCGTAGAGAATTCCAGCTACCAAAAAAGTGTATCGCAATAATTTCAAAAGAGGCGAGATTTTAGCGGGATCAGGTAATGACATAATTTTGCAATGATTGACGAAAATTTGATGGTATCGAAATGATGTGACGTTACGCTTGTAAAAGCTATACAGGGTGATGATTTTCAGATGATGATGAAGAAATCGAAGAATCGAACAAACATGTAAAATCAGGACATCAAATTGTAAATAGGATAATTAACAAGGCGGAGGAAGATGATGCGAATAAATCGAGTAAAAACTTTTTGTTTGTTAACGAATATTCCGATGCGGAAGTGTCTGATGATGATTAAGTTTAATAAAGAGGCTTATCGAAGGATTCTTGTTTATTGAAAACCTTATACATCGATTAAAAAATAAATTTATAAATAGGCGAGAAATGAGAAGCGATAAATTTTATCACAATAGAGTTTTTCATTTGTGTAATTTAACTGTGAATTGTTTTTATGATGAAATTTGATATTTTTTAAACCAAATTAATTAGATTATATCACCGAGATTATCATTCTTATATTGTCAATATATTAATTTTTTTTCTACCTTAAGCCCATTCAAAGTATTGACATTTGAATAAATAATAAAATAATGTATATACAAGAGTAGCGGAAGACAAATTAACAAATAATCAAAAGTAAATATATAATAAAACTCTACATATCCCCGGTTTGAAATTGAAAATATATTATATACAACAGATTTGTTCACATTAAATTCCTATCAATTTTAATGAGTCTTCCACTTTTGCCGAGTTTTACAACATTCAACATATTACAAAATCCAAAAATACAGAACAAACACGAGAAAAACGATTCCCCCGACAGCCGCCTTCACATAAATCGATTTCGTATTCAAAAATGTGGCATCTTTTTTATACTTCTCCGTCAACATCGATAAATTCTGAGTTTTGGTATCTAGCTCTAATAAATCAGAAATATTATTAAAACAACTAACTTACATTAAAATAAATATGTATATTACCTGAGAGGACAGTTCCCCTTTGCAATACATCATCAATGTTTTGAACCATTATTCTTTGCACATCCTGCAGTTGATTGTTTATAACATTCAAGTTCCTTCTAGACCGCGAGTCAGAAAATTGTTTTTTCGCTTTCTGAATATAATTGTCGAACTCTATGAAAGTGTAAGGCCTAGTTACAGTGTTGACTCGCTTGCCGTATTGCGCGTGGAATTCTTGTGCAATGTCTTCCAGATACGAGTAAGCCAGTCGCTTTGAGAATACTTTATCACATAACACTAAATAACAAACGTCGTATTCTATCAAATAACTGAAATGGTAGATATTGTAGTTTCGTGAATTGGTGGATTACGAAATGAGCTTACTGAAATAAATAAGGTCCGGTTTCGATGGTGCATCTAGGAGGCGATTGGGGGCCTAGTTTTCGGAATAGCATTTTCGCTTGGTTTTGATAATCCAATATGTTCCTTCCAGACTAAAATTAAGCAAACATGAATGTAACTTACAAGTACAGGATTGTTTGGTAATATTAACCTGTTCGTCTTCTTGCATTGTGGCCGCCAAAGGCAGCCCATCTGCCACACGGGCAATCATAGTCATTAGAACCATTATTTCAATAATATATTCCTAACACCTAAAAACTCGCAATATTTTTAACTTTTATAAAAAAAAGTGAAAAATAGGTTATTATTTACACGTCAGTATTACACGTCACTAAACGTCACTGTCAATTATGTTGTCAGGACTGTCAAAATTCATTCGATTATTAATCGATAATTTTATAAAGGGTGCGTTCAGAAATTAATAACCTCTAACCTAACCTGTACCACTTATTTTTTTTTACTATAAAAAAAAGTTCATAAGTCCATTACTAAATTTATAAAATTTCGTTTATTTCGTTAGTTATATAAAAATCTAGGCAAACATGACCGAGGCAACAAGCACCCCAAACCTGCCTTTCAGCAAAACAAACGATCAAGAACAGGATAAGGTAAATATTGAAATTATTAATAAACAAATTAACCAGTAGCGAACATTTTTTCAGAAATTGCTGGAGCCTTTCAGTTACATTCTGCAAGTTCCCGGGAAAAATATCAGATCCAAACTCGCCAGCGCTTTTAATTACTGGTTACATATACCCGATGAGAAACTATCCCAAATTACGGACATAGTCCAAATACTACACAATTCTAGTCTACTGTAAGAACATCTAAAATATTTCACAAGTAAAACCGTTGCTCAACTTTTTAATTTCCAGAATCGATGATATCCAGGATAATTCGATATTACGAAGGGGGATCCCCGTAGCGCATTCCATATACGGTGTAGCGAGCACTATAAACTCAGCTAATTACACGTCCTTCATCGCCTTAGAACGGGTCAACGATTTAAATCACCCCCAAGTAAGATAAATTCAATGTAATTTACTTTATGTACCACTTGGTTTTTTCGTTCCAGGCGATTTCCATAGCTCTAGAACAAATATTAGAACTCTACAGGGGCCAGGGGATGGAAATTTACTGGCGCGATAATTTCGATTGTCCCAGCGAAGAAGACTACAAGCAGATGGTGATAAGAAGTAAATTTTTACTTGACATTGTAATACTTGGTTATTTAGAAATTTATTTTCCAGAAACTGGAGGCCTGTTCATGCTGGCTATAAGGTTGATGCAGCTCTTCAGTGATAATACACAAGACTTTACGAAGATTACTGGAATCCTAGGATTAATTTTCCAAATAAGAGACGATTATATTAATCTCACATCGAAGGATGTAAGTTTTTTTTTTGATGGCGAGTATGCTTGTTAATCGATGGTTTGTTTCTAGTACATGCAGCATAAGAGCTATTGCGAAGATTTAACTGAAGGAAAATTTAGTTTTCCTATGATTCACGCTATTAGAAGTCAGCCAGGGGATCCCAGAGTTATTAGTATCCTTTTTTAAAGCTATGACGACATGAAAATACTAAAAATTTGTGTGTGCTCCTTAATTAAAAAACAGACATTCTCCGTCAAAGAACCAAAGATATTGAAGTAAAGAAGTATTGCGTTTACTTATTGGAGTCATTCGGAAGTCTCGAATATACGAAGAAAACTTTATTGGATTTGCAAGTAGAGGCCAAAGAGGAAATTGAAAAACTCGGGGGAAACCCGTTCATGGAAGAATTCCTGCTGTCTTTAGGCAAACTATAACTTCAAATTCTTCGGATTTATTTTTATATACATTTTTTCATTCTGTATTATTATCTGTATTTTGAAGGTTTGTGATAAAGTATATTTTTATTGTTTTTTCTAAATTGTTGAGTTACTAATTATTTATGATTTTGTAATGCCACAACAAGACCAGGCCAAGAATTCTTCTTTTTTAGAAGAACTACATTTTCTTTAATTGTTCATCAATACAAGTTTTCCAAAAAGGACTTTTGCAACGTATTAATCACGTGACCCCTATAAACAATTACAATGGTTTTAGAAAAAAAATAACAGGTAATAATGTAGCTGCATACATGGTTTAGTCAAGACTGAATTATTAGAAAATGTGACTTTTGCCATGTCATTTGTCATGTCATGTGTCATACGTCGGAATTTCATGTTTAGACAAAAAGTTCGTTGTTCGATAATTTTGAATTTGCATAATAACAAATGTTAGTATTGTAATCATTAATTAGAAATAAGAATGAGCCGCAGGAACACAAGAAGTTCCAAAAAAACGCTAGTGATTTCCGACTCGGAGGACGAGACTGAAGTTTCTTTCACCAGCAATCACCGTGCTAGCAAAAAAACTCCCAGAACATCTTTCGGAAGAACGTCTTCCGGAAGAACATCTTTGTTGTTCTTAAACGAAACTGTAGACGATGCCACCATAAATAACTTTAAAAGTACCATTATGAGCGAAGTGAACTCATTCTTCGAATCCGGAAAACTGTTGTCGGTCTTTGAAAACGACTCGGATAACTTGGACAAGTGCGAGAAATCGGCTAGTTCTAAAAGAAAGCACGACTGTGATGAATTTGAACCGTCCACTTCCAAAACCAAAGTACCCACCCCAAGAGATGCCAACAGAGTCAAAGAGGATGAACTCGTAAGCCTCGTAGATGTAATAGACAATTTGGACAATTCCGACACAGGACAATCGATTGACACCGACGATTGGATGTCCTATAGGCGGAATGCTAAAAATCTACTAAAAAGTGTAGACGATCTACTAAATCGTGTAGACAACACATTAGGTGTGTATCAATCACTTGCCCAGAATTCACTTATTAGTTGCCTTTTACTTTTCAGGTTCCTGTAAAGATTTATTCAAAGACAACACAACTGCAACGCCAACTTCAGATAATAGTGGGCTAACTTTAGAGGTTGACCTGACTGTTGAGTCGGTTTCCGATCAACCTTCAACCAGTCAATCCACCGCTGAGCCCCCGCAGAAGCAGAAGACTGTGAGGATCTCTTGCCCCATTTGTTTGAGAGATGACGATATCAGCTTCGGGGCGACCGTGTGTGGACATATATTCTGTATGGACTGCCTACCGTCGACGATAAAGGCCAAAAAGTGCTGCCCGATATGTAGGAAAAAGCTTACCATGAAGCAATACCATCCCCTTTTCATTTAGGAAGTATTGTTTGATTGTCTCGATTAAGTTTATATTTATTAAGTAGTTGAATAAAACATTTCTAAAAATATTTTATTTTAATTAAATTTATTATTTATATAAATATTAAATTATTTTTTCAGGAACCAAGAATTAATTTAATTAATGCCGTTATCAAATTCAAAAATATAATCGGATCTGAAAAAGATAATGCCATTTTTCAATTACTACTAAACGTTAATAAAATAATATTTGTTTATCCACACGAATTTAAACACATTTTATTAAACTAGTGGATGAGACTTGATGAGAGTTTTTTTAGTAATTTATTAATTATTTTTTTTATTAACTGATTCATTAAATTTAATTGAGTTTTTACCTGCATGAGAAAAAATACTTATATATGATATTTCCGTAATTTACATGTTTATTTTTAATTAATTTTTAACGTTTAAATTTATATTCTTTGTTCATCTAAGTAGGAATTTAATTTTTTTTATATTTTTAACTTGATACTTACATTTAGATACAGTCGTCATTGAATGAACGAAACTGTACAAGTGAGTATCATCGAATTCGTTTTTGAAACTTTTATTGGACTTTTCCTCGTCAACTGCAACAAATACATTTCAAATAAGCCAAATAACACGGTAAAAGTGGAGAGAATACGCACATCTGGTGAAAAATCTTTCATCGTTGATTATGGTGTAAGCGTTGAGACACAGCAAAGATGTTTCAAAGAGATTCCACAGGGACAACGTAAAAGCCATTGCCTATATCGACGCCGAAACTTATTTCATTACAAATTTAGCTAATCAGAAAATACAGTACATTTTCATCTTGTACTTAATGATAAAAATTAAATATCTGTCAATACGTAAAAAAATATTTCCAAGACTACTGTCTAACTGACTTTTTCGTATACGATTCTTTATGTAGTTCAGCATAAATTACTTATTGTTGCAAATTACGTAAGATTCCACCGAGGATACAATTTGCATATACTTACATAAATGTTATAATAAACTTACAATTACAATTAAACAAGGGTTTCTCGTTTCTCATAATACAATCAATAACAATAATACCTCCAGTTTTCCCACAGTCGAGCATTAATGCCTGTTGTTCGGCTATTTACTTTATAAATTCCCAGACGTATAATTTAGATTTTAATTGAAGCCACTATTAAATCGAGATCGTATACTTTCTCTAAAAAAGGTGAAACCAGCATCGGTCTCAGGAGCCTTCTCTTCAACCCGCCGAAGATATCGAACTCGAACAACAGCCCCGCTCATTATAACTCTTATTATGACATAACTATTTCCAAACCAAACAATACGAAACGCCGCGGGCATTTAAGTAGCTATAACTATCCGCATAATTGCGCCCGTAAATACCGGGCAATTATTTTTGTCGCACGTAAGTGCTCGAAACGTCGAGGAAAAGAACGGACGGGTTGCGTGAATTATGCATGAAGGATTATGTAAAGATGAGAAGTTAAACAAATTATTTCGAGACGAGAACGATTAACTTGTATTTCTAATACGCTGCATTGCCATAATGGTTTCGATATGTTGTGCAAGATTTTTATTAGATTGAAGCACATACGCGCTTAGAGGGATTCCCCTACTGCTGATGGCCTCTTACTTATTAGTTCATTTCTCATCATCAAATTTGAGCTGCTTCAATGCCTGTTAAACTAATCACAGGTGCACTAGGAAGACTAAATCTGGAGCTTTTTATTGTATTAAAGCACCTAAAGAGCAGGTACTGATGGTCTTTTACTTAGTCGGTTTCTCATCATCAACTTTGAGATACTTCAACGGCTCTTAGTAGACAGTAAGGAGTTTTATCAACTAATTCCGGGTGCAGTAAAGGTGCAGTAAAGGAAGAGCAATATCCTGCATGAGCTGGGGGTCGATTGAGAAGCAAGAGCGATGCAGGAAGTCCTGCGGGCCGAAGGCAATTAAGCCTTGCGAAACGGACGAGGAAGTTCGAAGAAGAAAACGAAGAAGCCGCCGCGAAGAGATGCAGAATGGTTCGACCGGAAGGGTCACCCGGTGCGCGTTCTCATCGTTCGACCCCGTTTCGAAATCCTTTCTCTTCATCATCGTGCGATTAACGATAAATAGAAATCGCCTCTAATTGCTCATCGGCCATTCAGGGCCGTTGCCGCGGTTTTTTTTGTTGTTGCTTCTCTCGATCGATTTATTCGTCTCTTCTAGATCGATCCGTACCGTTTCCCCGGTAGATGTCTTCGTTGACCCGCAACGGAAAGATAACGAGCCGGGGCCGGTAATTTCCCGGTGCGTCGGATCCGAAATTTTAAATTTTCGATTCCGATACGCTCGAACGGGTTTTGCGCAAGAAGAAAGCTGCTTAGCGCTCGGACCGTTTAATGTATTGTGCATGGTAATTGAATATGCATACGCGCATCCGAATTAACGGCCGTATAAAAACCATTTCGATGTGGTCGTTGGGATTGCACGCGGGTCTTGATTTCAGCAACTGGTTTCCTAATGGAGTAATTAAAACCGGCCATAAATTGCTTCTTAGTCGTAGGTGAATTACGTCGGCGAAATTTTCTTCCTCTATTGATCTAGATTTAATGCAAACGAAAGTAATAACATAAGGAATGATATAACAGAAGAATTTGTTTGATGGTATTGTAAAGAAACATTTCTTATGATGATCGATGAGACTGCGAAACAAAGTTACATTTCTTCGTAAAGTTCACACTCTGGGTGCCCGAGGAGAATTTTCTAAATATCTGTACGTGAAATTGATAGACATCACACACATTCGTATTGTACTAATAACAATAATAAGAGAAAATTATTATTTTTTTCTAAATTTGTATTATGTGTGTCGCCAGAGGGAAAATTGTTAGGTGTAATTATGATAATCGCGAAGAAACGAAATTCTCGGCTTTTTTTTCTGAATCATTGACAATGAAGAAAGCGCGCTATTGATTTTTTTCAGGCTCGAAAGAATAATTGAGGTCGAAAATATTTTTACTAAGAATACATGCAACAGTACGGATGAGGATTATAAGAGAAATTTTATTAGCCCAATTAAAATAGAAGATTTTGATGAGAAAATGGATAAAATTAGGGTGTTTTAAAGAGATAAAATATAGCATTCTTCAGTATAGGATACTATAAAATACATTAGTAATAGGGTACTTCTGTATTATGCTATTATTATGTATAATGGATATGTTATCATCATGTGATTAGAGGCACTATTTATTTAATTTTTCTTTCATCTATCAAGTTTCTTTTATGTACTTGGTTAAGCAATTGGTTAGAGATAATTAAAACTCAATTTTACGGTGACAAATGTATTTTTTAACGTAACCTACGAAAGCTTTATACAAAAAAAAAATGGTAACATTCAATGCTAGATGTTGTTTGCTTGTAGAGATGTTAAATTTATTGAATGCATCATGACCCGTCTGAGATGGAAAGAGATGGTATTCACATAATCAGTTCTAGAGCCTTAGTAAGGGGCTCCGTAAGACCCGGACGGCAGGGAGCTGGGTCCGCTGGGGTAGCCTCCGAACGACGGTCCCTGAGACACCTGGTTGTACTGGGCCACCTGGATGGCTTGCTTGATGCCTTCGAGATCGATGCCGGTGACGCGGTACTGGTAGCTGGGCACCCCGTATTGGGGCGACGGCGCGCCGTACTGCGACGATGGAGCGGAGTGACCGCCGGCGCCGCCGCTCGATGCGCCCTGTTGCTCCTCTCTGAGCAAGATCTGGCGGACCTGTTCGAGCAGCTGCGGGTCCACGGAGGCCCCTTCGTTCGTCTGACCGCCGGTAGACACTGACGTGTATCCACCGCCTCCCGAGGACAGTCCACCCCCGCCGAGCGACGAGAGGCCGCTGCTCCCGAAGGAGAGGCCGCCGCCGCCGCTGGGTCGGTTGTAGTTGTAGCCGGACGGTGGCTCGGCTACAACGACAGCGGCCAGGGCAAAGGCGAATACCTGAAATCGACAAGAAGATGGATTGAAACGAGGACGGTATACGGCTTTTCACTTTCTAATGTTACAACACTTTCCCGTAGACGGTTAGGAGGAAGTCGTTCGAATTCTGTTGAGAATGCGGCGAATGTGTAACGCGCTCATCTTTGAATTCGTACGGTAGTGCAAATAACCGGATTTTTTTGTTTGTACTTTACCGTTTTAAAAGCCTACTTAACTACCGTTTCGAAATTTTTATTAATTTATATAAATTTATAGATACGTTAGAAAAATAAATACGAATTTAATGAACACGTTTCCTTTCTTTTTAAATCGTAACGATTAAATTATACCTATACAATTATGTCGTAATAACGCGTAATTAATTTTAATTGCGAACGCGACTTGTAATTAAAAAAAAATCGATGTAAACACAAATGGGTTTTTTTATTCTGTAGTTATTTTTTGTGGTTATATTTTTACGCACTGAATTTAATCACGAATATAACCAAAAAAAAGAACACTTTGAACACTCGCACGAAAATTAAAAATCCATTTGTGTCAGCCCCCCGGAATTCCCTCCACGATCGGGTTAAAGCACTCGCGTAATCCTTACAAATCATTTTTTTTTGTTCAATTCTTTCCACTTACCACACTGAAAGAGTTCATGATGCCTGTGTTGACTGGGTCGAGTGGTGACTGTACCGATTCTCGGATGTTTTGGTGTTTTTATATCGGCCTATAGAGGGGGTGGGAACCGAGTCTTCTGAAGATGCCATCGACTACTTTCACACTTGTACATCCTCCTGTAAGTATACAGGTGGTTTCTGCCAAAATTCAAGACGTCGAGGTCACTAGGTTGAGTTTGTACAGTGTGAACTATTATTTATTAATTGATCGCACACCTACGCCTAATTAATTGCGGATTTGTTGACAGCGCGCTGTTGATCGGATCCTTCCTGTATATCTTTTACATAATAAAAATTAATCGGGGATTTACCTTAATATTTTGTCGAATATGCCAAGTAACACAGAAAATGAATAATTACAATAAATTACAACAATTTTTGGCACACGTTCCACCGAAATATTTTCGATAAATTATGTTCGGCACATTTACTTCTGCATAATTAATTGATTTACGAAAATTCGACGTTCTGAATGGAAATTTTGATACATAGTTTACCTAATCATTCATTTTTGTTCGTTTCGAATTAATTAGCATCGATATTGACTTACAATCGATATGTCGATTTGGCAATCGGGCCGAATAGCAAAAGGCCGTTTTTGGAACGTCTTCAATGAATCTTTCTCAAGTGACACATACGAAGCGTGTCGAAATCAAAACACGTTGCTCAATGGCTAGTTTGGCCATGAATTCGCGCTTGTTTTTTTTTTGTTTTCTAACGTGAATTTGAAACCGACGATTTTTTTATTTGGAATTAAACTTTTGATTCTTCTTTTTCGAGAAGTTGGCCGTAAATGTCAAAAATTGCGCTAGTAAAATAATCTGTCAATGGTGTCAATGCTGTCAATTCGATTTTAATTCGAAATTAATCAAGTGACAATATGAATTTACAAGATTAACGTTTATTGTTGAAACCTCTATACAGGTAGATGCGAAATTCTTTGCAATATATTACAACTTCCATTAAGCTCACATAAAAGAAAAAGTGATATTGTGGTGTACTGATTGCAACTTTCTCCTTCTAACTCACTGTTATTTTAATAACCTTTCTTTGTTCAATCAATTGACCATACTATTGCATCAATCATTTTATAGGTATTTCAAGTGTGCGTTGGATACAACAGACATGATCGAGCATCAATCGATTTGATAGTTTCAATATTTTTTACATATTAATTTCTCGACATTTAGCACAAGGCCGCGATGGACGTGAAACAAATTTAATTACATTCTAGGTACGTCTTCATACCGATAAAAGTACAAATTAACAACAAGTTTGTGAGATGAAGTATGCTTGTAGAAGACCTAGACATGATTTTTAACCTACCGGGGAAGGATCAATTTTAACTAATTTAAAATAAATTAAATATGTAGCTACACGTGTAAAAATGACGCAAAATATGACAGGTGAGTGATATACGAGGGTAAATCGAATAAGAAACAACCGAATCGAGTTACCTACAAAAGCGCTTATTTGAGATTGATCGAGGAAAATTTCGGACATCTCTCGTATCGGTCGCAATCTGAGCAGTAATTATCGTTACCAAATCTGTTAAATAAAACCAGGTTAACGCTTAATATTCTAATAAAATAGAAATTATGATGAGATCGCGAGGATTGCGCCGATCGTTTGAACCTTGATTCGCATTCGAAGCGTTTAACGTTTGATATATTGCCACCTGATGCAAATGCGAAGCGCTCGACGAACAGAAAGAATTCCTAATTTGTGGAATACCCATTCGCGATAAGACAATAGGTTTCTTTTTCGCTTAAAAAACCGACTTTCCAGTCTTGTTTTTTTCTTATTTCCTCTAATGCGGTATGTTTGTACGCGCATTATTCACTCTATTCCCGCGCGGCTTTGACAGCAATGTGGGAAGAATCCAATTCATCAATTAGTTAAATTCAAATTAATGATTTGATAGTCATTTGGTAATATATTTTTTAATTTCTTTAGTCCAGTCTAATCGGCATACTTGGCAGTTAATGTACGACTTATATTAATGGTTCTTCAGTGTGTTAGCAAATACATCAGTACATTATAAGCGGGGTGTATCTAAACTTATTAATGCATCTTCGAATCCTTTCACCTTTTTCGAAACACCATAATCTTCTGTATAGGCAGGTGGGTAATTGTGTCAAGTGCCGAAACGCTCTGCTAGTATTTGTAGGAGCTTCGGAAAACACACATATTTTAATCGTTTGCAGAAAAAGCCAAACAAACTCGCGATCGCGTCATAAATGCTCGATCACGTATGAATTTACATACTTGTCAGTTCGTCGGAGAAATTATCTAGGGCCTGTTTATACAGGGTGATTCGAAAATAAACTGTATGCAAAGATTGGAAAGTGTTACTTGCAAATTATGGAATTATTTGAGGTTCAAAGTAAACTTTAACACATACAATTTAATTACATCTTAATTGTATGTGTTTAAACGTTTTCCCGTTTTAATCACTTTCTAAATAATTTTTGAATGAAGCTAGAAGTTCCGTTCGAACAATCGCCCGTGTATGGTTAATTAAATATATTATTGCCCGTTTATGATTATTAAATGGCATTTTTGGAATATTAAAATTTATTGCACGTAAATCATAAATATTGCAATTGTATTTATTTTACAATATTCCATGGTGAAAGATATATCTTCTTTATGCGCGATTTTCACGGTTACTTAAGGTAAATGGAGGCACCCATTAAACATTAGACAATGTATAATAATAATGTTATATACAGCAATTAGATTTTTAATTTGCGTCGGAACTTATTTGATGTCCACTACACTATACCCAGATTAAATTAATTGAACTAATTAAATGCAGGCGCTACAATATATTATCCAGAAATTATATTTTAATTACCCTCACTTATCTCAATGTTTTTACGCCTACATTAACCCGGTTTGCAATTTTTTACAGCGCCATTAATTAACTCGGACTTGTTAGAGTATAAGAATTTTTTCATCAAATTGTTGCTGGGGAATTCGTGAATTACATAATTTTTTGCACATTAAGGTAACGATTTACGAATTCGGAACGAAGCGGGAAGTAATTAGAATAAAAATCGAGAACCAACTACACATTGAATATTCCACGGCGAATTTCGCAACGAAACTTACTGACATAGAAGATGAATCTGTCCATCGATTTAGTTCTGTTAGATATTTATTACATAAGGCATTTTCACATTAATTCGCCACAGCTGCCATTGTTCGTTGCAGGCATAACGAAGAATGTGCTTTTATGTTCTATTTAAATGCAATCTGTTTCTGATTTGGGAAAGAGCAAATAAGAGTAACAATGAACAATTAATATTTTTCTATTGGTGTCAATGGAACTGCGAGTGCTCGCTTGGAAGGTATGTACTTTTTTCTCAAAACAAGTTGAATAATATTTGAATATTAGTTGAATTGTTTAGAAATTCTTATTTTGTTGTTAAGGAATCTAACACTAGGACGTTATGAAAAATTATTTTCACGCCATATGCTAAGTTGCGTTTTTACTTATTAAACAATAATTACCTAATTGACCCAAACAACAAACCCTTGGTTGAGGCACCAGCGTGCACACAAACCCGGTTTTGTTCTTTAATGGAAATTAGTAGAAAGTAGAACGCAAATTTGATTTAGCAGGACTTTGACCTTCGACACCAGAAAGTCTTCCTACAAACTTTTTTTTAGTGAAAGGACGATTGGAAATAAGCAAACAATAACGGCTCGTTGTGTTCGAAAAATAATACCTGCATTATGCATAAAATCACTGGAAATATATCGTTAGATTAAATACATTAGAATATTTATTAACAGTACTCGCATGATACCTACTTTCGTGTGATAAAATACGGATTGTTGGGATACTTTCAAAAAAAATACACCCACATTTCTCCATTGAATACCCATATAAGAAATCGAACAAACCACGACCTCTAATATGAAAGTATCCTCCATTTACACTCAAAGGTTTATAATAGAGAGTGTAATGTATAAAAAAAACTAATTTGTTATGTCATTTGTTATAATCGTTTGATTGAACACACTCCCACGCTACACCATTAAAATTTTTAATAATTTTTTTAACGCGAAAACAAATTCGGAACATTTTCGAAAACCATGCAGAGAAAGTGCATTCTTCCAAGCAGGAAACCATAAATTACTGAGATACCCAGGAAGGAGCCGAGCAGTAATAACCCCATTATAATAAACCAATAAAACTTTTATTAATCAACCAATGGTTTATCCTAGAGATGGGAAATCTAATTAACCGCTACAGGAGTTATTTATTCACTAATCGAATGCAACAACGTTTCAGTTTCGAATGATGTTTCTTCACTCTCACCGAACGTGCATCCTCTCGCAAGAGAGTACTGGACGGTACTTTCATTTAACAGGTCACTTATTGCGTGCGAGCGAACGCAGTCAATAAATGACCCCTGGCCTTTTTGCTCGATGCTCCAAGACGAATCGGAAAAGAAGAAGACGTTAAAAAAACAACCGCGGGATTCCCTTCACTTCTCGATAACGCTAATAAGAAACCAAGTGCTCGGCGGATTCGTATCTACCGCAGGGACGGAGAGAGAACAAATTGAAATGAATTATTAAAGAGTTTGTGGGATTTTTTCTTATATAGTAGAAATGAAATGGGAAAAATGCGTGAATTGAACGAGTAAATTTGTAATTAATGTTGACAGTTTACATGCAATGTTTTTATTCATTTACAATGGAAAACGTGCGAGTATAAAATGATTTAAATCCCGACAGATGTTAATTTTAACATAAAAAATTACGTTACGAAAGAGTCTCGAATAAATCGGGCACTTTTTGCCGACCGTACTCTGTAGAAAGTACTTATATTTTGGTAATTTATTTCGAGACTTTGACACACTTTACCCGAGAATTATAATCTTCGCTATACAGAAAAATATGTTTACATTTCTGCGAAAATTTTCGTGAACGATGCCGGGCGTGTCGCCGAAGGAAATTAATTAGAAATTAGCCGGGTAAATTGAAAAAGTGAAACTAACAATTTCACACAACAGCACCAGATCTCCGATC